TATATCACCCACAGACTGATGGTTTAGTAGAGAGGTTCAACAAAACCCTTAAGAGTATGCTACGTAAGGTAATTGATGCAGATGGAAAAAAAATGGGATTTTTTTATTGCCTTATCTACTGTTTTCCATTAGGGAAGTTCCACAGGCCTCCACAGGCTTCTCTCCTTTTGAATTGTTATATGGAAGACATCCCAGGGGAATACTGGATATTGCTAAGGAGACCTGGGGACAGGAGACTACTCCTCACAGGAGTGTAATTGAGCATATAGCTCAAATGCAGGATAGAATGGCCACCATCATGCCTATTGTCGGGGAACACATGCTGGAAGCCCAGCAGGCTCAGAAAAACAGCTATAACCGTAATGCTAGAGTCAGAGTGTTCCAACCTGGAGACAGGGTCTTGGTTCTGGTCCCTACTGTGGAGAACAAGTTCCTTGCGACTTGGCATGGACCCTATGAAATAATAGAAAAAGTGAGTGATGTCAATTATAAAATCAGACAATCAGGAAGAAGAAACCCTGAACAGTTGTATCATATAAATCTGTTAAAGCCTTGGAAGGACAGGGAGGTCCTGGTTGCTTTAAAACCTTCAAAATCTCCTATAGTAGAGCCGGAGGTGAACGTATCTGAGACTCTGTCTGTACATCAAAAGCAAGAGGTCAGATTTCATCAGAAGAAATAGGGATGTTTTCTCGGTAGTTCCAGGAAAGACTAAGGTGATTAAACATGACATAACCGAGCCGGGGAAAAGAGTTAATCTCAAACCCTATAGAATTCCTGAGGCCCGGAGGGAGGTTATAAACTTAGAGGTTGAGAACATGTTACAACTTGGAGTCATTGAAGAATCCCAGAGTAACTGGAGTAGTCCTATTGTATTGGTGTCAAAACCTGATGGCACATGGAGGTTCTGTAATAACTACCGCAAGTTAAATGCCATCTCAAAATTTGATGCTTACCCAATGCCCAGAGTTGATGAGTTAATAGAAAGACTGGGTAAAGCTCGTTACCTAACAACCTTGGATTTAACAAACGGTTACTGGTAGGTACCTCTCACTGAAAGAGCCAAAGAAAAGACAGCCTTTTCAACACCCAGTGGCCTGTTTCAGTACACTGTATTGCCATTTGGGTTACATGGGACACCTGCCACATTCCAACGAATGATGGACAGAATTCTTAAACCTCATGATCGCTATGCTGCAGCATTCTTGGATGATGTCGTCATCCACAGTGCAGACTGGGAATTCCACCTCCCCAAAGTTCAAGCGGTGCTTGATGCTATCCGCTCAGCGGGCTTAACTACCAATCCTTCAAAGTTTACGCTTGGTTTAGAGGAAACAAAGTACTTAGGTTATTCTTTTGGGAGGGATTTGGTTAAACCACAGGAAGCCAAAGTGGAACCAATACAAAAATGGCCACAGCCCCTTACAAAAAAACAAGTAAAGGCATTTTTGGGTTTAATTGGATACTATAGATGATTCATCCCAGATTTTGCTACCATTGCTGCACCTATAACAAACCTCATTAAAGCAAAGTCCCCAGTTATAGTTAAATGGTGCCCTGAGGCAGAAAAGGCTTTTAAGAGTCTGAAGGAAGCTATCTGTAGCCATCCTGTCTTGGTGACCCCAGATTTTTCCAGGGACTTTATAGTTCAGACAGATGCTTCTGATGTTGGCTTGGGGGCTGTTCTTTCACAGGAATACCAGGGTGAAGAACACCCTGTTTTCTTTTGAGCAGGAAGTTAAACCTACATGAGAAGAACTACTCTATTGTTGAAAAAGAGTGTATTGCTATTAAGTGGGCATTAGACTCTCTTAAATACTACCTGCTAGGCAGAAAGTTCTGATTGATAACGGACCATGCACCTCTGACATGGATGTATCAGAACAAAGAAAATAACTCCAGAGTAACCAGATGGTTTTTGAGTTTACAATCTTTTAATTTCACTGTCGAACACAGGGCTGGTCTAAAACAAGGAAATGCTGATGGGCTTTCCAGGGTTCACTCTCTGATTTCCATGGTCGCTCAAACCCATGGGTATGAGCTGGGGGGGGGGAATATGTGAGCGAAAAAATGGAATAGTGGTTGATGGAAGATACATCAGGCCTGATTTGCTAAACAGCAACCAGAGAATTTTCAGTTAAATGCCCCAGGGAGAGATGTTAAAGTTTGCAATATACATTGCTGATGCTCTGCAAAACACAGTATGGGTCCCTGGGGTGGAGCATTTGGAGAGCAGGGTGGGCCAATGCTCCAACAACACTAGTTGCTGTGTAACAGACCAGAATTTTGATTTAGCTTAAGAGTTAACTAATTGGCACTCACCTGTAGCTGGACAATTAGCAGACAGGCCTTTAAAAGAAGAGATCAGCCTGCTGCAGAATGAGGGAGAAAAAGCCAGCTAGGAGAGACAACAACAACAACAACAACAACAACAACAACAACAATAATAATAATAACAATAATTGTTTTTATTGCAAAGCTATTTTGTTTTTTTGGGGGAAATTGGTAAGTGGGAAAGCCACCCAATTACATATAGTGATTTCTGTCTAGTAAGAGCAAGGAATTTTTTGTTTTGTTTATTATTATTATTTAAAGCAACTGTTTTTCCTATCAAATAAAAAAAAAGGAAAAACGAACTGAATGTGTCCTGGACTTTGTATACCCTAGAAGGCTGTGATTTATTGTAAGATAAGATCTGTGACAAAATCCTACCTGTAAAAGAGGTGGTTTGTTAATATATATATAGATATATATATATATATATATATATATATATTTATTGTATTTGTCTATGGGTTGTTACGTTCAACCCCCCTTGCTGCAGAAATCATGTCTTATCTCTGCCAATGTTTACATTAGTCGATTCCTTAGCTCAGGCTTGAATGACTAGAGTACAGAGAGAACAAATTGTGTCTGTCTTTGCATTGTGATACAAAATGGAGTCACTTCGGTTCTGATGGTGACTTACAGTATACACTTTTCATTTCTGTCTTAACACAAAATGTCTGCCAGTATAAATATACTGACAATACCCACACTGTCACTCATAATAATATACCCACACTATTCCTCATAATAATATAACCTATCCCTCATAATATACCCACACTATCCCTCATAATAATATACCCTATCACTATAATAATATATTCGCACTATCCCTCATCATAATATACCCACACTATCCCTCATAATAATATACCCTTTTTCCATAATATACCCGCATTATCCCTTATAATATACCCGCACTATACCTTATAATATACCCACACTATCCCTCATAATAATACACCCGCACTATCCCTCATAATATACCCGCACCATCCCTCATAATAATACACCCGCACCATCCCTCATAATAATACACCCGCACCATATCCCTCATAATAATACACCCGCACCATATCCCTCATAATAATACACCCGCACCATCCCTCATAATAATACACCCGCACTATCCCTCATAATATACCCGCACCATCCCTCATAATAATACACCCGCACCATCCCTCATAATAATATACCCGCACCATCCCTCATAATAATACACCCGCACCATCCCTCATAATAATATACCCGCACCATCCCTCATAATAATACACCCGCACCATCCCTCATAATAATACACCCGCACCATCCCTCATAATAATACACCCACACTATCCCTCATACAAATACACCCGCCCATCCCTTATAATACACCCGCACCATCCCTCATAATAATACACCCACACCATCCCTCATAATAATACACCCACACCATCCCTCATAATAATACACCCGCACCATCCCTCATAATAATACACCCACACGATCCCTCATAATAATACACCCGCACCATCCCTCATAATAATACACCCACACCATCCCTCATAATAATACACCCACACCATCCCTCATAATAATACACCCGCACCATCCCTCATAATAATACACCCCATAATAATACACCCACACTATCCCTCATAATACACCCACACTATCCCTCATAATAATACACCCGCACCATCCCTCATAATAATACACCCGCACTATCCCTCATAATAATACACCCACACTATCCCTCATAATAATACACCCGCACTATCCCTCATAATAATACACCCGCACCATCCCTCATAATAATACACCCGCACTATCCCTCATAATAATACACCCACACTATCCCTCATAATAATACACCCGCACTATCCCTCATAATAATACACCCGCACCATCCCTCATAATAATACACCCGCACTATCCCTCATAATAATACACCCACACTATCCCTCATAATAATACACCCGCACTATCCCTCATAATAATACACCCACACTATCCCTCATAATAATACACCCGCACCATCCCTTATAATAATATACCCGCGCTATCCCTGTCTTACAATACTGTCCCTTATAGTTTGGATCACACCCCCTCCCTCATATAACACACAGCTCACACTAACCCCACCCCCTCCATTATAAAACCTCACACTATAATAAACCAGTCACCAGCCCCGCCCCTACCCAAGCGCATGCGCGATATAACTAACAGCTCTACATATACACACGCGCACAATCGGCCACTCCCCCCGGAAAAAAAATCTCTGTTCCCCCCCTCCGCCTCAAGCGGTCAGAAAGCGTCGCGCATGCTCAGTACTGCAAGTCTGGCGCCCGGCGGCCACGCCTCCTTCCAATTCCCTTCCTGTCATTCGACAGGCGTACGTCTCGCGCACCCGAGGCAGGCGCGCACTCTGAGGGATTTTTTTTTTTTTTTTGGTTGCAGTCGCGCGCCCAGCCCAACAACCACCAGCATACTGAGACCGACCGCTTCCCGCCACTGAGCGCGCGACCCGCACCGTGCTGTCCACAGAGCAGGCGCGTGCGCGAAACTCGCACCATCATTATTATCCAGCCCCCCCCACCTTCCCCCTCAGAGTACCGGAGACAGAGCGAGACCCTCCCCCCCTCCCTCACCGAGGAGCAGCACACCGACACGGCGGCACTCACCGGGGACACCCCGCCTCACTCTCCGTCACAGGCCGCGGGCTGGCTGGCTGAGCAGGCCGCATCCCGAGCGGGGCGGAAACCGGGCACTGCCTCCCGAGAGCCGGCACCGGGGATACCGCCAGGCCGCACCCGAAACCCCGGCCTAGAGTAACTGCTCCGCCCGCAGGAGGAGGGGGTCTGGCCGGCCTCACACAGACCAAGCTCCCCGGGCTGGCTCCTCAATCCCCGGCCTGCTCCTACCCGGAGTCTCCGCTGCGATCCCCGCACACCTGCCTCGGCTGTGGCCCCTGGCCTGCGATTCCTGGGGCCCCTGTGCTGTGAGCTCCTCCACCCTGGCATGCGATCCATGGGGCCACAGTACCGCTGCCCTGGCATGTGACTCCTGGGGGCCCTGGCATGCCATTACTGGGGTCACACTCCCCCTGAGCAGCATGACCTAGCCAGCCCTGCCAGAGCAAGCTAAGGCCGGGATATCTCCATCATCTGCATCTCCTATAACCCTGGGGGGATTGGAAGACCCCCGCCCCCCCGGCTCTCTCACAATGACCTGGGGGTAAGAAAACCCGGGGGGAGCATGTGAGCTGGAAGGGACCCTCCCCAAACCTCTGGACTGCAAGAGGGGACCCCTGTGTTTGGACTGGGAGGGGGCTGCTGCAGACCTGGACCATCATTTGGATTTGGAAATGAAAAGGCAACATCTTCCTTACTTTTGGAGGGAGTCCATTTATTGCTTTACGATTTTAATGAATTCTCTGTGCAGTTGGTGGGATTTTTGTTGTTGCAGCCCCTGTTGTACTGGAATCTTGTTATAGACCAACCCCCCCCCGTGCTTTAATGAGATTTGCTATCACATACTGGATTGGATATTTTGAGTTTATTACACACATATATATAATCCGTATTTTCTGCTTACTGGAGCTAGTGGTCTGAAGAGTCTGCAATGAACCCGGTGAATGCTACTTCCCTGTACATCTCAGCAAGCCGCTTGGTGCTGAACTACCATCCTGGGGATCCTCAGTCCTCAGCCGAGATCTGCAAAATGCTTCCTTTCTTCAGGCAGGCACTTGCTTGCTGTGTCTGCGGTGAGACAAGGGGCAAGTGGGGTAATGTTTGGTAATAGGGTCCTCCTATCTATCCCAGTTTGAACCACTACATACTTTATGTAACAATCACGTGTACCCTGCTGCATAACTGTTGTGATATTAGGGTTATTGGGAATTTCTGTAAATGTTATACAAAGGAGAGCACAATGCAGACGTATACACTACAACAATATATTTTAGTAAAAAAAAAAAAAAAAAACTATTTTGTATTTAGCATAAAATGTTTTGTTTTTTCGGTATAGTCACAGCTTGGTGGTTTAGCCTTTATTTTGCCATTCAAACTTTAATTTACAAAAATTTGGAGTTTAGTGAATAACGATCTTTGCTTTGGAAGCTGCAAGTAGTCTAAAAGCTTGTAGCCTAGTGAGAAGAGAAACTTAATAAAACTGTAGATATTGTGATCTTGATATATGGAAGAATCTGCTGATCTATCTATAGAAGTGAGGGTGTGTTAGAACAATGGTGAGGTATAGTGTGAAGGCTATCCTTTAAAGGGGTCTAAAGGTTTACAGCAATTCTTTGAAATTTCTAGGAATGAGAAGTGGAGATTGTCCAAGGGGAGAATAGTGGGAGTAAGTATGCTAGATAGAAAACAAGTGATACTACATAATGGCAAAAGGAATTTAACAGTCATAATTGCAAAGGTGTGTGTATATGTCTCCCCTATTTTAATATGGCTGTGCTAACTCGTCCAAAAGTCTCCAGCATTATTGCATAGTTTGAATGTAATTCCAGCTGCAATGCTGTGCCCATTGCGATGACGACAATGGTTTCACTGCTGTTCAAGGGAAGATATAACCTGCCATATTATGAAGGCAGGTGGTACCCATTAAAGTCTCTGGCTCTGTAATTATGGGAGTCTTCATATGTTGTGCAAAGACTCCTGCATGTGACATTCCTGCCGTGTGTGTGTGGTGGCTGGATGAAGCTAAATTAGCCATACTTACCTGCAGCTCTCTTGTGGGAGTTGCATCTTCTTTCTTCAGTTCTTAGTACGTCATCTGCGCGTAGCCCGCTCGATCCTTACTCATGTGCAGTAGTAAAAACATTAAGGTCTATGGATAAGACAGCAGTGCTCCTTTCCCACTACCATTGCTAGTGATGGCTTTAGGTATTGAGAAACGTTGATAACCAAAGACCAGCCTACTGTCATCCTGGTCTTTGCTCATAAGACAAGGTAGTACCTTCTTTGTCTCATGTTTTTGTTTGTATTTCTCTGAATTACAGCCATTATTTAAAATTTTCCCAATCATTACTCTAGATGTACAATATAACCACAAAGTGATACTAGTCCTTTTTATTATTTACGAAACCGATGATAACTATTTGCCATTACAACGGTTTTAGATTCTATATGTTGCTCAGCTGGCCCATTGATTAGGTGGGTATCATGCAATGCATTGTATACAACAGCAATGACAAATGTTAGCTAAAGTAATAGGCCCATGCTGAGTGGCAGATGTTAATACTTTTACTAGAATTTCTTTTCAGATCTGTATTAGAATGAGCATGTAACAGGTGGTTATTCCAGTGGCCCGAGAATTCTTTTACTGAAGCATTACCTTGACTAGTTTTCTTTTTTCTTTCTGTAGTGGTATTAGATCACATCTAGATAAAGAGAAGGGGGGAGTGGTTGGTAAATGCAATAGCCACTGGGTAAACTAATGCAAGGAGGAAATGCAGAACTACCAGAGATGAATGCTGCTTGCCATTGTTTTAGTGTAACAGGCAAACTACTTTACTTTAAAACAATGTAATGTACTTTTTCATTTTGCTGGCTGATTCCTTTCAGTTGGGCAACCAGTTTTTTTGTTGTTGATCATTTTCAAAATAACAAAAGGCATGCTCTGTTGTGTATGCATGCATCTGCTTTCTTTATTGACATCAGTGAGAAATTGCTGAACATGGGTAATGCTACATTCTTACTGCTTGGCTCATCATAAGCCAGGGCTTGACAAATTTGCTTTCAATCTAGGAGCCAGCCCGACAAAAATACAATTCTTAAAGGAACACTATAGTCACCAGAACCACTACAGCTTAATGTAATGGCTCTGGTGTATATAGCCTGTCCTTGTAGACTTTTCAATGTAAAAGCTGCCTTTTCGGAGATAAAGCAGTTTTTACGTTGCTGCCTAGTAACACCTCTAGTGGCTTTCACTCAGATGGCCACTAAAGTGTCTCCTATCTTAGTCCACAATGAGTAGCACCTACATTCAGCGTTTCCACGCTCTGCATGGAAGCGCTGAACGTTACCCATAGAGATGCTTTTAATTGATTTAATGCATCTCTATGAGGAGATGCTGATTGGTAATTGATAATCTGAGCTACGAAGGTTGGCCAGCTATAGCGAGACCGGTAGGCCGCTGGGTAAAAGATAAGTAAAAACATAATTCCCATTGCGATTAGAGGGGGCTGGTGACCTAAAAATACACACTCACTGACAGACACCCGGACTGACACACAGAAACACTGACAGATGCAGACACACACACACACACACTTGCCAGAGACAGGCACACACACAGTATTATTATTGATACACTCAAATATATACACACAACATACATAAACACAAATACACATACAGACATAAACACATGATAAATACACAGAAATTAGAAAAAAAAAATACATATGTTTAGCAACCCTCCTACCTTTTCAGCTCAGGAGGGTGGTTCCCCTGGGGTCCAGTGGGACTGGGCAGCTGCAGGTGACAACTGGTTAATGGGGCTGGCTGCGGCTAATGGGAGTAGGCAGCCGTGGTTTCAGACTCCCTGTTTCCGCCTCCTCCTGTCTCTCCAGCCCCGTGTGTGCAGAGATGAAGTGAAGGGCGCTGTCATATCTTCCTCTCGGCGTGAGGTCACGCAGGGTAAAGGGCGGCTGGCTGGCTCTGTGGCATGGGGGGAGGGAGGCGGGCAGGGAACAGGATCTGCTCTGCAGCATGTCGGCGGGAGGCGAGCAGAGTTGGCTTTGCTTTACCTGGTGTCCTGCCAGGTTAGCTTGTCATTCCCCTGCGCTGCCTCTGCACCGGGAGGAAGTAATTACAGTTCTTCACTTCCTCCCGGCGCACACAGTGCTGCACGGGGATCGAGACCGGAAGAGGAGGGAATGGGCTGACCAATCCCAGGTGTCAGGACAAAATATTGAGTCGTCATGGCGACCTGGCACCTGGGATTTGTTGAGTCCTGTAGTAAGCAGTCACTGCTGTCTTATTTTTAATTTCAAAGTTATTACTCTTTGTACCAAATCTAAAATAATAGGTGACTTTTGAAATGTTTCTTTCCTAATGTTGTCTGAAGATGAGCCCTTTGATGTTGGAAAATAATCATTCATTTGAAACAAATGTCATCATGAATGGATGGCAAATAGTCAGAGGAAATAGTATAAATATGTTGGGTTTTTTTTTGCACATGCATATACAGCCACGATGCCTTTTTCTTGTTTTGCTAAGATTAAACAAACACTCCAGTATTAAAACAAAAAGATATAGTTTATCATTTGAGTGTTAGTTGCTCTCTTTAGGTTCAGGTGCACCCCTTTCTTTAAAAACTGAAGATTGGAAAATAAAATAAACTTACAAGTAATCCAGCATTGGGAGAGTCTCTTTGCAGCAGTCTCTCTGTTGTCTGTGATGTCAGGGTTGATAATCTCTGTCCAATCTGATGCTTCTAGAAAAGTGGTAAATTCAGTGCTTCTGCGTGAGAAACACGAACTGTGCTTGGTATAGTCATGTTGTGCGCGCGTGTGTGTGTGTGTGTGTGTGTGTGTGTGTGAAACTGAATGTGTAGACCTTGAGGAAGTTGCTCAGTCTGACTGTCCCTAAATGCATGTTCTCTGACAAATGTAAAAACATTACTCAGAAATAGCAGTGTTTTACACTGTTTAATAACGGAGCAGCATCTATGCACTGAAAAAAAAACCTATATGAAAATGCACTAGTTTTAGTGCTTCGTGTCCCTTTAACAGTATTCTCTGATCAGCCACAACATTAAAACTACTTATAGGTGAAGTGAATAACTGATTATATTGTTACAATGACACAAGTCAAGGGATGGGATATATTAATGAATGAAGTCAGTTCTTGAATTTCATATGATGGAAGAAGGAAAAATGGGCAAGCAAAATGATTTGAGTAACTTTGACACAGGCCAAATACTGATGAGTAGACAACTGGGTCAGAGCATCTCCAAAATGGCAAGTCTTGTGGGATGTTTATGGTATATAGTGGTTGGTGCATACCAAAAGCTGTTCAAGAAAGCAGAACTGGTGAACTGGCATCAGGATCATGGATGCCCAAGGCTCATTGATGCATGTGGGGAGACAAAGGCTAGCCCTGGTATGATCATAAAGAACTACTGTAGCTTGAATTTCTAAAAAAAAATAAAAAAAATAAACCTTAATGCTTGCCATGATAGGTGTCAAAACACACAGTATATCACAATTTGCTGCTTATGGGTCTACAAAGCCACAGACAAGTCACAGTGCCCATGATTACTCCTGTCCACTGCTGTAAACTTCTTTAATGAGGACTTTCAGAGTCCTCAGAGCTGGACCGCAGAGCAATGGAAGAAGGTTGCCTGGTCTGATCATTTTTCACAAACACATTGTCTCTCAAAAAAGCCTTGGTACTAAAGGGGTTAATGGAGTGGTTTTGGTGTGTAGATGATGCCTCTGCAGTCACCTGCTCCATTTTCTACCATTTAGGAGTTTAAAGAACCGTTTGGGTACTATAACAACTTCATCCAAATGAAGTTATGTTGCCTGAAAGCCCCTGGTGCTGGCTTACCCTTTAGGGGGTAAACTGTTAACTAACAGTTTAATCACAAAGTCTGTGCTCTAGACCCCCTGTCCTTCTTTCTGATGTGGTGCCTTCATTGCATTGTAGTTATGCCTATTTGTTTCTTTTCTAAAATCTCACCAACTGTAACACACTATTAAGGAAAATCTGCTAATTGTATATTCTGCCCAGTAAGGAGATCACATTTGCACTAGGAAAGGCAGTGTTTCTTAAATTAAACAATCTGAGGGCAGCTAGTAGGCCTTGATAAATGATGTCAATTAAAACTACTGAAAATATAAATGGGACTCTCTTTTGGGTACTCTCTTTAACACATTAAGTCTGCTGTGTTTCCTTATAAATTAATCTTAACAATTTTTTTAATCTACAAGAATAGCACTTCACTTTTGAATTTTAAGGTAATACCGTGCTTCCATATTCAGGCTGGCATTTAACTGGCTGCCATGGGAATGTGTACCTGTCTTTCACAATCCTATGTTTCTTTATTATGAAGACTACTGTACTGCAATTAAAATTGCCTTACACTTATTTCCTTGTCTCTCACCCTAAAATCCCACCTCCCACGCTAAATAAAAATTAAAAAGTGTGAGGACGTGTCCTGCTTATTTCTGTCTGTCCTCTTTTAGTGTGGTACTTTGTGATATATGGATGGGATTTCAGCTGTTTCATTGTTTTGGTCAGCAGTATTTTCTTCTGTGGGTCTCATGTTTGAGATTTTTAGATTTCCCTGAGATTAAAGGGACACTATAGTCACCAGAACATCTGCAGCTTATTGAATTTGTTTTGGTGAGTAGAATCATTACCTTCATGCTTTTTGCTGTAAATACTGTCTTTTCAGAGAAAATGCAGTTTTTACATTACAGCCTAGTGATAACTTCACTGCCCACTCCTCAGATGGCTGTTAGAGATCCTTCCTGGGTCATGGCTGCCTAAAATGCATCCAAACATTCAGTATCTCCTCTCTCTGCACGCAGACACTGAACTTTCCTCATAGAGATTCATTGATTCAATTAATCTCTATGAGGAGATGCTGATTGGCCAGAGCTGTGTTTGAATTGTGCTGGCTCTGCCCCTGATCTGCCTCCTTGCCAGTCTCAGCCAATCCTATGGAGAAGCATTGTGATTAGGCTACCACTTCTGCTGATGGCAGTGGGCAGGTCTAAAGGAAACTGGGACAAGCAAGCAGCTCTAGACTTTAATACAAGTAAGATTTTACTATCTGTAGGGAGGCATGAGGGGACCAGGGTGGCTAGATGGTGGTTTTAACCCTGAAGGGTCAGGAATAAATGTTTGTGTTCCTGACCCTATAGTGCTCCTTTAAATTAGCACTCCTATAATTAGTCTGCTTTTGCCACCTATGGGGGCATCCGAGAAACTCATAACCATTGCAGTTGTGAAACATCACTTCCTGTATTCATGAAATAGTTTCAGTTTCAAAAATATATTTTTCCTTTTGCCAATGTTGTAATATAGCTTACTTCCCATTGTTGTTGTTGCCATGCATAACAAGTCTTTTTGTATCTTACATTCACTATAAAAATTGTCTTTTAAAAACATACATGCTTTTTATATGATGGGTCATTTGATCCACTATTTCATATCCAAAAGCATGTTTTATTGTTTCTCATGATGGCTGTGTTGTAGCAAATCATGTGCATAACAAATTGGTGGTAGTACAAATGTCAGTTTAATAATGCTTGCTTATTTAGATTTTTCCATTTTACCCCTTTTTTAACTCCATTAATGAAATGAATCAGAAGTACTGTGAATTCAATTTCCACCACTGGGGGGCAGCACTGTCTTCCTCAGCTGAGGAATTCTCTATTAAATTCTAATGCCTTTTACAGATATAAAGTTTTTTTGTTTTTTTGACAATCTCATTTTTATTGAAAGGTTTTAGAACAGTGGTTACAAGTAATAAAAAGTACATATAGGATAGGCAGATTGGTTACAGACATGCGTGCTGAACAAGGGTAGAGTCATCGGTGAAACACATAACGTTCACTTGGGTTACACTATTGTATCCAAACCTGCATGTACTAGCCTAGTGCCTCGAACAAGAGCGTTCAACTGGTAGGAGAGTCAATCTCTGTTGCGCCTTGCATGCCACCTACAATATGAAAGTGTGCGTTGTGTCTTACTACATTTAGGTTCTAGCCTAAGTAGTGGGTTGTGGGTGGTAAGGTCAGGTGGGCCCTAGGTCGGGGTTTGGTCGTGCGAGGTCGAGATCGCTGTGTTGCTGGTGTCTGTTGCCGTCTGGCTCTGTGTTCTACTGCCCTGGGAGGGGGGGGAGGCGTTAAGGGTGTATCACCAGTAGCCTCGGGAGAGCGGGAGGAAGGAGAGGCAGGAGGGGGGGTGAAGAAAGAAAGGGGACAGGGGAGGGAAGAGAGAGTGTGGAGGAGGAAGGGAAAAAGAGGAGAAAAAAGAAAAGGAGGGGGAAAAAAAGGAGAAAATAAATATATGTAATTGTTGGGTGGGGAGTGGGGGAGATATGGTGGTTGGGAGAGTGGTGGGGAGGGGAGGGGGTAGAATGGAAGGTCTTTAATTGAGCGTCCCGTTGTTGGTTATGTATAACAGCCAAGAGGTCCAGGTTCTAGTGCAGGCCTCTGAGTGGTCGTGGAGGGCCGCGGTCAGCGACTCCATAGAATGTATCTCGCTCACCCTGTCTACCCAAAAGCTGGTCTTTTTTTTATTAATCCTGACCAATAAACTAAATACATTTGAAGCCATTTAAACATTAGATCGTATGGTTATGGTGAAACTCATGTTCCACAGATGATGAAAATGCATTGGAGGTAACTGTTTCCAAAAACAAAATTTTAGCACAATAAGCTGTAGTGGCTACTTTTATTTTGAAGACCCTATTCATAGCATTTAAAATGAAGGGAAAGCCAGACCTAGTCATGCTGCTGAAAGGGTAATGAATTTGTATATGAAATTTATAAAAACATTTATTTGCACATATACAAGTTTTATATTGATCAAAGAGCTAAAGGGGAAATGTAGAATTTAAGAATTGTCATGTTTCAAATTATTTATCTTTTATTTTCATTCTTTTCAGGAAATTTATTGGAAGACCCTATTGCTCCAACCAATTCCACCTGCCAACATTATGTATGCAAACAGTGCAAAGGAAAAAAGATGATGATGAAACCTTCATGTAGTTGGTGCAAAGACTATGACCAGTTTGAAGAGAACAAGCAGTTGAGTATTCTTGTTAGTTGCTATAAAAAACTCTGCGAGTACATCACACAGACTCCCCTAGCACAAGATGTTTTAAATACAGTGGAATGTTCTGCAGACCTATTGGCTTTCCTTCCTGAAGAATCTCCTCCTGAAGAACAAGAGGGTACTCCGTCTGCACCCTCATCCCCACTATGCCCATCGCATTCCCCACTTCCTTCTAATTCAGAACCAGCGATAGAATCTGACACAAGTTTATGTCAAATCCAGCAAGATAAACTAGACATTGAAAAGGAGTGCTCAGTAACTAATGGATTAACTAACTGCAATGGGCTCCCTGAAGCTGAACTCAATATAGTAAATATAGCTTCTCCTGAAAGCCCTGGCCCAATAGATCTATGTTGCACAGCTGTTGACATTAAAACAGAAGATCTATCAGAGACTTTGGAGACTGTCTGTGATCCAGTTTCCACCAGTGAGTTCAGTTCGGCTGCACTTGATATTTGTGGCTATAACGATGATCTCAAAAGCAATGATCCATTGCTTTTGAGCATGGAGGAAGTTTTACAGACTTTAGAAACCGTTTCTGGTGCTGTGAGTGATTGTGATCTGCACCATAGCTTGGAAACTTCAACTTCTAATGGAACTTTTCTAGACCTTTGTCCCCAACCCCTTACACACACAGTTTTGTTGTCTGACAGCCATGTTCCTTCCCACGGGATTTCTTGCACTGCTGCCACCCTTAAAATGGTGAAAACAAACCGCAAACGTTCGCGATCTGAAAGTGATAGCGAGAAGGTCTTGCCACTACCAATATCCAGCATCATTCTTGGGCCAACGCTCGGATCACCCACTCCTATGTTGATAACACGTGAAAACAGGAACTTTTTGCAACCTGTGGTTACTGTCCCCAATGGGGGCAATTCATCCAAAATCAGCAAGACAATTCTGTTGTCAAACAAACCGTTAAAGAAAAATCCAGAGCACGGTCCCAAGAAAACGCATCCAAAATCTAAACCAACATTGCTGAAAACTAAAGATAAAATGAAGGAAAAGATTCCCAGCAATAATGTGGTGCCTGGAAGCCCAACCAAAACGGTTTATAAAAAGCCTCAAGAGAAAAAAGGCTGCAAGTGTGGACGTGCTACTCAAAATCCAAGTGTTCTTACATGTCGAGGCCAGCGCTGTCCTTGTTATTCAAATCGCAAAGCCTGTCTAGACTGTATTTGCCGTGGCTGCCAAAACTCATACATGGCAAATGGGGAGAAAAAGCTAGAGGCTTTTGCAGTGCCAGAGAAGGCATTAGAGCAGACCAGGCTTACATTGGGCATTAATGTGACGAGCATTGCAGTACGCAATGCCAGCACAAGCGCCAGTGTCATCAATGTTGCAGGTTCCCCTGTAGCAACATTTCTAGCTGCCAGTCCCCATGATGACAAAAGCCTAGATGAAGCTATAGACTTGAGGTTTGACTGTTGATTGGGCTTGGATATTCCTAGCTCAAAAGAAGCAGGGGGATGGCTTCTGTTTTATGGCAGCTATGACTCTGGTTGGTTAAATTGCCGGATCCTCTGCATATAGATCACTTGTATCAAGTGTGTTCATTGATAAGTTATGTGTTTATGTTTGTTGGGGTGGGAGGGAGAAGGTTGGGTAGGACAAGGGAAAGTTTGGCTGTAAGAGAAATTGTTACCCTAAAATGTCTGTTTCCTTGGCTTTGGTATGAGGGTTGGAGGGAGAGTTTTGATTTTCTGATGCACCTGATTTATAGAACACGATCTTTGGCAAGACGATCAACCACAGAATGACCTTTTGTATCCTGTCCAGTGTGTTCATCAAGTCAGTTAGATTCCTACAATTTACCGTCTGTAGAAAACACATACTGCGCTAAATTTCTTGTCTATAAATCACTTAGGAGAAGCTTCAAATTTAAAAGTTTTCAGGCCTTAGGTAATTTTTCCCCTTTCTTTTCTAAGGGTGTCTACAAATGTTCTAAAAATTCCTGTGCATGACATTTTATGTAAAATGTTTCTGGTCACCCCGACCCCCCCCATTAATATGAGGATATGATATAGCTAAAGTCATCTTTCTGTGCAATTGATTATTCATTTGTGTTCATTTGTATTGGTTTTTTATCAACAAACTTTGTGCATTGTATTGATATCACAGGCAAAGTCTTCTCATTTGTTCTTGATACAATGCACAAGCCTTGTTGATGAAAACTTGGCACAATAATGTTGCATTAAACGGACACTCCATGGTATGTTTGACCTTACGTTTCTTGTTAATGCATTGTTTAGCAGGCATTTACTACAGCAAATAATTAGGTGTGATACTCATCAGTGCCATCTTGTCCAGTCAGTTGTCTCCAAATATTTGAAAGTGGGTTGTTCTGCTTGAATGCATTTATCACCGGAGTGCATTTTCACTTCATTTACCATGCAAATGAATGATAGCTGTTCATGCCTGCACACTACAACTGTACAGTAATTTCATTCGAGTTGCAACTGTAGTATGCATGCACAGAGTGGCTTCTATTCATTTGTACCTAGAAATGCACAGCACAGTGATCATAAAATTGAATTCAATTCTAACGAACTGAAAGTGATGACTCAAGCTGCTTCATTTGAATTAATCTATTGTTCAGAAACCTTAAATACACTTTGCACCCTTAGTATAATTTTATCTGACAATCTTCATCACAGGGTTTCATATTAGCTCCAGGAGTTGGAAAATCTAGGTTCCTACTAATATTGATGGAACTTAATCTCATGCAGTATTTTATATAGACGTTCAGGTTTGTATCTCTTCCCCCATCTTCCACAACAACAATCTGACTGGCTCTTAAATTTGTCTGGATTCTATATTTATATCCATTCATATCATCCTTGTCAGTTTTACGGCTTTGTATTGGAAAATAATATATAACCGTAATTGTGACCTATTTATAGCTGCAGTTTTGTGTAACGTGGAAATGTGTATTCAACATGACACTATTTAGTGATGTGAAAAACCAAAGTGGTAAGATTTCCATTTGAGAGGTTTTATTGGAACTGCTATGACAGTTGGATCCACATTAGGCTTTGTAGAATCTGTTACACTTAAATGTCCAGTAGATGAGAACAGCAGCACAATCACTGCACAAATTAACAGTGATTTGTGCAGTGATCGTGCCTAATTAAAACAAATTGTCTCCATTTATTGGGGCTCTTTTCATGTTAAGCTTTCATATAATAAAATTAATCCCTTCAACTGCAATACATCCAAATACTATCTATGTAAAGAATGTGTAATTCTCTTCTGTTATTACTTAGAAATCGTAATTAATTGCTTCTTTTTTTTTTTTTTTTTATTCCTCCAGTTTCTCTTAACCCATTAAAGACCAATGATAGTCTGTTTATATAACATGGCCTCTAGAAATCTTACATTTAAGAAGGTCCTATTAACATTAGCAGCATTGAATGGCATTGCTGATGGCACATAGGATGTTCTTTTGTTTATATAGAATTTTTACAGATCAAGTTGCAAAGGTGGCATGACTGTTATTGGCCATTAAAGGAAGTACTGCTTTATGAACAGCAACTGGTCAAATTGATTTTCGTGATTTTTTTATTTTTTAAAGCTTTAACTTTTAGTCGGACAGGACTCTGTTATTTAGTTTTCTTCTAAGATACAACAACACTGCCCCCTAGTGAATCTGTTCATCTACAAAGCGATCATGGGGTGATAAATTAAAGTTGTTTTTTGTCCTGCATCACACATATTCTCACTTTTACTGAAGTTCTGAGTTATTTGACAAGATGACTGCGGGAACAATTAGTACTAGGTTTTAAAGAAGAAAATTACACTGTTCTTAGACATCCTAACGTTTTGTTTTGCTAACTAATTGGTAAACCAAGGTATTTTGTCATTTAAAGACATGCCCTACAGTGGATTGATCATCCATCATTTAATGTATTGTAGTGATATAATGCATTAAATAAATAATGATAGTTGTGAATGTTCATTTCCAACAAATCCCCCTGCTCTGAGGTGGCTATCAAGCTGTATATTTCCCATACACACCTTTTGGGAAACCACAGAGGTAATGTGCATGAACTGCTTATGGTGATTTAATCATTAAAAAAAAAAAAAAAAAGTAATGGAAATGTTTACACAAATGAATGGAAGCCTTCAGTAATTTCCACTAATTTTGCGGTGTTTAAATTTGTTTTCCATTCTTTTTCTCAATAAACAAAACTCTGTGACTTTCTCTATTGCTGCACAGTTTATCTCGAAAAATAGGGAAAGCTGTAAGGTTTTCAAGCACAGCAGAGATTTAAGAGAAAATATAGCTGTATGTTTCTGGCTGCATTCTCACGTAATGTTGTTATTGGGCATTAACGGATTAGAGATTTAGTGTGTGTCTTTGTTGTTTTTTGTTTTTTTTCATGTATTGCCAAAACCAGTTCATATCTGGTCTCATCGGAAAAATTCAGCATAAGGTTTTTTTTTTTTTTTTCTTTCATAATCTATAATGTATAATCTTGCACTATACATGCCTGGAGTGTCTCTTTTAAACCAAGTGGTTAGCGAAGATTGGACTGTCTTTCCTTACATTTGAGGTACATAATGCAACTGCAAAACATTGTTTGGTATTATTTTGTTCCTATTTTTCTCATTGACTTTCTAATTTAATTTATGGGTGTTTGTATCTAAAGTGTTTTAAGTCAATCCCATTTTGTAAATTTCTAAAGCATTGGATCTATTTCAATAACTCTAGACTTCAAACTAATTTTGGTCTGCAGTGCTTTTATTTCAATCACCTACTGGTCACTTCTATATAGGTTGAAACTTTCCCTCAAAATCCATATATTTTCTAAAATGTCTGCTCAGTCAGTTACATTTGACCGCTGCATTGATTAGACCATTTTCCATATTTTAGGTTAGGATTCCATATAAGTTTCAATTAAACTAGGATCTTACTTCATTTCAGAATTTCAGGCATTTTTGATGGTGAAGTAGTCTATTCTGATATTTCCAATATTCTTTAGGTTATAAGTTGCCTAATTTTATAGTAGTCTATTCTGATATTTCCAATATTCTTTAGGTTATAAGTTGCCTAATTTTATATTAACCATTGCATTGTGCATACAAGAAAAAGGTGAAACTATGGAAAGTGGTTTGCTTTGAAATGTCTTGCGCGTCTAGAATGTAGGTCAGGCAGTAAAGTCTAGTTTGGCCTCTATTCGTTTAGTAGGCTGGTTAACCCATGGATATTTTTTCATTAAGTGCAATGTTATTCTAATAATGGAATCGTTACAGCCACCAACTGTCGTGTTACCAGAGATATAATAGTAAATCCAATGTTTGCATTAGGGCAATAATTTTAAAGTTTGCATTGTTTAATTTGCACTTTGCAAACTACGTTGTCTTGCTTACATCAAGAGACTTTCAAATTGTAATTAAGCTTACTCCTCCGCAGGTGAGCTTTTTGCTGGTTAGAAAAGGTCTAAGCTAAAATCCTACCCAACATAACCTTGAATATACTGGTTCTGATTGTGAATAAAAGGATTGTACCAATATGGCAATCTACCCAATCATACATAAGATGCAGTTTCAGTGACACCCTGTCTGGTTCTGTAATGTCTGTACCCTAGTGTCATCTTTTGTGAATCTGGTCAGGTAGTTTAAATAGAATTCTAATATAAGTTCTTTAATATTGTGTGTGAGAGTGTGGGGGTTCTGAGGCAAAAGCCATAGGAAGATGTGATGTGCGTCCAGTCTGTAATAACTCCCCCTCCCCCTCTTTTGCAAGAAGAATTCAAAACTATTTTTGATAAAGAGTAAATTGTGAAAAATGCTAACTAGTATTTCTTGTCTTTATTTGCCTAACTGGCACCTTTTTTGTTTTTGTTTTATTTTTTTTTTATTATTAAATGAGTTCCTGTGATGTCTTATTAAAAAAAAAAATGTATTTTGTAAATTTGTTTCTGCTGTGCTTTTCTACAATGACCAAAATACTATTTACACTTCCTTCATTGTATTTGTGAAGAATTTCCTTGAAATGTCTATATGACTTTTGTCTTGTACTGGAATGGAGAATGGGCACGTTAAGCTATGTATTTTAAGAGACTGTAACTACAGCATTTAAGTAGAAACACCATTTCTTGCACTTCCTCAAGAACTGCACTCTTCCCTCCCCTCCCCTCCTCTTCCCCCCCCTCCCCTCCTCTTCCGCTCCCCTCTTCCCCCCCTCCCTCCTCTTCCCCTTAGAACCTTCTTACATAATGCTAAAAGCTAACTTTTGCCACTGCTGCTGCTGTCGACTGCATTGCCCACGATTCTTGACTATCATTTTTTTTTGTTCCAAGGGAAATGTAATCTGGAACAGCTGCAGTGCTATCAGCCATTCCTGCTTTACTACATTTTGCATTAATTACAGAATCCCTTCCCCACAGAAGATGCACACAGTTAATGCAGTGTTCAGAGTTGTTTGTTTCGGTCTACAAAATCACAACTATTTGAGCAGACTATTGAAATCTTCATCTTTATTTTCAATGTCACTTTTGACATTATGTTGTGTTTTTCTTTTTAGTGCTGGTATTCACTGCCTCATTTTGGCACATGTATTGAACTGTAATTTTATCAATAAATGTTAGTTTTCTAATGCTGTGGTGCTGCTTTTTTAAAGCACACTGTGTTGGGCAGGTCCTTTAAAACACAAGATTTTGATTAAGATTGTTTGTCTGCAACCTGGAGTAGGCTGTTTACATTGAATAACAGGATAAGTCAAACATCAGAGACCATCCAAATATGTCTAAAGACTAAAGTTACTCCAGCAACTTCATGGTGGAAGGAGTATGTATGTGCAGTGATTCTGCTTGAAAAACTTCACATACTGCGATATTGGCACATATATACTGGGTACTAGTTGCACACCAGCACACATGCCAATGCAAAAATAGGATAAGTGCTAAAGGTCAACTAATACATGTATAGAGAAACAGGCTGCAAACACTGATTGTAAGGGATGCCCTCAGCCCCTTACTGGCAAAGAGAAAGTAAAACCGTACAGAACACAAATACAGTTTGTGCCAAATATAAAGTCCAATAAATCCACAAATGCTTGAGAATTTCCTTGCCGAGTCTACTCTCGTTTGATAGAGCAGTGCTACTTCTCTATCAAATGTGAGTAGACTACTTTTTTTTTTTTTTAAATCTATTACTGTAATTGGTAATAATGCAAAAAGATTGTATTTATTTTACTAATTTTTCATTTGTTATAAGTGTTGCAATAGGCTGTTTCTTCTTTGTTTTTTGTTTCCACAATAATCAGTAAAGGCACAAATGCATAACCAAAAATGATACATAAATCAAAGAAATATACACAGAAGTATACATGCATGTCCAACTACTTGTACCATATAAAACAGTGTAGTAAAAATCTCTTCCTAGTCTGGTTCCTATTATCTTAGATCACACAATATATAATGTACTGTTGCAGAGGGCATAGGTCATAGGGATATTTGATTTATGTATCATTTTTTTTTTTGGTTCAGCATTTGTGCCTTTTACTGATTATTGTGGAAACAAAAACCTAAGTACGCAACAGCTCCGTTTTAGAGCAGAAACTGCCTATTGCAATACTTATATTAAATTTAAAAAACTGTGAAATAAATAGAACAAAATCTTTTTGCATCATATTTGAGTGCGGCATCACACATTATTACTATATTTAAGGTATTTTTGTAGGCTACGTTGATACCAGCACCACTATATGAGAGTGCCAATACATTTGGAAATTTCCATTACTATATTTATCACCGATCACACTATTGTCTGAGATATAGATAGATTGATTTAGATATTTATTGACTGACCAATCAATCTACATATCCATCAGTGGGATTGTACAGCTGCATGCTGTTTTTGTCATGGCTTGTTTATATTTCTATTAGTGCTATCTAAACTATCATTGGTTATTCTGTTTTATTGCATATACTTCCAATCATTCAAAGTCTGGTTATCAGCAAGGAAATTCTCAAGCAATTGTGGATTTATTGGACTTTATATTTGGCGCAAGCTGTATTTGTGTTCTGTACTGGCTCTGGGCTGCCTAGTGTCAATTCTGCGCATATTTTGCATCTGTTGTCAGTTTGCAAAACATACTGCAAACAAATGTAAAAAAAACTTCCCCTTGCAGGCAGGGCACCTTATACAAATTATATAACATCAATGGGGTTGAGCAGGGCCCTCAACCCCTCTGTTCCTGTGTGTCCAACTTGTCTGGTTACAACTACATGTCTGTTTGTCCACCCATTGTAAAGCGCTGCGGAATTTGATGGCGCTATATAAATAACATAATATCAACCTAGCTATCATTAAAGGACCACTATAGTGCCAGGAAAACATATTTGTTTTCCTGGCACTATAGGATCCCCCCACCCTTAGGGTCCCCCTCCTGCCGGGCTGTAGGGTGAGGAAGGGGTTAATCATATACCTTTTCTCCACCGATGGGCTCCCTCGGCGGTGGGGACTCTCCTCCTCCTTTCCCTTTCATTGAAAATCACAGTGAGAAGCGCGGAAGCGCCTCTAGCGGCTGTCAATGAGACAGACACTAGAGGCTGGATTAACCCATTTGTGTACATAGCAGTTTCTCTGAAACTGCTATGTTTACAACAGAAAGGGTTAATCCTAGATGGACCTGGCACCCAGACCACTTAATTGAGCTAAAGTGGTCTGGGTGCCTATGGTGGTCCTTTAAGTGACAGTTCTTCAGTATTTCAACCAAATAAATGCCATTAAATTTAAATGGGGTAAAGGAGTGCAGCAGAGGTCAGTGTAAAACTTGTACATCAGCAGCACTGATATTTGGCTGGTGTTGTGAACCGATAATGCTTATGGGATGATCCATAATTCCTTCCATGGTGCAATATGCACACATGAGCACAGGGCCACATAGGAGTTAAACAAATATGCATCATATGCCCTCACTGTGCCAGTACAGCCTGCTGTAATTTAAAAACAAATGTTTAAAAAAAAATAAAAAAAATTCTGCTTTGTATATTGGATTTTTGCCAATATAAAATAAAAAAACAAAAACAAATTTAAAGCATAATGTTACAGCTTGGTGGGTGTGTTTCCTGAATTTGAAAATTACAATATAACATTTAAAAAAAAAAACACAATGCTATAGTTGCCTGGGAAGGAGTAAGGGGGGAGAATGGTTGTTTACCTGAAAAATGCAATATAACCTATTCAATAATAGGAAAACATTTTATATGAAATCCCAGACACAAAGGCTGAAATGCTGAAAAAGGCAAAACATTGTTTACACTAATAAATATATTAAGTAAAACCATTAACGTCTCACTAATTGCTAATTATGTTGCTTTGCTTTTATTACTTTAGGATTAGAATTTGACTTTTGGTGCCTAATCCCTAGTTCTCAAACTTCTATTGCTCTCCCCCCACACTCGGTCCCTGCAGGTCTGTCTACTTAGTGCTGCCCCGTTGAAACACAGGACATGCACAACATTCCGTTCTGATTAGAACAAGGAGCGGATCTAAGCAGGGCATAATATTGCAAGTGTATCCTCAAAACTGCCAAACAGGTACCCACATAGGGTACCCGTAATTTTAAATCCCTTCATGGGCTGAACGACAGGAGTGGGGTGCATGGGCAGAAAGATACAAGTGTGGACATTCGATAAAGGAGGCTTGTTGCTGTGTCTGTCTACCTTTCTCCATTATTATAAATGGGTTTTCCATTAAAATGTGAATTCACGTTGAGCATTTGTTTAAAAATTGGTTGCAAGTAGAGGGTGAGAAACCCTTACTTTTTTTTTTTTTGGTTGCCTTCCGCTTAACAGATTTTAATCAATTATAAAAATAAGTGCTAGTTGCAGCCTTTATTAAAACCGCAAGTCTTGACAAACACAAAGCCTTGACATTTCATCTCTAAGAACACTAGTGTCCACTCCATTAGGAACACCGATTTTAATGCTTACAGCCACAGAGAAATGTATGTGGATCATAATACAGCACACAGGCATAGTCAGGCAAACCGTCTATATTTTGCATTTCATGTATCTGCAGTTTCTAGTTTACTGAATAAAACCCTTGCGACAAGCAGGTGGGTATACTTTTACAGCATATTGTACCATTAAATGTATGTCTTACAACAGCAGACCACAGATAGCTGTATCATTGCTTTGGGTTGTGGTGTTCTCTTAAAGTCCATACTGCTACAGCACCTATTGATTTCTTGCGTCATAACTAATTAATAAGGTGGGTGGGAACAATAATTCTGCCTAAACTTTGTTTTTTACCTTCTGTTTTGCCTTTCTGCCCCAAATTGGACCAACTCTTGAGCCGTTATCTCTCTATTGACAATGCATACCCAGGAGTTTGGAAGATGTTTCTATGATGCATGTTGTTTATTTCACCACATATTATTTTCCTTGTTGAATTCCCCTCTCTCACCCACAATGTCATGCCATCCTCCTCCACCCACTCTTATATCTCTTCTCCCATCCTTCCTAGATCCACTAACTTCAACCCCCACTCCTACCCTTTCTGGTAAAATGTGTTCAGTGCTTTAGCTAACAATAATTGTGTATTCCTATCCACTTAATATATACCTCCCATGTACGAAACATTTACCCAGTACCTAACACTAATCCTCCCATTAAATGTTGGGTTACAGTGGAGTATTATTCTCTATTCTGACTTTATAAAACAAAAAACACTTTTTTGTTATACCCAGTTAACTATCTCTATTCTATTATTGGTGGTTTGGCTTGACTTTGTAAACAAAGATTTAGGAAGCAGGTTTTCCATGTCTGCAGACTCACTGGTGGCTGACGAGGCCAAAGCGTAACCAGCAGATCCAGACTCAGGAGTTGCAAGGGAAAATTTGGTCTGACTTTGATGCCACAATGTCAGGGTCTTTTCTCCTTGTGCCTCTCTTTAAATGTTTGCTCCAGAATCTCTTGTACAGTCTGCCGAAAGCTCTATTTGAGTTTGCCAGTCTCTTTGTCGATCTTGGCATCTGAAGAGATGATGCACCCAAGGTAGCTGAATTGATAGACTGTCTTAAGCTCTGATGTACCTATGGTGATGTTGGGGTGATGGTAGAGGACTTCTGTCTTCTTCAGGCTGTCTTCTAATCCAAAGAGCTCGGCACCCTCTGTGAAGCAGGATGTTATTCATAGTTACATATGTTGAAAAGAGACGTATCTATCAAGTTCAGCCTTCCTCACAATTATTTGCTGTTGTTCCAAAAAAAGGCAACAAAACAAACCATTTGAAGCACTTTCAACTTTGCAACAAACTAGGAAAAATAAATTCTTCTTGATCCCAGAATGGCAGTCAGATTTATCCTTGGATCAAGAAGCCATTACCCCACAGCTGAAAAATTATATAACTGAATATTATGTATCTCGTTGCTGTTTTAAACACCTGTAGAGACTCTGAGGGAGGGGGCGGGGGAAACACTTCAAGCAAAGAATTTCACATCCCTATTGTTCTTACGGTAAAAGAACAACAACTTTCCTTTGCCTTAGACTAAATCTTCTTTCTTCCAGTCTAAATGCATGACCTTGTGTCCTCTGTATAGTCTGTTTATGAATAGATTTCCACACAATGGTTTGTATTGGCCTCAGATATATTTGTATAAGTTATCATATCGCCTCTGAGACACGCTTTTCTAAACTAAAGAGGTTTAAATTTGTTAAACTTTCTTCATAGCTAAAATGTTCCTTTTAATTAATTTTGTAGCACTTTTTCTAAGGGGATGTCGGTGTTTAATATTTGGGAGGTTAGAAGTGCCACCTCGCGCCAGAGAGGCGCTATGTGTCCATATTCCCACCACAGGTGGATGAAGGTGCCCTTTTCTCTGCAATCCTTCCAGCAGCTGTCTGTGTCTGCCCTGCCCATTTGTTTGAGTCTAAGTGGAGTGAGATACCATCTTAGCATTTTGTACGCCTGTTCTTTGTGGTTTACACATATTGAGATGGAGGCGGTTGCGTCCCAGATGGCCTTCCAGTCCTCGGGGTCTCCCACGGGGCCCAAATCCCTCTTGCATGCCTATTTGTAGGTTAATGAGTTTTCTTTTGCGTTTTGGCTGAGGTGTGTGTATATCTGTGAGATTTGTCCCTTCTGGACTGGACTTTTGGTGCAATCTCTCCTGAAGGTCGTGAGTGGGGTTGGGCCTGCGAGTTTGTATTTGGTTGACGTGATGAGGCTTTTTATTTGAATGTAGCGGATTCAATACCCACCTTTTGATGCCGTGTGGTGCATGGAGGTTTTGTGCCGCATAGAAATTGTTGGTAAAGTTTGGAAGTTCTAGACCTCCGGATCTGTTGGGCACGTATAAGGTTTGGCGTTTAACTCTTGCTCTTTTGTTTGCCCATATGACTCTAAGTGAGTGAGTAACTAAATTACCTCCATTTGTTTAAAGATACATAGGGAGGGGGCGGAGCTTGACCATCAACCTGGAGAGATGCCATTCCTGTATTCTCCTCCATAAACCTCGATAAATCCAGGGAATGTCAAGCTACAAAGAGTGGGTACCAAGATCCCTTAACTCATCCTGAGGCGGTAGATGGCATTCTTCGCGGCTTCACATCAGCCCAAGCTTAGAAAGAAAACTTGGGCCTACCCCACGCTGACATACGCAGGCCTGGATGCGATCCTGAGCGGTTCAGCGGCTAGGCAAGTGTGGGACAGAGCAGCCCCTAAGACGACAGACCTACCGGCCCGCATGCCAGCTATGGGACGCCGCTCACAACTACCACAGCCCACAGCAGGCAACAGGGATATCGGGCCATGCTTCAATGGTCTATGCAAGCCAAAACCGTCCCTGCCCAATCCCTGCGCCCCGTAGCCCACACTCACCACCCAGCACCAGAGGCCTCCACGGACACCCAAGTAGAGAGCCCAAAACAGCCGGACAACCCAGCCGACACGGCCCCAATCACCAGGCAGGATCTAAAAACCCTGCTGACGGACTTTCACAAAATTATAGCGGCGGAACTTGCTCCCATTAAAAAGGACATCAAAGCAATTACCGAAAGGGTGCAGGCATCTGAAAAATACATCATGAGCCTTCAGGATCACCTGTCTGAGCTACAAGAATCAGTGCAGCAAATATATATATACACAACAAAGAGACATGACTGCACAGCTCACTGCTCTGGAAGAAAGGCAAAGGCGCACTAATATAAAAATAAGGGGCATCCCTGCGGAAATCTCACCAAACGAACTACCACACTACTCCAGACGCCTCCTGGCCACAATTCTGCCTCCAGCTAAAGCGGAAATCTATCGCCTACCCTCACCCGTCAGGGCACCAACAAACTCAGCTCGAGAAGTGATACTTAAATGTCCAACAGTACAGGACAAAATACAGCTTAAATGGAAAACACCAGTGGCTTTCGAGGGAACGACATTGAATTTATTCCAGGACCTCACATGGAGAAAAACCTTCTCTTCTCTCACTAGTGGCTTGAGATCAGCGAGCATCAAATATAGGTGGGGGACCAATGGTTCACTAAGCCAACACACACTCACCTCGATGGAGGGCGCACCCGCGTTCCTGGAGACACTGGGACTGAACATTTTGATCGCCGCTAATCCACCCCGTAGACCAACCACGGATAACTGGGACCCTGAACACATCACTCCCTTTGTCCCATGGGCCGTGAGCTCCTAGACCACGGAACGACACCACCCTCTGGGGACCAGTTTGACGAAGGGCACCTAACCCCTCCAGCAGAAGCATAACCAGGACTCAAGCATAATCTTTGCAAATCTAACTACTACCAAAAGTTTTTTGCCTGCCCTGTTTACTGATTTGGCTTACATGTTGCCTCTAGGTTACTACTCTCATTTGAATCTGTAAATACCTAGCATCAATTGATACTATATGCACAGCCCACCTCAGATTGACAGGGCACGGCAGTACTCCCACATATATACTCACACTTTGTAGCGGGACAACAAAAGGCCCCCTTCCCCTCCACTCCCCCTCCTGCAACTTCCCTGGTCAGGAGTAATTACATCTATGATCTACAACACACTCAACAAACATGTAGCTGCACTGCGGAGCACACACACCCAAACACGTTCGGCACCTCTGAGGACGTACTCCATGTACCCTGTACATCACTGTGCCACTCAGGCACATACTAGCACACCGCATAGGTTAGTCGTTTGCACGCTCCAGCAGACCAACACCTCTTGTAGTAAAGCAGCTGGGACTAAATTCAACCTATAGGCCTCTCCACACTCCCTCAATCTCATATCTCACAAAAACATACGCTCCCTTAAGCTCAAGCACATCACGCTGAGACGCCCAACTCAATAGATGAGGTTGGGAAGCCTTTACATAGCCCCACGCACTCATTCATAAAACACTATAGGTCTATTGTCTCAAACATGATGAAACCGAAGTGATACACCACGATAGACGCACAAAGCCTGTACACAGCTTCTTATAAAATATACCAAAAAGTGCTTTTCCATGACTGCCACATCACTGTTGAAACTATGCCTGTTTTTCAAATTGCCTATGACTGCTATTGTGGCAATGCAAGCATGTACTTATTGATTGATGCACAAAAAATAAAGAGTGTGTGTGTGTGTGTATATATATATATATATATATTAGTGTGTGTGTATGTACACACACACACACAGTCTCATCGCCAGGAAAGGGAGTTGGTGCCCCATCAGTGTGCCAGAATTAAAAAAATAAAATAAAAATTGGCTACTGGCTATGCTGATGGGCATTATTAAAAAACCCAGCATCAGGATGTACTGGTCCAAAAATCCTGTATGCAGCACCCCTATTTATTCCCAGACCAGAGACGAAGCGATACTTTGCTTTTCACACTTCAGCGACAATTCCAAGAGATCCTCAGTACGATAACCTCTATAAGATTTGCCCCCTAATTTCCAACTTCAAGAGACAATTTGGCTCAATTTACATCCCACACAAAAAATATTTGTGTAGATGAGTCTTTGATGAAATACAAAAGCAGACTGGCGTTTAACCCCTTAAGGACCAAACTTCTGGAATAAAAGGGAATCATGACATGTCACACATGTCTTGTGTCCTTAAGGGGTTAAGCAATATATCTTGGCCAGAAGATCCCGGTATGGAATAAAGTTATATAAACTTAGCAAATGTGTCAGTGGCTATGTTTACACCTTCCATGTTTACAAAGGTAAAGACAGCCACTTGGATCCCCCAGGTTGCCCGGATATCATTGGTACTAGTGGGAAAATTGTATTGGATCTAATTATCCCATTGCTAAACAAAGGGGTATCATTTATATATAGATAACTACTACAATAGCATCCCTCTTCTTAGGATGCTTTATTGCTTTAAAACTGTGGCCTGCGGCACTATCCGAAAAACACGTGTCAGTTTCCCAAAAGCCCTAGCACAAAAAAAAAGTAAATCCTTAAAGGCCCCCACCCGCCACTCAGGGGTGAGGGGACTCTGCCCCTTCATTATCCTATAGGGCCCCCACCCGCCACTCAGGAGTGTGGGCTGGGGGGGAGGACAATAGGTCCTCTCCCCATTATCCTTGCTCATTTTTGCTGATAACCACATTTTCCTCAAGGAATTCTTTAATATTATCCCGTAATAACCTTTCAAATACTTTCCCAGCCACAGAAGTTAAGCTCACAAGTCTAAAATTTCCAGGCAAGGATTTTGAACCCTTTTTGAATATAAGAACCATGTCTGCCGCCTTCCAATCCTCCGCAAACTTCCTGAAAGAAAAGAATCTTGAAAGATTAAAAACAGAGGTTCATTTACTTTCACACTGTTCCTTAAGTACGTGTGGATGAATACTGTCTGGTTCTGGAGCTTTGTTTGTATTAACTTTATTTAACTTTCGCTGCAGGACAGTCACCATGTGGGAAACAAGGGCAGCATCATCCGTGAAAAGCGGCTATCTGGTGAGTTGGTCCACCGTCTTGGTGTGGGCCCTTAGTCGCCTCAAGTTAAATAGGCAGCCATCGGTGCAGTAAGGGATATAGACACTATTAAGGTCTACAGTGGCCCTTTGAAGCATCAAGCTGAAAAAGATCGTGAAGAGAGTTTGTGGAAGAACCATTTCCTATAATGCAGGGTTTTGAGAGGTTGATGCTGTGTCTGACTTGGCCATGCTTATTTTCGTGTTGCAGGTTGAATTTTGAACTTAGGGGGACATCCTAGGTGTTCCAAGATTTGCCACATACTTTTTCTGCTCAAAGTGTCGAACTCTTTGGTTAAGTCACATACAATGCCTTCTTGTGTTCCCGACATGTTTCTTGGAACTGTCTGAGAACGAATACTATGTCCTTTCAGCTTTGAAGCCACATTGGCTCTCTGGATAGAATTCTTCTGCAGTGGTAGGTGCCGGTTTGTTCAAAAGTACCCTTGCAAGGGGTTTTTCCTGTGATGGAGAGCAGTGTTATTCCGAGATTGGTGGAGCAGTCAGACTTTTCTCACTTGTAGAAGGTGATGATTATAGCATCGAAGATGTACTGTGGTAGTTTGCCTTGTTCCCAGCAGCAGACAAAGAAATCATGAAGTTTAGTGTGTAATCCTGGGCCCCCAAACTTCAGAATGAATTCCATCGACTTCTGCTGCCTTGCCACGTGTCAGCTGCTTAATAGACAGTCTCTCCGATAGTAAGAGTCCAACTTTGTTTTTTGGATGATGCAATGGAATGCAGAAACTTGTACCATGCTGTTGGTGCCTAAGAAAAACTGGAAATGTTCTGAACACTGGTTCAGGATGGACATCTTGCTTGTGAGGAGTGTTTGACCTCACTCAAAATTTCTCTCCCCTTGTTACTTACAACTGTTATATGGGAAGCCCATAAACCGGTAATCAGAGGACAACTTGCATTGTGCAAGGGACTCTATACCTGGAAGCGCCGTACACTGCCTTTAATAATTCTTAAAACCCTCTGTTGTCCCCAACATCTGTGCAAAGCTGAGTTCTCTATGCAAAGTTTGTCCACCACTTGTTCCCGGTTTATGCACTGGAGGTTTCTTCGTACAAGGTGGAAAGCTGCTTTCCTATAAGGAAAAGATGGGTTAGCAAGGTGTGCTTGGTGATCTCTTCTTCATCAGCAATTCTTGTAACGCCTGATTGTTCTCCTCACACCGATCTTTGTTCTTCTATGTTCTTCTATGTGGTGGTGAACTCTAAAACCTTTTCAGAGGTCTGCAAGATGGCAGATATTAGAAATTCACAAAGCTCTTTTTAGGAAGGTTCCACAAGGCAGCTGGAATCCTCAAGCCTCAACTCAAAACTTGCTTGACATTTGGCGTTCACCTCAGCTGATTGGAGGTTACCAATCTGATGTCTCTTCTTCAGTGTGCTTCCAGTCTTTGGTTTGGGTTTTAAGTGGAGACATAGCTTGCATCTTACAAAATGATCTGTATGACACTGTGCTGGGCATTACTCGAGTGAGTGGGATGCCTCGAATGTCTCTATGGCACACCATGATGTAATCTATAAGGTGCCAATGTTTGGGGGAGCAAGGGTGCATCCATGTTGTCTTTAGACAATTTGTTTGCTGGAAGTTGGTGTTGGTGATGACATATTTCTGCTCTACAGAAAACTACAACAAAAGGTGCCCATTGTCACTGCAGTTTCCAACATTCGAGGATCAACATGTTTTGCTTCCCACACAGATTTTTATCATTTAGTTCAATCATGTTACTATAACATAACCTTGTCCTGACATGCACCCTTCTCTCTTGCCATTCTGATGCTTAACGATCCCACCACAATTTCCCAAGTGACAGATGCACTTCACCACTATTTCTTAGAAATTTCTCTCCCCTTGTTAATTACAACTGATATATGGGAAGCCCATAAACCGGTAATCAGAGGACAACTATTTGCTATAGCATGACAACTCAAGAAAAAAACAGCAAGGTGTATTGTTAAGAGGGGGCCCAGAGAGCTAATTCTCCATCTCCTCCAGCATCAGGCCATTTCTGCTCGCGAGCCGCAGATTGTCATGGCAACGCTCTAGCGTTATTGGCTCTGTGTGTGTATATATATATATATGTATGCAAATGGGCGGCCTGGGCTCTTTGCGGCACAGCACATTTGTTTAAAGTGGTCCCACCGGGACCAAAGGGCAGGCCTGCCCGGACTGCATTTATCTTAAAAATTTGGAAACCCTCACGTAAACTATCTCATAAGCTTTTATACTTAGCTACATAATTTGAGACAGGAACCACTTAGTAAAAATTATATTGAACATTTTCTTTAGATTAGAGTGAGCCAGTCCATACCCAACAACACCCTAGACGCTCTAAACCCCCTTATTTCGACGGACAAATTCAAGGCTGTAGTCAAAAGTTTACAACTTGGTAAGAGTCCAGGCCCAGACGGCTTCACAGCCAAATACTATAAAGCATTTGCATCCACCCTTGCAAAACCATTTACAATTGTCTTTAGCTCTATTTTAAACTCCACACCTCTGCCAAACACAGCTCTTGAGGCACATACCTTAATTCCGAAGCCTGGTAAAGACCCTACCGTCTGTGGGAGTTACCAACCCATTTCCCTAATCAATATTGACCTAAAAATCTTTACTAAAATACTGGTCAATCGTCTCAGTCTTCTACATCAGGACCTTGTCTACACAGATCAGGCTCAAATTAAACCTGAATACTGAGGTTTAAGTTTAGAAAAAAACAACTCATACAGTGTGCATGGGGTGCAGTGGGAACACTGTGTGTATGGGGGCAGTGTGTGTATGGGAGTGCAGTGTGTTTGTGGGGGAGGAGTGTATCTATGGGGAGTACAGTGGTGGCAGTGTGTGTATTGGGGAAAGTGTATATATGGGGGTGCAGTGTGTGTACTGGGGTGCCATGGGGGTGCTGTGGGGGCAGTGTGTGTATGGGGGTGCCGTGGGGGCAGTGTGTGTATGAGGGTGCCATGGGGGCAGTGTGTATATAGGGGTGCAGTGGGGGGCAAAACAAAAACAAATGTTTTTTTTATTTATTAAAAAAATATGGTTTATATCCCCCCTCCCTTCTTACCTTTGCCCAGGGAGGGGAGATATCGATTGTGAATCCCTGGCGGTACTAGTGGGGAGTGAACTCTAGTTTTGCCAGCATTATAGGTGTAAGAGCGTTACGGGAAATGTAGTCCACAACATCTGGAGTGCAGAAGGTTGCCTATCCCTGCTCTAGGGGATAAGCATGTGTTTTCACTAGAACCAACACCACCAATTACACTTGACGTAACACAGACATCAAATTGTAACCCATTCCTACAGGCGGCAGACGATTGGGAGGTCTAACCTCCCGCACTTTGAATTATATTTCTTTTCAGGGTATTACCGATATTATACTAGTTTTCTTTATCATCGAGTGTGCATTTGTACACACTTCCTGTTATTCCATCCACAATGGATGTATACATACCAGAGATTGTTGTCCTTCATATTATATATACGTATTGATCCTTCTAAATGGAGGTAACCAATCGCAACATTCAATTGTTATCCCTAATGTCCTTGTTAACTTTTTGCTTCTCTATAATACTTTGCTTTGTAATGTGTGAAATGGATATAATAAAAGCTTTAAGAAAAAATAAACATCAGTCCTCAGGGGACACTTCATTAAAGCTGCTACCCACTAAAAGATTATCCAATTAATGAAAAATGCAAAAGATTATCCAATTACAAATTGCCTTACGGTCTGTGAAACAGCAAAATAATACTGATTCGAAAACTAGATGAACTCAGAGTAATTAGACGTTATATGAAAAGGTTCTTTTGGAGGATACAGCCTAATAATCCATCCTCTGGTCCAAGAAGACATTCTTTGGAAAATCCTATAAAATGGATACTCTCCTAGCCCGAACATATGACTGCAATTAAACTCAGCAAAGGTAAATTAGCCAAGGCACCAAATGATATAGCAAGCATCTTCACGGAATTTATGTGACTCCACATTAATTCACCCCAATACACTGACCAAAATAAAGGCTATATAACTTACCTAAATATCCCTTGACTTTTAGAATTGCAACAGAACTTTTAGGGGGCCCATTTACAGCAGAGGAAATATAAGATGAAATGGCAGCTTTGAAAGGAAATATACCTCCAACGCCAAATGGGGATATTCTGAAACTTTTTGATAAATTCTTACCCCTCATTTACAATCCCTCTTTAACGACTTGAGAAATGGCGGAACCCCTGAAGAAAAAGAAGAGGTCCATTGCTAATATTGTCCTCTTACCAAAGCCAGGCAAAGATAGAAAGCTCCTAAAAAATTACAGACCTTCATCCCTGATAAACCTTGATGCAGAAATAGCTCAGGAACTGCAGATTTTATTGAGACTGGATCAAGGAGGCTTCATTTAAATTATGTGCTAATTTTTGAGGCAGAGCTTTGAAACTTTGTTGACAAATTTTGCTATGGAAATGTCAAATGCTAGTTCTAAAACATCTCTTACAGCAGACATGTTGCAGATTAGGCCATCAAATTATGATTCAACTTTACAGTTGCTCTTGTTCTCTCTCAAGACGTCTCAATGTTTTGCAAACCCAGTGGTTTTTTTTTTTTGCACTATTAAGACTCTTATCTTTCTCTCTCTCTCTCGATTTTGTCTAGACTGAGTTTCCTGAGCTATGAGCAAACTGTGATTTACTGTTTAGTATTCAAGTTTGTTTACACCAAATAGCCGCTTCCAACTACACTGTGCCAAAGGACAAGGCCATCAATGTTAAGTAACATTTGGAAGCCTTTGCAAACCTACATGGATAGGTTTTACAACAGACAGATATTCATGCCTGCCAATGACACATTTCAGTTTGTATGGTTTTATATTTAGACCAGTGCTGCGTTCCAGCATCAATTTCAAAATTACCAAAATGTCAGAATAGGAAGTGACCAGGACATTATTCTTTAATACAGGAAAGTGTGGGAATATGATTTCCAAAAGTAAAGCACTGTTGTTTTTGTTTTCTTTTTACCCGTAACCCAACAAACACCAAAGCACAACACAGACACTACACATCACATCATTGGAGGCCGTGATCGGTGGCTACTGAAGGCATTGTGAAGAGTCATCAACCTTTCAGTTATTTTGTTGCTCTGTGAAGGCTGAATGATGCAGTATGTCCTTTACATTTGCTGTGAACGCCCTGAGCAGAATATTTGCATTCAAGGAAATGAAAAGAGTGAGAAAACAATGATTCCCCCTGAACTCCGACAAACCTTGAATGTTGTACAGCTCAAGGAGTGGGAGCAGTGCAAACCAATACAATGGTACGACTATTGACTATTTGCATTGCTGTTTGCTAATGAGTGGGTTAAACTTTAAATTTTTTTTTTCTTTTTCCTTTCTTTAAAGGAACGTTTTTGCAATTGATTTACTCACAGAAGTGTGAATGTTTAGTTATTTAAAGTGATTTTACGCCGAAAGAGAAAAACTGAACTAAATACATCGCTGACTTGGGGCTCTTAGACTTTTGCAAAAATGAGTTTGTCCAAATAAAATGCCATGGTGATTGTCAAATGAATCGATTCAGAATAATTTTATCATTACAGGTAAGGTCGATCAGAATTCATTTGTCCCGGTATTGATTAACAGATATTTTGTTTGGATGACTAAAACATTTTTTGCACATCTAGTAACCATTAAATGCTATAGCAGCGGATCATATGCCTCCTTGCATTTTGGCTGTTACCAGTCATGTAACATGCTATCACAGACCATACTCACTCTTTTCAGACAAACTGTGGAGAGTTGCACATATTACAACACAATTACATAGTAAATAAAATGAAATGAACACCACACAAGTTCTGGATATTTACCACACAAAAGCTGTATCATCAAATATTACACAGGGAACTCATAAAGATTTTGCTTTGGTTCTGCACAGGTGTACATCATTCGCTGGCACTCAAGGGGTTAAAAATTCTTAGATACATAAAATGTACCAAGTAGACTGAAGACTGACAAATACAATCTGCAAAGGAAAAGGGAGGATGAAGAGAAGAATACATTCCTCGTGTTTTTGTACAAGAACGCACAGTATTTAAGACATATTGCACATATCGGTGGCATTTGCTTGTTCTGCAGGCAAAACTTTGACACACAAACTTAATTCAAGGAAAAAAAAAATTCAAAAATCTGAACTTATTTCATATTACATTTACAAAACAAAGCACATCTCTTCACAAAAATAATAAAAAATATATTTATATATTATTTCCCCTGAAAAGTCTCAATGTGGATAGAGTTTTTTTTCCTGGGGTGGCCAAGCTGGTGTGTCCAGCAGCATGAGGGTAATGGGAGGCACAGTGACGTTTAGAAGAGACAGAGTGATAGGAGCTGTAGTCCAGCAACAGCTGGAGAGTCACAGGTTGGCCACCTCTTGTTTAGTTCATGTATATATATATATATATAGGCAGGTGCTGGTCAGTCTGATTGTCCAGTAATGCGTAGCTTCATCTTCACGCTGTAAGGTCCGAGATGACTAATTTATCCATCTTGTTGGCAATTTCAGGTGAAGACATAATCTCATCCCCCTCGTAGTCATCCTCAAAAGACCTAAAGGGAAGGATGGAAATATAACATGGTGGGTGATGTACTGTTGCTCAACAAAATAATGTTGATTAACCTACACATAATGTTCTATTCCCTCAACGTCAATAAAACAGATCCACCATGTTTCCAGGTCACATCACATTTTCATGATGGACAACATATGAAAAGTGCTTCACTTCTGTATGTACAAAGTACTTTTCTTTTTTTTGATACTTTTTTTTTTTTAAACCTCCATTTTTAAAAAGCTGATTTTCTGAAGTTCCTTTTTTGAAATATCAGGTGAATTCACTAAATAGTGAACTGTAACGGATTCAATGTGAAGCAAACACGGTCTTATATTGGACGTTAGCTTGTCTTTAAAGCCCACACAATGATCGTTATTATGACCGAAGATATTCTAACCATCCACGCCTGTTCGCACTAAACAGTCATTACTCATATTTCCCAATACAGAAATCCCCTAAAAAAGGAGCCAGGAGGGTGTATTGTTTTCTCTTTGAAACCACTTTCCATTTTGCAATCTAGAAATTACATAGGGACAGACTCATGCAAAAGCAGATTTCTCCTATGATCATGTACAAAACACATTATGATCGCTATGCTAGGTAAAGATTTGTGTTTTCTTTTTTTCATGTGACTCCCCCTCCTCGTGTTGTCCCATGTTTTTTAAAGTGACTCCCCCTCCTCGTGTTGTTAATTTTAAATAGATTGTATAAAGAAAACTAAAGCGATATTATCTAAATACAGTGTTTGAAATCTCCATTTAGCCAGCATTTCATTTATTTATAAACATAGATTTGGCATTTAGAAATTTAGGGAAATCATGTAGAACTAGACCTGGTTGTAGCCATTTTTCTATATTCCAGGAATTATACCGCTTGTCAAAATGTGTTCAGTATATATATATATATATATATATATATCTCGACTTTTACAGGGTGAAAGACTAAGCAATAAAACCAGAGGTTTGAACTTATACTACAGATGTGGCATGGACTTATCTTATTAATTTCATCATCATATTTTTTTTTTTATGAACATTTACCAAGTTTATATTAAAAGAACATGATAGGGCCAGGAAAACAAACATGCATTCCTGACCCAATAGTATTAAAAATACCTTCTAGCCCCCCTGCCTCCCTAAATATAGTATAATCTTACCTTTACTTTAGTCAGCTGCAGCTGGCTCTGCCCCTGATCTGCCTGCTTGGCTGACATCATCAGAAGTGTTGCTGCATACCAATCACAATGCTTTCCCACAGAAAAGCATTGGATTAGCTAAGTTTGTCAAGGAAGCAGATCAGGGACAGAGCCAGCACAAGTCAAACACAGCCCTGGCCAGTCAACATCTCCTCATAGAGATGCATTGAATCAATGCAGCTCTATGAGGAAAGTTCAGTGTCTGCATGCAGAGGGTGGAGACACTGAACGGCAGTGCTATACACTGTGCAGAATTGCCCCAGAAAACACCTGTAGCAGCTATCTGAGGAGTGGCCACTGGTGTTATGATTAGGCTGTAATGTAAATACTGTCATTTCTCTTAAAAAAGTGTTTACTGCAAAAAGCCTGAAGGAAATGATTATACTCACCAGAACAAATGCAATAAGATGTAGTTGTTCTGGTGACTATAGTGTCCCTGTAATGATTTATTGAGATTTATTCATTGCAGACACTGAACAACTACTAGCCCATACATACGGTTTAATTAAACATGTGTGAATGTTAGTTTACAGACTCACCCTTCTTGTAACTGTTCGGTGGCTGATTCCTCAGCAACCAGAATCTCATATTCTTCGGCTGCGTATCTGTCCCAATCAGAGGGTTCAGGACTTTCACAATCAACATCCTGCAAAGAAGATGCAATGTCTCTTTAACAATGAAAATGAACCAAGAATTGACAGAAAATATGACGCTTTAAGGATATAATGTTTAGCAAGTAAAATGGAAAATTTGGAACTTTGTTATAAGATACACAACTATATTCGGTAAGGTGAATGAAAGCTTTGTAAAAGAACACTCCAGATAATTAATTAATCTGGTTGGGGCACATAGGGGTAAAAATGGGAGAATCTTACTTTAGCAAATATTTATTTTAGACATTAATATCCCTTTACAGAACACTTGCAGTCAGCAGGATAATTCAGTTTCCTCATTATAAAAAGTCACAATTATGTAAATGGCTGTTTTTTTGCCAGTGATCTTGTACAGTGATATACTTAAAGGACCACTCTAGGCACCCAGACCACTTCAGCTTAATGAAGTGGTCTGGGTGCCAGGTCCTTCTAGGGTTAACCCATTTTTTAATAAACATAGCAGTTTCTGAGAAACTGCTATGTTTATGAATGGGTTAAGCCTTGCCACTAATCCTCTAGTGGCAGTCTCATTGACAGCCACTAGAGGCGCTTGCGTGCTTCTCACTGTGATTTTCACAGTGAGAGCACACCAGCGTCCATAGGAAAGCATTGTAAATGCGTTCCTATGCGACCGGCTGAATGCGCGCGCAGCGCTTGCCGCGTGTGCGCATTCAGCCCAGGAGGAGGAGATCTCCCCGCCCAGCGCTGGAAAAAGGTAAGTTTAAACCCCTTTCCCCCTTCCAGAGCCGGGCGGGAGGGGGTCCCTGAGGGTGGGGGCACCCTCAGGGCACTATAGTGCCAGGAAAACAAGTATGTTTTCCTGGCACTATAGTGGTCCTTTAAATATGGCAATTTAAAGAGAGAGGTTGTCTAGGCTAAAAAAACACCCACATTAAATGGGGTACCCACATTGTATGGCAAGAATGCCTTATTATCAGAAGGATGAGGAATTGACCTCATCTACTTGGAAGGATGCAAATCGGTTCCCCTGCTGTGTTTGAAATACAAGCAAGCCATATGTACCTTTTGCATGGCAAAGGGATCTCTCTGTTCATGGTCCAGGTATTTCTCGAGGTTAAAGCAGGTGTCATAGAATATGTGTGCCATTCGACATCGCTTCAGGTCTCGTAAAGTAATTCGTCCTAAAAATTTGAAAATTAAATGTTTTGAACTTAGCTCAAAGCAGACTGTTATAAACACGTTATTTAGCTGGTATCTGAGGGTAGTTTATTTTGACAAATTATTTTAAACAAGGACAGATTTTCATTTTTGCGTGAAACAAAACCTATTTTCATATGATGTGTTCACAATTTTCAGGGTGCTGTACAGCACGAAACACAGTGCAGTCTTACCCTCTTTCAGGCATGGCATTGTCAGCTTGTCATGATGGGATTCATGGTATGATGGATGGGTGCATACAATGTTTACAGTAAAATCTCTATCGTTATTCACTAATTACATATTGATGTCCTGTTTATAGTGATGTAAAGGGTGATGGCCAGGGGACCATTTACAACTTTGCAAGAGAGTGGCGGTCACCTAATCATGAACCTAACCCCAAGACCCCATGAACTTAATCCCAAATAATGCGCTGGATAACATATGAAAGTAAAATAAAAAAACAAACAAAAAAAAACATAGAATTAACAAATTAAAATTTTCAATGAATATTCTTATTCCTAACATCACAAGTTAACAAGGAATCTGGCCCTCCAATCCCAGCTCTTCCATGCTCCTCTTTTAATCACACCCTGCTTTATATCTGTTTCATATAAATTGTCTACATGTGGATATGGTTTTACCTTCTACTTCTGGCTTTACCAGGTCCAACAGCTGGCACAAGAGATCCTGAAATGGCAGGGGCTCAATGCCCATGGTCTCCATTTTCTCACATTGCTCCTCATAGAAATACTCCAGTTCATACATGGACAGCACACCATCACCATCTAAGTCCATGCAACGGAACCAGTACTCAATACTAAGAGGAGACAAGCACAGACAAACCATGCATTTTACAACCACATACATGTAGCAGGATCCTCTAGTTTTTATGTTTTTAGATGTGTACAATTATCTACCCACAAGGTGGCTCCTTTTGACTCTAGAGGTACCATGGGGCAAAAAAGACAATATTCAAACCATAAGGAATACCTCCTTAATTATTTATTCATTCAATTTAAAGTATTTTAATTATTAATATATGATATGGAGAGCAAAAGTACATCTTTAAAATGTTAAAAGGTACTATGTTCCACAGAAATCTCTAACATAATAAATAGCTATATGTATTTATAAAGTTGGAGTGTTTGTTTAATCTTGTTTTAAAGCCACCGTGTGTGTATGCATTAACAGCAATTCCGGGTAAAGTGTCAAAAGTGCAGCAATGCGTAGGAACTTTCCATTGGTTTATATTGGGATTACTTTTAGAACTTTGCCATAGAATACCTTTTTAATTCTAACCCCAGCATTATAAAGTAACACTGATATTCTCTGCTGACTGGCTTTTCTCAAAGTTTTGTTCACTCATGTATAAATCAAGGTCAGTCAAATGGTTCATGAGTAATTAACACATTGCTATCTTGTCTGGTATTGACAGTTCAGGCAGGATGAACTTGTCAAAAAAAAGTTGTTTCTGTAAACCCTCCCAAGTTACAGAATCCCTTTTAACTCTGGATATTCCTGATTCATCTAATTATCCTTGTATTGATTAAACATACACACTGCTATATAACACATATACCCAGGAGCTTGTCACTGTATGCCGTGTGTTTTATTTTTTTGTAAATGTATTAACATGCATGGAGTGTGCAGTACTTAATCACTATGCCAACCAGTATTTCTTAACTTACATATGCAAGTCTGATCTTTCAGAGATTAGAGAGTAGCACCATTAAAGGACCACTATAGTGCCAGGAAAACATACTCGTTTTCCTGGCACTATAGTGCTCTGAGGGTGCCTCCACCCTCAGGGTCCCCCTCCCGCCCGGATGTGGGGAGAGGAAAGGGGTAGAAACGTACCTTTTTCCAGCGCTGGGCGGGGAGCTCTCCTCCTCCGATCCTCCCATTCGGCTAAATGCGCACGCGCGGCAAGAGCTGCGCGCGCATTCAGCCAGTCGCATAGGAAAGCATTTACAATGCATTCATATGGACGCTTGCGTGCTCTCACTGTGAGAATCACAGTGAGAATCACGCAAGCGCCTCTAGCGGCTGTCAATGAGACAGCCGCTAGAGGAATTGGAGGAAGGATTAACCCAAATCTCTGAAACTGCTATGTTGATAAAAAAATGGGTTTATCCTAGCTGGACCTGGCACCCAGACCACTTCATTAAGCTGAAGTGGTCTGGGTGCCTAGAGTGGTCCTTTAATACAGTGATTCTACTGATAGTGCTATGCCAGCAAGAGGGCTGTGCTGGGAAGACAAAATCACTGTTTCCTTAGCTACTCTTAAGATCATTGCCAGGAAAGTGCTGATTTACTATTTATAAAGCACTAAAAATTCTGTAGCGCTGTACAATAGGTGGACGAACAGACATGTATTTGCAACAAGACAAGTTGGACACGCAGGAACAGAGGATGTTGAGGGCCTTGCTAAATTAGAAAATTAGCTTAGATTCTAGAGAGAGTAAGAAAAAGGAACACTAGATTCACCAGAACAACTACAGCTTATTGTAGTTGTTCTGGTGACGGACGGATATTCATTTCCTGCAGGCATTTTCATTTAGAGAAAAGACAGTGTTTACATTGCTGCCTAGGAACACCTCCAGTGGCCACTCCTCAGATGGCCACTAAAGGTACTTCCTGGGGCTGTGCTGCACAGTGTGTGATGTTGCACTGACGTTCAGCGTCTCCATGCTCTGCAAGGAGACAATCACTTTCCCCATAGAGATGCGTTGATTCAATGCATCTCTATGAGTAGATGGCGATTGGCTAGTTTGACAACTTCAGCCAATCCAAAGCTTTCCTATGTGAAAGCATTGTGATTGACTGAGATATTAAACTCTGATGTTATCAGCCAAGGAGGTGGATTGGGGTCAGACCCAGCGCGGGCAGACCCACATGGCGCTGGAAATAACGTGAGTTTTTACTGGCTTTAAGGGGGGCATGGGGTGGTCTAAATAGTTATTTTAACACTATAGGGTCAGGAATACAGGTTTGTGTTGCTGACCTTAAAGTGTTCCTTTAAGAGTAAATTTCATTAATTTCACATAGACCTGGACATATATGCCTCAGCACTGCCCAGTGTTTGTCAAATCATGAATTTTAGAGAATAATGCATGGATGATGGCACTCACCATGCAATATGGCGTTTAAAGACACAATCTGGCATTTAAATAATTGTATATACATTTTCTGATTTCTTCTGAGTGAGTTCTGATCCTTACTGATCAGTTGAGATTTATATACAACACACATACCATTTAGAATGGCTGCTAATACCGCTACTGTTTTCTAAACTGGAACTATTCAATACCTGGTGGGATTTTTCTTATCTTCCTCTGATAACAGGAACCAGACAAACTCCGCATAGCTCATCCTCCCCTCTCTTTGAACAGCGTTTCCTCTGCAAACAATACACACAGAATGTCTTATATTGAGCACAACAAAAACGTTTCCTTCCCCAGTCCTTTTATTCAATGACACGATTTATTTTAGGAATGCACATATACATAGAAATGCTAACATTTTAAACAAAAAAAGCCAATCCAGAGAGAAAAAAAGTGAAAGTTGGTTGATAAATCATAACAAGTAACTGTTTAGTGAATGGACCCCCTAGTTAAATTAAGGAAATAGATTATGCATTGCAACTGGGAAAATTAGTTTTGGTAATCTGGCAAACCCTTGAAAACGAATTTAAATGTAACATAAATATCCTATAAAAATGATAAAAAGCTGCTAATATTATAATAGTACCTATTGTTTAGCTATTATTTTGAAATTCTGACAACTCACACACATCTATTGTGATGCACTGTAACAGCATGGCACCTATACCTCAGTAAACATGCAATATGGAATTTCATGTATGCAGAGGTTAAAGTGTTACTCCAACAACCATGACCACGTCAGTGATTTAAAGTGGTTATGGTGGTAAGAATCTCTATGTGCAGAGTTTCTGCTTGAAATGCTGCACATCGCGAGTAATCTGCACTTTTGTGCCGGGGGCAATTTACACACTTGGCACATATGACTTTGGCATCCTGGTGCTGTGTTCTGCTCTGCCAAATGTCAATTCTGTGCATGAAATACTTCCAACGTTAGCAAGAACTGCACACTGGCAACAGACATATTGAGCTTCTACCTTGTTTTTTTTTTTTTAAACTTTTTATATTGAATTTCCCACACTTTCTCTCTCCTCTGCTCAGATTGCACACATGCACTCTGAACCGGCAAACATTCAAATCACAGGCTTCTCTAGGACCTGGCCGGCGTTGGATGGAGGAGTGGAAGTGCCTGGTGCTGGATTCCAGCTAAGTAAAAACAAAACAAAAAAAACAAACCTTTTTTCTTTAGGTTTTACAACAAAATGTAGGTGTGACCTTAAAAAGAAAAATCCCCTCCCCCCCCTCCAAAAAAAGGTCTAGATTAACTTTTTAATATAAAATTGACACTCTCCTGTATCATTTTCAATACTCGCTCCATCACAGATCATCTCTTACCTTGTAACTGCACCAGAAAATATTCTTTCAATTATTCTATTCGAGGAAGCTGGAAGAAGAAAAAAAAAATCATCATTCTGACATCAATTATCTTCAATGGTATCTTCAATGGTAACTCATTTTCTTTTATGTTGAACATGCGGTAGAATATTTCAGTCGTATTTGTGATATCTCACATTTTCCATAATTAAATCCATGTAAATGTTCTGAGTACTGTGGTTAACATGGAACAGCTATAAATGTTACAGCATTTGGCCAAAAATGAGTGAGGTGTCTGGAGACTAAATTACATTAATTTATATTAGACAGGTCAAATACCATAGGCCTAGACTTACACAACGCAGGCAGTGAACCACAAACATGTAGTATTCATACTCACCATGGTCGTTATATCTGGCTAGATCCTTCTGGTCAATATATAAATCATGGTCAGTGTCCAGTTCCCAGAACTTGCAGTAGATGACATAAAAATGCTCGTAGGAGAAGTAATCTGTCACTTGATTAACATCGTCTTCCTCTTCCAAAAGAGCCAATGTCTAAAGAATAACAGAGACTAATAACTCCAGCCACAAGCATACCCATTGTTCTAAGCCATATTTTAATAATAGAGATATTAAATTAATTCCAGGTCATTTTAGAACAGGTTTAATCAACACTTTAAAATTAAAGTCAGATATTTCTCTAGTAAAAGCATGAAAGTAAAATGATTAAACTAAACAATATGTATGTGAAACCCATTTGACAATATTTTAGCACTTCATGGTCGCCTTTTTTCCAAGATCAGTACTGTGAAATTTCTTCATAGCTGATGGGAAACTTACTTTTAGACACGTTGCTGGTAACAGTTGACATTAAAATGTGTAACTGGCCCTTCCTCATTTCAATTCCACTGTCTACCCTATTTATTCTCCTTCTGTTTTCTTTCTCCCATCAATCTCACACCCCCTCATGATATTTGTCTTTTTTTTCCTCAAAATTGTATCACCTCTGTATCAATTCTTGAGTTTCTTCTTCTTTATCGCTCTCTTTTCCCTTCTATCATTCTTTAAATAGTGCAGTATTTACAATTTAGAAACATCACTTTAAAAAGTTGGTGATCGTTCCATATTTTTTTTCCATAATGTTGTGAAAATATTTGAAATAAATAATGTGGCTGTGAAGCCTGTTATTTTACTGTCACGTCTCTTAATAATTCCTGTGGCAGAAGCTCTCATGCCACAGAATTTTAGCGACCCATGAAGGCCAGCCTCCTGCCCCCGGACTATGGGCCTGGTCCCAAGAGCCAATAAAAGGGGCTATTGTCACTATGGGGATAATTGCTGTGCTCCCCAGTTGGACTTGAGGACCACCTGGACTTATTTTACACCTTGAGCAGGAGATATCCCAAAACACTTTGGAATACCTCCAATTGGGACTATGCCGCGGTCCAGTAAATGTTTAATCCGGTATTGCTCAGTCCCTTTATATATATTTATTTCAATAAATATTAAAAAGTGGCTTTTGCTATTCTATCTGCACATTCTTCCATTCCAACTGGTTTATGACAGTCCTCACGGTCGAATATGTATTTGTTTGGTTTATCTGCCTTTACTTGCTTTCTTTATATTCACTGCACTAGAAATTATGGAACATCGGGAAGTGCATATTTAGCATACCTTCACTCAATTAGGGAAAACATATTCTAGCTATGTTTATTTTCCCAGAGGGACTATTTGTGACCTATAATTCTAAACAATTTATTGTATAGTGAACAAACTATGTGTGGGTATTATGTATACCCAGGAACATTGCTTGAGATTTACCCAAGATACATGGTGGAAGATAGTAATATATCATTTAGGTGCCATTTAATGTGATGGCACAATACACACATTTTACAAATAAGTACTAGTTGGGGCAAACCATGTCAGAAGACCTTGCTTTGTAAAGGATGCTTTGTGTGCTCTTACGCATTTTTTCCCAACTGAACCAACGATTCTCCTCCCCCCCCCCAAATCACACTTCTAAAGAACGGAACATTACTTTCTCCCAACTGTTTTGCATGTTGCCATAACCAGGGGGAGAACACAAATAGCTGCTTACCTGTAAGAAGTTACTCCTCCTTAACTCTGTTAGCATGATTCTCCCAGACCATGACCTGTTCACTGTGTAGAATATTCTCTGGATAACCTGAGGGCCCAAAAGAAGAGACAGATTAATTTGGGCACATAGATATTTAGATGATTGCCTTGTGGACCCATTTACATAGAATTATAAAACAAGCAATTATAAGAAAGGATTTGGATCATCATAGAGGCCAATAATATTTTTTTACAGAGAGCATTAAAACTCTAGAATGAAAAATGATTAAGAGATCCAGATTTGTGCTCAGTATGTTTCTTGGTGAATGTGCACACGTTTTAATATCTGCAACAATATGCTTTTGTTTATATTCCCATTGTAACCCCATACTTCCTTTACATTAAAGTGCAGAGATGACAAACTATGTGATTATGGACAAATCAGAGCCAGAATTGATCGTATGAATTGTATCTAGGACGGTGCAGGCTGCTTTTTGACCTGGACTGCAGAGTAATATTTAATCCACTGTACAGAGACACACAGATAGTTTGTGAATATCTTCATAAGAAAAATGAAACAGCCCTTCTATATAAATAAATGAAAATAGCTGCAAATCACTGCAGTTATGATGAATAAATGAGTGGGAGATGCAGGTCCATGAACTATAACCGATGCAAGGAGTACAACTAGTTATATTGCATTAAATTATTATGACCTTATCTAGTGATAGAAGCAGACAAATTAACGCACTGTATTAAAAATAAAAAAAATCCTCCAGCATACTTGGGAAGAAAGGAACAGTTGCATATTAACCTTGACATTGCTGTATTCTGTACATGTCCCAACTCACTGTTTTAACTTGTTATCAAGGACTACTGGATGTTAAAGATATCAGCATATATTTTGTAGGAAAGATATCAACATAAGCACTCCAACTTTAAAATAGCAAATGTCATTAAAACAGGATACTGTAAGGATGGTGCATTCCAAAGAATGTTGTTAATGCTGTAGTTTACACCCCCCCGAACTCATGTTGACAATGCAGATGTTGTACTCTGTAACTCCAGTGATGTCAGCTGTGTGCACACTGACAATGAGTCCCTGTAATCCTATCCCTAGCGGTGCTGTTAATAAAGGAGCTGTAATGAGCTGTGAAGTAACACTACTGCAATGAAATGCAGTGTTTTAAGATAATCATAAAGCCTACTCTTTTTCTAAATTTTGGCTTATTTCACAATTTTAAATCAAAGGGACACTCCAGCTGCAGATGACACTCCACTATTAATGAATTTTATATACACCACATTCAAATCTGAATAAATACATACATACCTTTGAAATTCCCGCATTTACAAATAACAGGATGTACATATTCCAGCAGTGAGCTCTCCTGATACTAGGAAGCAGCTGCTATCAGCCAATCCCAGCTTTCCCATTATTTTCTATGCTATCACATTATATCCAATAAACATCGGGGCAGTAGAGGTTTATGAGATTTGTATTACAGCACATGTCAGCAATTTAATTTATTAGATAAGATGAATGAGACAGCTACTTATTTGGACACTATAGGCACCCAGACCACCTGATCTCACTGAAGTGGTCTGGGCGCAGTGTCCCAGTCCTCTTAACCCTGCAGGTGAAAACATTGCAGTTTTAGAGAAACTAATGTTCTCATTGCAAGGTTAGGACTGTCTGTAGTGGCTGTCTTATTTGATTCAAGAAGTATTACAACGCTTCCTACTGTTTCATAGATTTTTACTCTGTGAAACAACACTGGATGTCCTCACGCTTTGCATGAGGACGTCCAGCGTCTTCTAAATCCCCACAGGAAAGCACTGACACAATGCTTTCTTATTGGGAAGGCTTAATTGTCGCTCTTCGCATATACACCTTAGGTCCCCCCTAGCAATGACATCAGTGGAGACGGAGCCAGGACCAAGGGACTTTGGCGCTGGAATAAGGCAAGTGAAAAGAGGGTTTGTTTTTTTAATCCTTTGATAGCCAAGGCTGGGGCAACGGGACATTATAGTGTTAGAAATACAGCTTTGTATTCCTAACAACATAGTGTTCCTATAAGCTGATAGCCACTACTCTGAAAAAGACTGTTTTTGGTAGGTGGGGACTTGTATAGTATATGCTCACCCAGAGGGCAAATGGAGAACTAATTTTCAAAGCACACAGACTAATGAAGAAGGATATTTTTGGAGCGCCCTTTCACTGTATTTGAAATCTACTTAAGATTAGTACTCTATGTTAATACTGCTACAATACACTCTTAATGTGATACCCTTAAAAACACATTCAATGTGACAAAGAAAGAATGAAAATGAGAGTGGAGCAGTATGTCGCCAGAAAACTGTTTAGGTGATATCCCTTAGTATTACATGCAACAGGAAAGCGTTCAAATATATTACAAAAAATACTTAGAGATCCAAAAGGTTTCCTCCAAATGTGGATCCCTCAAAACATTATAAAAAGGAAAAAATACAGACAGATAATAGTGCAGATTGTACTGACTTAGTTATACTTTGTGTATTCCCAAAACGTTATACCCGGAATTTAGGGCTAAGGAAATGCACATAAAAAATAGATGATCTATGATCAAGAAAGGAATTTATTACAACAGTATAAAATATACAGTTAGATATAGATAGATATATAGATATAGGTATAACGTTTTGGGAATACACAAAGTATAACTAAGTCAGTACAATCTGCACTATTATCTGTATGTATTTTTTCCTTTTTATAATGTTTTGAGGAATCCACATTTGGAGAAAACCTTTTGGGTCTCTAAGTATTTTTTGTAATATATTTGAACTCTTTCCTGTTGCATGTAATACTATGGGATATCACCTAAACAGTTTTCTGGCGACATACTGCTCCACTCTCATTTTCATTCTTTCTTTGACACAGACTAATGAAGTAGTTTTGGTGTATACATCATGCTCATGCAGTCTCACTGCTTATTTCTCTGCTATCTAGGAGTTAAATCGCTTTGTGTATGCAGCCCTACCCACACCTCTCAGCATGTGACTTGCACAGGCTTCCTAAACACCTCCTGTAAAGAGTCGTAAATGTTTACACTTCCTTTATTGCAAATTCAGTTTAATTTAGAATTTCTAATTCCCATGCTCTGTTAATAGCTTACTAAACCTTGCAGGAGCCCCCCTGTATGGGATTAAAGTTCAATTTACAGAGCAGGAGATAAAAATGTTTAAAGTAAGTTAACAGTGAAAATTAAACAATTTGTTTTAATGCAATCATTGTCAGTCACAGCCACAGAAAAAAGTGATTTAACTCCAAAATGGCAACAATTTTTAGCAGTGAGACTTCAGAGGAATGATTTATACACAAAAACTGCTTCATTAAGCTAACGTTGCTTTGCTGACTATTGTGCCCCTTTAGGTCAATCTCAAAATTACCTCTCTACGCTATTTCATCTTAAATCATGCAGAAGGTTCAATACTGGGAAGGTAAACTCAGTCTTTCTTCTTTCTAACATTGATTTTACATATCAAATCTATACTCAAAGACACACAGGGTTACTCAGGTGTGATTTTGCTGAGAATTCAAGGTATATTTAAAATAGCCAAAATGGAAAAAGTCACGTTTTGACCTAAAATGCGAAGTTTTATTTGAATTCCTTATAATTCACACTTTTGTTAAGAAGCCATAAGGATGCATACCCACCGTGGTGATGTACCGTGAGTGGAATTCAGGTGCTTCCTTGAGAAAGGTCAATCCAGGATGTGTGTCTACGATGTCCTGAAAGAGAAAGAAATATGATACCGCACGAGAAAATGAAGTACAAGCGTCTGGAGGACAGAATGAGAGTTTTTGGGCCAGGCTTGGTTATCACACAATCTAATTTTTACAGTTAATTTATCAGAACGTGAACCAATGGATAACTATACCTTCTAGGGACGGTGATGGTGAGAAGGAAGAATGTACTATTCCTGAATACTGTATGCAAGATGTCAGATAATCAAAAACACTCCTAAAGGATTACAACAACACACACAATTAAATAACTAAAGCTACAACCAATAGTGCAAGCACAACTATTTTAATATAGTCAGACATAGCTTTTATTACAAGTTCTCACATAGAGCTTACATCATGGAATCGCTATAGTTCATTTCCTAATGGAACTATTACAAAAAATAGCCAAGATTGGCAAAATAGCCCAAAATTTGGGGGCTTTTTGAGCCACTTCAAAGAAAGCCCTTGGTTAACTCTGTTCCACTTACTCATTTTTTGTGACCCTTGCATTGTTAACATTAACTCGAATACAGGAAACAACTCTGATTTTGGGCAGTTTGCTGTATTAAGACCAGTGTACACTCTCAGCTTGGGCTGTGACTCTACCAAATTTAGTTTTTCCTTCTGTTCTATTTCCTCTGACATTGCATGCATTTAGTTCAATATTTTCCTATAACTTCATCCATGTCTTCCAGTTCCTGGTTAAAACCAAAAGTATTAAACTTCAATAGAAAACACCAAGTAGTTTATACAGTTGTAATTAAAAATATTAAATCCCCATTGAAAATCAGGTTTATTGTCAAAATGTACAGATTGTTAGCTGTTCGCAATGAACAAATGAAACAAAAGCAATTCAAATAGCTCATCACAAACAGTGGTTTTGGCAAATTCAACTAACAATGTAACTTGTAATGATGTCTACAGTCTCAAAATTATTCAACACTTTGAATAGAATTTCTCACAACAGCACACCATTTTGCAAAATAGGTGTTGTCTCAAGCACACCAGATGCAAGTAATTAAGGGCTTCATTAGTTGAACCAGGTGTGCTTGAGCTGGAAATACAATACCTGAACTGGTTAGGGGTTTGTTGAGTGTCACGTTTGACTGCATGTTAAAAGTATGGCTAAGTCAAAAAAATAGTCCACAATGTTAAGAGAAAAGATCATCGAAAAAGCTGCAACCAATTTTTTGAGAAGGCAGGGTGCCAAAAACCCTCAAGTGACTGCAAAATACCTGCAGCAAGACTTGGTGGCAAGAGATTCTAAGGTTTCAGTGAGCACAGCAAGGCGAGTATTACAAGACATACACAACTACTGATCCAAAAGCACAAGAAAAGTCGGCTCTAATATGCTCTAAATCATTTAAATAAGCCACTGACGTTTCTGTTTTGTGGAGCGATAAAAATGAACTGTTCACCCCAATGGATCAGGGTACGTAAGAAGAATGAAGTACATGCTGACAAGAACACTCTGCCTACAGTTAAGCATAATGGTGGCTCGGTGATGCTCTGGAGCTGCTTTGCATCCTCTGTCACTGCAGTGTGTGGAAGGCAAGATAGATTCATTGAGGTATCAGGAAACCCTAGGAGAAAACATTATGACGTCTGTGAGGAAGCTGAAGCTTGGGGTCATTAAACCTCCCAATAAGACAATGATCCCAAACATACCTTAAATTCCACCAAGGTTTGGTTGCAGAAGACGTCCTGGAAAATTCTACAGTGGCCATCACAGTCACCTGATAGAAAATCTCTGATGGGGTTTGAAGAAGACGGCTGCAGCCCAAGAATATTAATAAACCAGAGGCCATTGCTCATGAGCTCAGGAACGCTCCGAGAAGCTGTTTTCTGGCTATTCATCTTGTTTGTAGATCATAACAGCAAAAGGGTGCTCTACCAACTACTAAAGATGATTGCCATTAACGGGTTGAAAAATTTATTATTATAAGTTGCATTTTCAGTTGAATTTGGGGAAACTACTTGAAGCATGCGTTGTGTTGAGCTATTTCAATTTATTTTGTTTGATTTGTTCATTGCAAACAGATTAAATTCTGTAAAGTTTGACAATAAATTTTCCATGAGTGTTGAATAATTGTGATTACAACTGTAGATTTCCAGCTAAAACGGCTATGACGTTTTATACAGAAAATGTGGCAGCAGCTTTGATGGTTAATGGGTGTAGGCCAGTGGTAAGGTAACTCTCGTTAGGACAATGTGAAATCACAGGGTTGATCATTTAAGCAAGCAATATTGTCATATTTTACTACTTATATAAAAGATAAAATGGTGCGCTTACAGAAACAAATACCAAATACATTGTTCTCCAGTACATAGTAAAGAGAAATAAGAAGTGTCATGCCGTATAAAAGTTGGGGTTCCTTACCTGGAGGAGGGGGATGAAATCCTCTTGTTCCAAGTAGTTGCAGCTTGGTTTAGCCAAGAGGTAAATGAATTTTGAAGCATCATCATGGCAAATTTGTAGTAACCTAAATCAGAAAATGTAGTCAATCATTAGTAAAGAGAATCAATGAGGTAACATGACTTTTTAAAATAGATTTTCACCAATCACTAAATCAATTAAATCAACATGCTTGCGTAAACACTAAAACAGACTTTAAGTCTGAATATAATTGATAATTAAACAGTTAATAAAACAGACATCCATTACAGCTGCATTATTTATGTATGTGTATTAAATAATAATCACAAGGGCATTAAACTATGTGTTAAACCTTATTCCCTGCTAGAAAAACAAACATATAGACACGAGTTTGGTAAAGGCAGTTATGCTGAACAAGGCAATGCAGCCCACAGATCATACAGGACTCTAGAAAAATCAAATAGTAAATATAGATAATGTCATATGGAATAGAGTGTGCTAAACCACATAGTGCCCAGTGCCCATAACCCAGGAAAGAAAAGAACGCTGGGCGTATAGACATTATCTATATTTACTATTTGATTTTTCTACTCCATGCCTGTCTACTTAGATTACCAGGCAGAGAGGCTTTCGAATTTTGTATTTTCAGTTTCTTTTAAACTGACCTCTATATCTTTACAGCCTACTCTCCTCCTGTACTAACTTTTGGACACTTCTCCTCTATGTCATTTGATACAGATTCTTTATTATTTATTTATTATTTATCCCTTCTTTTTTTCCCCCCTGACTACTACCTCTAATCCAGAGCAATTGGTTTGGCTTATATCAGGACTTTCTGGGCAACTGTTATTCATTAGTATACAAGTACTTTCCACAGCGCTATTTTTTTTTTTATGTGTCTAGTCTCAATATACTATCTTAGTTGAGACTATTAGCATCTACCCTCTTTTTCCTTGGTTTTTCCTTTATCGTGGGGTCAAGCCCCTTGAGGCCCCTGGAGTCTCATTTTGGTACTTAAGACAAGTGGTTACAACTGGCGCTATTGCCTCAGGGTATAGCGCCTATTGGTGTTTCCAACTGTCTTACCTTTTGTTTGTCGTTTACCTCTTTTTATTTGTGCCTATAATTCTCTGTAGCCAGTTGCAAACAAACAACAAAATGGACTATACTGCAACTTAACAATGTTCCACATTAGAAATACTCACTTTCTCCACATTGCTATGAATGAATGCACAGATACAACGCCAGTCCTTTCTCCACCAGCTGCATTGAACATTGCAGCCTTCCAGTACAATGGGCAGCCACATACCTATTGAAGAGACACACGATTTGAATGAATATGCGGATAGCTTGGTGCGCATCCTCAACATAAACTGCACCAAGGTGACAGGCTGAGACCACTGGGGAATGGTTATCACAGCATATCATTACTACCCAAAGTTTCATGGGCTAATACAGAAGTTCACTGTATGTTAGGCACTATGAGAGCCTCCATTTTTGTCAAACCTCTTAAAAATAGCTTTTAAAAAAAGGAAAGGGGACAAGGACAGCGCCCAAAAACACTATTCACCATAATTACACTTTGCACCATTTTTTTTACCTCTCTTAATATGATTTTTTCAGTGAGCAAATATCAATAATAGATACAAAATTCACTACTATCAAAATAAATTTTAATACATAAAAAAAAAGTTTTATATATAAGACAATATAAGAACTACTTTTTCTATATGTTGAAAAATGGTAATAAAGGGAAACCCTCCTAAATGTCAGTCATATTCAGGCATACTTGTTGATATATGGATCCAAATAAAAATCTGCAGCAAACTTACCAGTATTATTTACAGGAATATCTGGACACAGCTTCCAAAACCGCATCGTGTCCAGCGAAAATGAAATAAAAAGCAAAATAAAGTCCAGGCACACTGCAACTCCGAAACAGCTTCACCAAGCCTTTGCATCTTACATGTTTCACCCCCCACACACACACAGGACTTACTCAAAGACAAGATCTTGAAAAATTGGAAAAATAGCAAAAGGCAAAGCCTGGAAAAAGTATCTTGTACTAGGCCTACTGTGGCATATCAGGCATTGTTCACGTGCCATCAAAATAGCTGTAGTCTCTACCTCAAACCCTTGCTTTTAAACTAGCATGATAGGAATCATAGTAGCTTAATTTGCTAGGAACCAAAAGAGAGGAAGATGATAAGGCCATGGAGGAGTGTTTCAAAAGAAAAAATATAAAAATGCATAGAACATCGAAGTGACAGTTCCACGTTTACGCACCTCTATACACAAACGTCCCTATTCTGATTAAATTACTCAGCATAAGAAAAAAAAGATTTTCTCAAAAAGTGTATATATAAAAGAGGATTGTTCATTCCCCTTTTCTTTTTAGTATAGTTAGATACATATAATTTCTACGTATTAAGAGAGCGTTTCTCATAATGAATTGAACATATTGAAAATGGTGTTAGAACATTATTTACTGTGCAAGTCAAGGCTTGTTTTATATACAGCTATAGAGATGCACCTTTTTCCCTGGCTCCTGAATTACTCAAATTATTTCCTACGGATATCTGTACGGTCCCTAAATTCTACACATATAAACATGTATTATATTAGGCTGATAGGGAGTGTCATTTCAGATGCAGAGGCTTGCTGGCATTTTACCTTTGCAATCTTCGCCATCTCATAGATATCTGCCTTTTCTTCCTCCATGCTTGAAAAGACTCCCTCAATCTTACTGATCAAGTCCTCATTGGTGGAAACAGAGTTGGGGAGGCCTTTGGGGAAGTAGAAACGTGGAATGTTTATGGCTATGGGAGGTGCTACTATGACCTTGTTGATGGCAGGTGGAGGAGAAGCTGGACGAGGGGGAGTGATGACTGGAACAGGAGGCGGGGTACCAGGCTTTTTTTCTTGTTTGTTTTGAACCTGCAAAGATTTAGAGAGAATAAGGGCGATATATAATCATGTCATTTTTCCAACATCTTCCAAGGCCCAATGACATTTACAATACATAAACTCCGAATGCAATATTGTACACATATTTTGCAGCTTTATGCGTATAATATTCAAATTCAGTTACCAAAACACAATCCATAGCACAAATTGATAATTAATATGAAAAATACAATTCCTGGTAGATTAAGAAGAAACATATAACCAGACATATATTACTAATCCAGGCAAGTCTGTTATCCAGGATAGATGATGTATGTTAATTACCATTTAATTATTCAACATGTATTTTTCACCATATAAAGAGACTGTGCAAAATGTGGGGGCTATCTTTGTACACTCTGCATATTTAACTAAACACATTCTTCACACCAAGCAATCAAGTATTGTGCATACGGATATACGACTTGTTATTTAAAGTTTGCTATATCTGTTGCTGTTGTAAATATGGCTCAACCTTCATACTCTCAATGAAGGATCAGTTCTGCTCCTAAATTAAATTGTGATCATTATACCTACGCTGGTTGGTAGAACACCTCATAGAACTGGAATGTTGAGTTCAGCAGCAGAGAAGACTGTTGGTTCTTTCCAGGAATAAATGTACAAAATAAATGAATGAAAAAAATAATACAATAAATTTGAGAATGCCAGTTTATTGTACGCACAAACCATTTTCAATGTCAAATCATCTCTATATTATGGCCTTTAAAAAAATACATTAGAGCAGGGGTTCCCAATTAAGTTTCCCCGTGGAATCCTTTGACATAGTGTATCAACACACTATGTGTCAAGGTGTGTATATCTGTGCTTGTATGTGCCAGTGTGTGTGTGTGTGTGTGTGTGTGTGTATCTGACACACAGATATACAAGCACACAAACTGACACATAGTGGCACACAGATACACACACATTGACACACAGTATGTATGTGTATGTATGTATCTATCTGTGTGTCAAAGTGTGTGTATCTGTGTTTGTATGTGCCAGTGTGTATGAATCTGACACACAGATAAACACACACTGGCAGATAGTGGCACACAAATACACACACTGACACAGATACACACACCTTGACACACAGTGTTTATCTGTGTGTGTGTGTGTGTGTATCTGTGTGTCAAGGTGTGTGTATCTATGGTTTTCAAAGTGTGTGTATCTGTGTTTGTATGTGCCGGTTTGTGCCAAGGTGTGTATATCTGTGTTTGCATGCGCCGGTGTGTGTATCTCTGTGTCAGTGTGTATCTATGTGCGTGTGTGTATATGTATGTGACATACAGATACACACACACACTGGCACACAGATACACATTGACACACAGATACACACTCAGATACACAGACACACACATCTTGACTCACAGATACACAAAATGACATATACACACACTTGCACCCACAGATACACACTGGCACACACAAACACACTGATACACACTGGCACATACACACACACACACACACACACACACTTAGATACACACAGTGACACATACACAAACCTTGACACACAGACACACTCAGACACACATACACTCTCACTGAAAAACACACATACAAACACAAACTCTCACTGGCAAACACATACACTCTCACACACTCACTGACAGGCACACATTCACTCTCACTGACAAACACACATATACTCTTTGACAGACACACAAACACATAGGAACTCCCTAACAGACACACGTACAATTTTATTTTATTTTTACATTTTACTCCCCTTTAGGAGTGCTGCCTTGGAGTCTCTGGGGTCCAGTGGAGCAGAGTGCCGGGGGACGAGGAAGCAGTGATCTCCGTGCTCAGCTCCCTCGCGCGCCTCTTAGTGATGCCATATTCCGGCTCTGGCATCACTCCTGTGCACGCTAGGAATCTGGGCAGGGAGATCACGGCTCACTGCTCCCTCGCCGCCCGCAGCCATTTTATTTTTTTAACTTTTGGCGGAACCTCAATTGGTGTTCTGTGGAATCCCAGGGTTCTGCGTAACACCAATTGGGAAACGCTGCATTAGAGGCAATTTAAATAATTATTTCAATGTATTTTTCTCTGTTACAATATACAAAGTTCTAGTTGTAAGCAATTCCACACACAAATATTATATTAAATGTGTGGGCATTAAAAACAATTTGTTAACAAATTAGAAACTTTTTTTAATACAAATTATTTTACTTGTGTTAAAATATATTTTAAATCAGTAGGTATGCACACCGGTTTTATCACGTGTTATGTGAACTTGGCTGATTAGGAATGCTAATATATGCCCTTTTTTTTTTTTAACAACTAATGTAACACACTTGATGCATGAGAGTTCTCTTTATTTGGTTTATTAGGTCAGTTAGACATGCATCGGTCATTAATACCAGGTGAACAAGTTCCACTAAACATTGGTTGAAACTAATTGATTGCAAAGATTCTACGAAGATCATTTTTTGAAGTCACTATGTATTCTAGCTACAGGCACTGTCTGATGAATATTTTGGAAATCAAGGTTTTCATTCTGCTATCTAAATCTGGACTTTTGGTCTGTAAATAAACCAACCTCCATGATGTTCTCTGCTCAGGCCAAAATCTGACGGTGGCTAAATTAAATCCAATGGGGGAAGGGATTGGCATAGACTGTTATTTTAAAACCACTTCATATGATATTCAGTTACATCAAATACCACCTCTCCTGAAAGTCAACTGCATGCATCCACAACTCAATGTGTTAAATCTAAGGTGACCACTAGAATGACTAGATCAACCTCTCTCTCATTTTATCCACCCTCTTCCAAAGGAAGAAGCTAACTTATTGGATACCTATCACATTTTATATGTAAATAAATTACTACCAAACTGTTAGAGCAGGCCTGCTGGCAGTCTACTAGTTGCATCATTAACACTTTTTTGGGGTTCATTTTGAATAAAATCCATTGGAAACTTAAGGAACAAGCCTGGGCCTGATCTGTAACTTGGCACAAAGTTACTGTGATAGTTATGCATTTGCAAAAAAACTCGACAGTGTCCACTGGTCACTATTTATAGACTCCAAGGCATCTGTGTGCACATTCTTTGAAGACATGGCATGCAGAGCTCCTCACCAGCTGTGAGCTTTGCCCACTGCATACTATACTCCAGATCCTCTGCCAGCTTCAGTTAAAGGCAGATAGTCACAAATACAAGGTTATGGCTTTTTAATTTGTTAATCAAGTTCACTCAACAGTGAAGATTTTAGAAGAATTCCATTTGGCCCGGGTGCTTTAAATTTAGAATCTCACAAATTAATTACATTACTTCACTCTTTCAATATAGTACAACTCATCAAGCTGTGGGTGTATAAAATAGCTTACCCAAAGAAATTGGACAGAACAGCTTTGCCTCTCAAGCATGTCACGGACCCCGATTAGCATTCATAAATAGATTATGACGTATGGGTAATCTATGAGCAATGTATCCTTTTGATGCATCTTTTTTTGGAGCAAGTAGTCACATTAAAGCAGTCACATTACTTTGCTGCATTGTCTTTTAAATTGTGTGAAATAATATGCAGGTTACTTTCTTCTGCTATTGTTGCCATTAAAGTATTCAAAGTTTTTGCATTTAAAAAAGCAACCCATTAGGCTGTAGTTTCACATACTTGTTCACCCGTTTCCTCAGAAAATGTTTCCACAGGCCTACTTAAGAATATTGTCTTCAGCTCTGTTACAAATCTTGGGTTATTCCCTAAAGGGAAAACTACTACCAGAGATACATTTATCATTCTTTTGTAATGTTAAAAAAGAATGATAAAAGTTATTTGTGCTTACTGAATGTAAACAAAGATAATGTATTGGTCTCGGGAAGGAATTTTACTGTGCCGTTCTTTGACAAAGGACTACAATGACCCGTACTGGAAACATGATGGACACTACCCTAACAGCGGTAAGAAATATAGCAGGCTTCTCAGGAATGATGTTTAAAAAAGGCGTGTCTATTAAATTAATAAGGGAAAGAAGAAAAAAAAAAGAAATCACACCATAGTGTCCGCTTTCCACCTCCATGGTTGCTTCTCCATAGCTGACGATCCGTTGCTTCTTGGTGGCTGTGAAGATGTCATACGGTCAAAGGGAAGTCAGCAGTCTAAAAATGTCAGAACCGAAGTGCAGCGAAGATGCACCTGTGCAAGCTTTTCCTAGAGGTGGGTGTAGCACTGTCTTCCTCTAAAATGTTGTACTTTAAAACATATTTTATATTTTAATTCACGCTTGGTCGGTATTATCCAAATCCAAATCCAATTTGCATTCTTCTGAATTTTAAAATGAACAATATATGAGTTTGGTGCAGTATGAGAACAAATATTCATTTTTCAGTAGTAGATTTTAGCCGAGTAACACAAAAGTATTTTACAAAGCTTTGCAAAGTAATGATTATACCTATTCTGCTCATAGATTTCCCATTGAAAGTATGTTTTACTGTGTTGGAAATGTAATTTATAGCATGTACTAGACTAGTGGTGTCTTGTCATTAAAGAAGGTCATCCATCACTGGTAAAATGGATCTAATGTCAAGGAAGCAGGCTGTGCTAGCACAAAAGATAACATCATTGATGCATCCATTACCTCCTTCTTATTCAACATTTGCAGCAAATGTTTCATTTTATTAGACATTTTTTTTCCTTTAAAGGGGCATTGTAGGCACTGTAACTGCTTCATATCATTGGCTATGATGTCTGTTCCGTGACTCCATCCTTCCACCCAGCATTAAAAAGTTTGGAATGTTTGAATGCTTTACAAGAATTCTCAGCAGCTTGTCCTCCTTGTGCTGACTGTATAAGCCTCACAGTGCCCATTCAGGTATGATATGGCTACAAGGAAGTGTGCAATCTCTGCCTTAGCCACACCTCCAGTGGGGGCAGGGCTATGAGAAACCATGGACCCTCATTCAATGTTAAACTCCTAGAAAATGGTTTAACACTGAATGGAGGGACAGCACCAAGGAACTCCAGACACTGTAACCAATTCAAAGAGATGAAATTGTCATACTGCCTACAGTGTCCCTTTAAGCATTCACTTTTGAACCTTTGTAGCAATATATTTTCCTTTATCCTTCTAGCTCCTCCCAATACTGTGCCACAAACTCCTCCTATCTGTTTTATTGATCACATTTAGTAACTGTACCCATCTCTGCTCTAATAATGGAATCTTAGAATGCCTCTTATCACAGTTTTAATATTTATGCTTTATAGCTCCTCTCGACCGTACTTAACCAGGAATTACAATTCCTCCTATCAGTGCGCTAAAAATTTAGCTTTAACCCGCTTTATCTGGTGTAATATCATTGTGGCTTTACCTACACCAATCAATACTTTAAAATGCAGTATTACACCTTTTAACATCTCCCACCACTGCACTGATTACATTACCGCAATTCTATTTCTCCCAAAACTGCTGTATATTATCTCCTCCTTACAATACAATTGTATTTCTTATCCCATAGCTAATTTAATCAGCACCAAGTTATAAATCCCTCTGGAACCAATATAGGCATCCCATGTTAATACGTTTCTTTTTAAATCTACTAATCATCTTATAAATCCACTCTGTCGCTCATGTAAGAATTATGCTTCACAGCACCTCTTAGAAGTACTACTATCTATTATAGCTCCTCCCACAATTATGTTAACTACCCTGCAGATTATTTTAACCAATGCCATAACTGCTCTTTTAAAAAACCCTTAACCATCCCAGATATAACTCCAATCACCCATAATCAATGTTACACTCATTCAATCAGACCCCTCCAACATATTAGCTAATAAAAACTTACTTTGATCCTCCCCTAGTTCATTCTAGGTGCAACACAACCACTCCCACTAATTTATGACAAAGTCAATCAGAAATAAAACATATAAATATTATGCAAATATGTATGTTTGACAACTTTCTTTATTATTCTAAACTTATATCAAACAATGAATTAAAAAAAACAAAAAACAAGCATACTATGACGACTGTTAACAAATATTATGCAAACCCTACCTTCCCCATTGCCCATAGAAAGTAAGTTCCAAACCTGAGCTTGTTGAAAAGACTTGATCCTCTTTTTAAACCGTGAGGGGAGCACAAAGTCACAGCCTCTGGCCAGAAATGCCAGTTCCCCCCTTAAATCAGGATCCCTCCTCAGCGATGCCTCCTTTATCATCATCTTGAGGTACCAGATTTCTCCAGGGTAGCCTCTTAATTCTTAAACAAGTCCTTAGCAAGGAGGAAGTGTTAAAAAGGTAAAATATTTTAAGGCACTGTCCCCTATTTAAACTCCTTTTGGAAAGAAGGCTGGGTGGGTCGGATATAAGGACAACAAAGTGCTAGAAAGCCCCAGCATCGTACAACAAAGACCTCCACACTTGCTGTGTCCCAATCACACCAAAACTATCAATAACAGAAGAGCCTTTCACTGAAGTCCCCCTGCAGCAATCTGCTAGGAAACATGACCTCGAACTAGTGCTGCTGTGTGACAGACAGCCAGTGCTGGCCTGGGCTGCTGGGGGGGAGAGCATTGGGGAGGGATTCTGGGAAAGGAAGCACCTACAAGCTGCCGGCTGCTTCTAAACTTAGACGCTTTGGAGCAAATACACTCAGTATAAAGAGTCTTCCCTGCCTGTGTTTACTTAATAAGCCTCAATGTTTTGAAAGGTCATACTCACAAAAAAGCAAATTCAACTGAGAGACACATGAGCTAAAGTATCCAACCAAATCGAGAGAGGAAAAAACAACAACAACAACCACAAAAGTACCACAATTTGTAACAATGTATAATGAGAAGTTAATATTACAACACTTGCAACCAGGCGGAAAATATACATTTATTTAATTTTTTCATGATCGTAATGGTGAACTGCTCAGCAGTTATACTGTCCTTAAGTATCAGTTCTCAAATAATGATGCTCACCCTTCAAATGCTCAAAGGAAGTATTGAACAACTCTTTATGTATAATTAAGGAGGCGAACATATGCTTTAGAAGCCAGAGCAACGTAATGTAAAGAGTTAAAACTGGATACACCGTGAAACACTGTATCAAGCTTACAGTTTGTACAGGAAGCATTCATGTGAGGTACGTACTACATCTAAAGCCAGAGCTTTCAAATACACTGACAGTGGAGCAGGGCAATAAAATCATTTAAGAGATCTCCTACATGATGGGTCAAACCACTTCAAACACAAGTAAAAGTACTGCTTGACCACTGCTCCTCTCTTTGTGCTCTATGGATTTCCTTTCAAAAATGAGAGACAGCCTTGTGTCAAAAGGGCCCGGGATACAGTGATAATGCATGTCTAATGGAAAGAAAGGGGAATTCGGTGCTGACTTGTTAAAGAATCCTGGAGTCCTAAATATAGGATGCACCTGTCACTATGCCAGTCTTGTCCTTGCTGGGGCTTTGAAGAAGTTTCCGTTTTCCATTAATGAAATCCTGAGCTCCACGGTCAGACCTATCGCATATGGAGATGGGCGGTGGGTTTGAGGTGTCCCAGAGTTCTCGTAGGAACACATCCAGGGATTTTCTGAAAGCTTGTTAAGACTGGCTCTTAGTTGTGAGGACATGAATCCTCGGTTCAGAGTTCCCTTGTATCGCAGGAGTAGAATGAAAGGTCACATAAGTAGGTAATGTGCAAGTAAATATAGATGGTCATGTTTGCATATTTAGGGTTCTGCAAGGTATGGAAATACACAGGGATTCTCTAGGTATTCTCCAGACTCTAAACATTAAGGGAGACACAAGCCTGCTTTTTTTTTGGCTAGCATTAAACACCCAGCATTATGTAGAGCTCTTTTTTGCATGATGTCTTCTTTTACCTCCATGTTGCGTACCAGTCTCACCTACTAACATCTGTAGTCCCACCTCCTTAACTTGGTTACCATTCAGTTGTTGGTGAGTAAAGTGAATGACGAGAAGGTTTTGAATTAAATGCCATCAGCCAAAAATGTAAAAGCACATTTGCGTTTAGTTCACAAACCGTTGTGTGTACTTTTTAAAATCTTATTATGCTTCCATTAATTATTAATGCATTACCAGCTTACATAAAGATTTGGTTATTACTGCATGCCTTCCAAGGAAAAGGTTTTAATGTCTAGTGATGGCATAGACCGTCATGGTTTAAAAGAACCAACACGACTAAATCTCTGCTGGTACCAGGGAGTCCCAGGTATGATTCGATACAAGTGCCCTCCTCTGTCAGAGGAGTCCTATGAGCTGTGTGCAGCACTCAGAGTAAGCACCGCACATAGCCATTTAAATCCAGTGAATAGACATTGTCAGGGTCTCCCTGCATACCTCCGTACAGCTGTTCAGCACAGGGACAATATGCCAGAGCAGCAGCATTAGAGGGAGATCTTCTGAAGCAGCAATCACCCAGCAGAGAACATTTAAACAGCACTGCACTGTGTATGGAGGGGATTCCCTCCGATGTCCGTAGAGGGAATCCCTCTGAGGTAGGAGTTGGATTTGGGGCAAAGATATACATAATGGTCATTATTCTACACAAGAACAGCAGCAGAATACAAATATATACTATTATACTAGTGGGACACATGTGGTCTGTGAAATTCCACATATTCCAAAATAAGTGTGAAAAAGTAAAAAAAATAAATAAATACAACCAGCTGATTCCACTAAGGTTGGTCATAAAATGGCTAAATAAAAAGTGACAATATGTGCTTAGTTGAATAGCCAGGGGGATGTACTTAATACAAATATATACTTTTTGGATTCTGTGACTATAATAATTTCCTTCAGGCTTTTTGCAGTAAAAACTGTCTTTTCAGAGAAAATGCAGTGTTTACATTACAGTCTAGGGAAACCTCCACTGTCCACTCCTCAAATCGATGCTAGAGGTGCTTCCTGACATTCAGTTTCTCAACCCTCTGCATGCAGACACTGAACTTTTCTCATAGAGATACACTGATGCATCTCTATGAGTAGATGCTGATTGGCCAGGGCTATGTTTGGCTTGTGCTGGTTCTGCCTCCTTGACAAGCTTAGCCAATCCTATGTGAAAGCATTGTGATTGGCTCAGATCAGAGCCTCTGGTGATGTCAGCCAAGCAGGCAGATCAGGGGCAGAGCCAGCAGCAGTAGATTGTAGCAGTAGTAAAGGTATGATTTTGCTATATTTAGGGGGACAAAGGGGGGTTGGGGGTAGGTGGTTGTTTTAACACTATAGGGTCAGGAATTCATTTTTTGTTCCTGACCCTATAGTGTTCCTTTAAAGTTGTAATTTTAGTATTAAAATCATAATTCACAGGGGGGACACACAACAACACACATGTCTTGTGTTAGCTCCAACAGATCCGAGCACACAATAATCTTCTATTGCTTAAACCCCCACTGGAACATGAGGGAACTCAAGTTGGCATGAAATACCAAGCACTTAAGTTGTCCTGCCATGGGGCCTTGCCTGTTTTGTGGTCTGGTGTCCGGGAGAGGCGGCCGATCTCCCAACACTGGGCGTGCTACACAGGGATATACCTGAACCAGTGAGGGATATCCAGGTCCCTGCTGGGGAAACTCGCTCTCCCACAACAGTGGAATCTCCTGCCCAACACCAGGAGAGCCCAGGAATCCTGAAGTGGAGATGTAAAAGCAAATTTGCGTTTAGGTCACAGACTGCTGTGCATACTTTTTTTCAATCTTATTATGCTTCCATCAATTATTAATGCATTACCAGCTTACATAAAGATTCTGTTATTACTGCATGCCTTCCAAGGAAATTAGTAAGCTTAACCACTGAAAGATCGTATGATGGTCTATATGCCATCATGCAATGCAGGGATTAAATGTCTAGCGATGGCATATTCGACAAGCAATTTGACAGGATGTGCCAGGAGTTCTGGGAGCGCATCTATGTCCGACCATCCCCCAAAGCTCAGCCTGAAGAGTCTGTAACCTGTGCCACCATTTCGGATCACCAGTCCCATTCAGGGCCGGGGTTACAAATGGAACAAACCTCCGTCAGCCGCCCAGGTACCCGACGCCCAAAGCTCCCCGGTCCGAGACCCTGCCGAGAGGAATAGTGGGGCCCTTGGAGGTGCGGCCATAGCTCACTTTGAGGCCAGGGCGGTGGGCGATGAAGAACCCTGGTGCAGCAGAAGTAGCACAGCTTGCACACTTGAAGATTGTCTGTCCTCACGGTACACTTTGGGGGCCAGTGTTGCCATCATACCTGGACTGTAGCTATACCTCATAGTGTGTCCTGTGGGTGGTGTGGTATGAAGTTTAGGTGATTGTGCTCTTGCTTCATCATAAGTAGCCCTGTATGCAGAGCAGAGAGACTTCCACACTTATATTCACATGGTTTTATTTAGCGACAAGTACCCAGTGGCATTACTACTACCCAGTTAAATATTGCATGCTGTACCATAATCTACTTAGTATTGCTACCCAATTTCTAGCTTATGCCACGCTTTATGTTCTTCGTTTACACACACAAAAAAGTGCACCATACCATGATTACCCAAGTCTTATCTTGTTATATTCCCTTATGCTATGTCTTACCACTGAAACATGTATTTCACTCTGCACTACAAAAATAAAGAATAAAAAAAAGATTTAAAAATAAATTGTAATTCACAACTTGTAATTTTATAGCATTAAAAAATAAATTTAAATCCTAGACATATTAGGCACTTTACAATCAGGACTAATTAGTGATTCTATTTTGAGTATTTTTTCTGTAGTTGCACGTGCTGTATATAAATTATAAAAACTGAGAAAAAAATACCCATTATATTTCCATTTTAAATTTTCTATTCATATTTAATATTTAACTAGTAGCGTCTTACAACAAAAAAAAAACCCTATTTCTCCTTTAAAAAAATTATATATAATATTAATGAGACAGCTAACCCAAAACTAAACAAGTTAGTAAACTCACTAAAGATGCCCCGATATAAAGGCATGTCTGTTTCAAGGGACACGGCAGCTGTCCACTGAGCATGTCAGCAATATGTCACCCAAGGGACACACAGTAACCACGGAATATGATCTGCCAACAGCTCCAATATGACAAATGCTGTCAGCAAACAAGGGGGGGCCTGAAGTAGTCAATGAAAGTGCACACAATCCAAGCTTATTAAAGCACAGTTTAACTTCAAGAACAAATTAATGTTAAAAGAAAACAAAAAACCTTAGTGGTTTCATGAAATGTTTTTGTGCACAGGTAAAACGTGTTTCAGAACACATGCAACAAAACACGTTCAGTTAACATCCAGTTCAACGGCCAAATAATGGAGCAATCACCTAAAAAAAAAATACATTGTTTTTTGACAACGGGAACCATGATTCAACACCCAGAATACTGTATCATAGAAGCACAAAAACAGTTGTAACAATTTAAAATGCACCTTGCACGTTTTATGTGGCCCTGTATATACAAATCTGGACCTTAAGTATTTTCTCAAATGCTAAATATGATCACATCTATTACATAGGGTGACTGCAGTATTTAGAGAAGTTAAAGGGTATTTGTCATGTTACTTTTTAATCGGTTTAATTGAATTCTTCTCCTCAAATTATCTTTACATTGTACTAGCAAAATCGCTATGCAATTTATATATTTTTCAAAATATTGCCCAAAAAATAATAATAATAGGGGGACCGAGCCTGACACTCAAGATGGCCGGACGTGTTCGTCTCTAGCTAAATCGAGTTAAAATCGTTAAAAACCACGGTGATTCCAGCAGGACACTGCTCTATATCAAACAAGGACCACCTTTACCATAAGATGTGACATATGCAGCCTGATACTGGGAACCCTGACGAATACATACCATGTCTAATCATGGACAAAAACTACACATCCAGTTTGTGCTTTGGTTCTAAGGAGGAGTGTTTAAGCCCCAGAGAACCAGATTCAGACACAGTGGTGGTGTTGTTGGATATAACGTAGGGTGAACATGTGCCAGATAGTTATAACAAAATAGCCAAAACAGCAAACATTTCCACATTTAGAGTACTGGCAGAGTAGAATCAAATCCAGGACCCTAGATAACCGGAAATAAATCCCACCTATAGTCCTGCTAAGAACATCAAGCATGCTCACCAAACCTTATGGTAGATGTGAGCCAAAATAGGCTTCTGGGTATGCATAAGTGTGTTATTGAATGGTAGATAAACCATTCCATCTCAGAATTTGACTTAAGGCAGAGGAAGAGTTCAAGGTGAAGATATGGACATCCTGATCAGATCGGCATTCCCTGCTGGGCCAACCACAGGCTAATGGACTATATTCCAAATTGTAGTGGCTTGAAATCTAAATAGAAAAAATATGAAATATTCCTCAACTTAGCTATAGTAACAGCCTGGCTATTTTAAGTCGTGTCAATCATATTTCCAAGCACTATGAGTAGAATATTTGTCCATAAATATATATAAGTAACACTGGTGCATACTATAGATGGATCATAGCCACAAACCTTGTAAAGAGCAAAAATAGTGGAAATCAGTTTATCAGGCTGTAGTCCCACGAGGCCACTAGGGCACTGCATTGAAAAGCTATTAAATCTATTTCTGGGACACCCCACTTGCTCACTGAGAAGAAAAAATCTCTAAATGGAGGCAGAAGAAACATCTGGTGTTTAAGAAAATTTACTTCCCAGACATACACTTGTGCAATGAAGCCCAGGGAACAGCTGTGCTAAGTGCAGTGGGCCTTGACTTCGCTAGGAGGAGGGCATATGGATAGGGGGAGTGGATTAGTGAATTTGGGAAGGGGTGGCCTATAGCCAAATAAATATCAGCCATTTTAGGGAGAGCCCCCTTTTAATTTAATTCCCACTTACTTGTTGTTGCCCCACCCTCCCTAGGTATTGGGGTTATCTGGTAGGTCTATCCCTTGTTTTGGTCACGGCGGCGGGGATGGATAGGATAATTGGAGGTAGGTTGGCTTGGTAAGTGGGGGGAAGTTCAAGTTCAGGAGCTTAGCTATGTTTGCATTGGTTTGGTAGGTTCAAGCTCGTTGGTAGCTCTGAACCTGGGTGTGTAGGGGTATCTTGGTATACCCCTACAAGTGGTTAAAGATGCCCTTGTAGCTGTGAAAAAAAGATGCCCTTGGTGGCTGTGGTAATTGTTTGGGTTTTATGATAGATATTGTTTTAAGATTGCTGTCATTTATGTGGGGGTCATTGTCTGTAAATGTTTTACATTAAAATTTGTTGTGTAAACATTATGATTAATAAAAGCTGTGATATTTTCCCAAGAAATATTGGTGTCTGTATTTAACTGGTGGGTGGTTTTATGGTGGGTTTATTAGGAATATGCCTAGGGGATGTGGATTCAGATAGAGTTACCTCTTTCTCTTCTGCGTGAATGCTGAATTCTGAAAACCAGTATGGCAGCTGGTCTTCTTTTACCTCCTTAGTAAATGACACAGTAAACGGCAGTGACATTGGGAGACTGGAGATAGGCATAAGTGATGGTCCGCAGGGCAGACCTGAAGCATGAAAAATCCCCTGAAGGTTAAGGACATTGAGAAGAGTAAGTCCCCTGATTTTGCTGTCACCCCCCTCCCCCACACTGCATCCAGTGCAAAAACAAATCCTCTCTGAATAAGAGGGGTGTAGGAACCTGACTAGATAGTTCAAGAGAATTCTCTGATAAAGACCCATTTCCATTGCCCGAGAAAGGACCGTTACAGGGGCTAAAGGTGAAACATTGCAAGTGGTATCATGTCCAAGAATGATACAGTGAGAACCAGAACCTATATATATATACCACAGTTGAAGACCTGTACTGGGTAAGGTAGAGACAGGCAGTGAGCAGCTTTGCCTGATAGCATCCACACAGGTGACAGATGGAAACTCCACCTAGAACCTTACTCAGATATGTAGCATGTTATTGGATACTTGAGAAATCTTTGGTAGAGTGATGAACAATCAATGATGTTGTAGGTGTGAGATAAGTAAGTCCATAAGATGGACAACTTGCTTTCAAGGGTGCAGCTGGAGAAGGATGTGATCCAGGTTTGGGTAAACCAAAAGGCTGAGGGAATTAGCCCAAGGCATAACAGTGCAGGGCCTTGGAAAGACTCATGGAGTCAAAATTAGAACAAATGGTAGCATCACAAACTAGTAATGAGGGTCCAAGAATGTCAATGGGAGGACATGGTAATGATCAGGATGGATAAGGATTTGGACAGTGGTGAGGAAGAAGCCTCCCTGTAGAGAGAGAAGGGTTGACATTAGTGCTTCCATCTTGTAGGCTGGAACAGGAACCTGTTGAAGATGTATAGAAAGAATAAGAATGAGGAATCCTTATTAGGGACCATGAAAAGATTGGAAGAAAAGCGTAGTCTGGTTTCTAAAGGAGGGATCAGTGCAATTACAGCATTGCATTTCAATTAAGCCACTAGAATAAGCAAGCCCAAGCGTGTGTCTCTGGAAATGTGAAACACATGAAAGTAGCCGCATAGTGGGTGGGAGAGAAAGCTTAGGCAGTACCCCGAGATGGAATGGGCCAAAAGGAATGACCACAATCCTGATGATCATTGTGTGTCTTGTAATAATGAAATATTAAACTTATGGAAAGAGGAAATTAAAACTTACAATGAGCGGTCTTCTTGTGTTTATTTTTAAGAGCATTCAGAACTCAAGCTCACATTCAAGTACCTCAATTGCAGGAGTGAAGGCATGAGGCCATCACAATGTTAAATTAATATATGCACTGTCCACATTTGGCAAAAAAAGAGGATGGCATTAAATTATGTCATTAGCGGACAGGTGTGAATACTATACCGGGGTACTAATACCAGCTGTGCCTTTATTTATAGTCTATGAGAGCACAGATTCACACTTCACAAATCCAACAGAACTCCAACTATTCAGCTCTTCCCAGACCCTTTCTCTGGAAGGAGGGGGGAAGGGGAGCTACCCGCTTGCTAGTAAACACAAATGTACTATAGTGTACTACAGTTAGAAACAATGCTTATTTCCAGGATGATACCATTCTTTATTTTCTTTAGGTATTTAAATGTGGCTCATCTGTGGGAGAACTTTAATATGAGCCATTTATTAATTAAGTTTATGTTTAGTTCCCAAAATACCACTTTGTGTGAGATGATTCTTCACAGATCTCCCATCTAAGTTGGGATAGGGGGGGACCAAAAATGGAGCTGCAATTTAGGGACCAAAATAACCAAGTAGATACATTTCTCTAGAGTATTTTTTTAGCTTGTCTACTTTTGTCTAAAATGTGCAACACCTTTGTCAATTTTAGTGTACTGTCCATTCCTATTATGGTAACCCAAACGCTGCCATGAAATGTACTCATGTCCTTACAAACTAAGAACTAATGCTATAGACTGTAAGCTCGTTTGAGCAGGGTCCTCTTCAACCTATCGTTCCTGTAAGTTTTCTTGTAATTGTCCTATTTATAGTTACATCCCCCCTCTCATAATATTGTAAAGCGCTATGGAATCTGTTGGCGCTATATAAATGGCAAGAATACTAATAATAATGATACAAAATGGAAGAGTTGCATTAGCTAGATGAAAGCTGTCGGGGCTGTATACAAAAATATTCAGAAGTGAGTTCTGACATATAAGGAAAGTTTTGAGTGATAATTATTTTCTGTGGTTAGCCTATATAATATACAATTGCTGTGGTTAATCATCCAAAATACATTTTGAATGTGGATTTATAGTGAACGTTCTTGCCCTAGATTAAGGGAATACTTGTTGTGGTTTGGCAAAAGCCTTTCCATGGACAGTGGAAAAATAATTCCAAGTGTGCAGGATCCAGTCTTACAAGTTCATGCTGTATAAAGTAAGTTTCACAATGCAATATGAAACAAAAGAAATGTTACTGTATGTCGATGGTATTTAAGCTAGATAAATTGCACCAAATATTAAAAAAAAACTCCATCTATCTGATGATGTTGCTGTTTGTACTTTGAAACATGAATCCATATAGAGCAGGGCAGCCCCTGTGTAACATCTTTTTAGTTCCAGGTCCAACAATTAAACACAAATTACATAATTGTACAGTGTTGCGGAATGTGTTGGAACTATATAAATAATTGCAATTGTGGTAGGCATTCCGACTGTATATACCATTTGTTGCATGAGCACTAGCCACATTATCTAAATGGCATCATCTCAACAGGGTTGCTTTGGGGCAGTAGACCCAGGGCACTATCTTACCCTTTTCAAACAGTTTAACACCTACGTTTGGCTGTGGGATCCCTGACTGCCCCACCTACTCTGTGTTTGCACCAAATTGCAACTCAAACGCCAAATTGCATATAGCCACACTGTAACAAACATATTTATGTTTAATTCTCTTTCTTATTATCTTTTATGTACCCCTGTGATTTATGCACAAAATTCTTTATGAAATGCAAATTGGAAATAAATGAATAAATCAAATAATTTAACGGTAAGCATGGCATGTATGCCAATAATATGAACAGAATGCCTGACCATAATGAAGCATGACAGTGCCTATTTAAATGTATAACCCCTTCACGACGTTATGACGTTCCATGCCGTCCTCCACAGAATGGGCTTTTTTGCCATTAGGCATGTTGTGTCCCAAAATATTGATGTGAGCAGGATTAAATCCCTTCTCACATCAATGTATATATCAGATTGTGTGTGTTGGTTTCCAGGATATTATACATATGATTTGAGCCCCCCCTTCCCTCATACTAAGCAGATCCGGTGGTGTTCCGGCCTTTTAAGAGCCAACTATCAGCCAGCAGGGAGGAAGTGATGACAGCCTGTCACTTCCTCCCTGCTGCTTCACAGAGAGCCGCACAGGAGGACTGGAGGGATAAGGCAGCAGAGCCACACAGCAGCATGGAGGGAGAAGAGAGGCTGTAGTGAGCTGCCACTGCATGCTCACTCCCATCAGCCTTAGCCAGGACCAGGGCATCAAGCAAGCCACCCTCCAGGAGACAAAGGTAGGCTAAAAGAAGTGTATCTGTATGTTTGTGTCAGTGTGCGTATCTGTCTGTTTGTGTCAGTGTGCGTATCTGTGTGTTTGTGTCAGTGTGTGTGTGTGTATCTGTATGTCAGTGTGTATATCTGTAGGTCAGTATGTATCTTCTGAGTGTTTGTGTCAGTCTGTGTGTATCTGTATGTCATTGTATCTGAGTGTTTGTGTCAGTGTGCGTATCTGAGTGTTTGTGTCAGTGTGCGTATCTGTGTGTATCTGTATGTCAGTGTGTATATTTGTAGGTCAGTATGTATCTTCTGAGTGTTTGTGTCAGTGTGTGTGTATCTGTATATCTGTGTGTTTGTGTATCTGTATGTCAGTTTGTGTGTGAATCTGTATGTCAGTGTATGTATCTGTGTGCTTGTGTCACTGTGTGTCCGAGTGTGTGTATGTGCCAGTGTGTCCGAGTGTGTGTATGTGCCAGTGTGTGTATATGATTGTATGTGCCAGTTTGTATATCTTAGTGTGTGTTTCAATGTGTGTATCTGTGTGTCAGTGTGTATCTGAGTGTATATGTGATATTCACCATTACAGTGATTTGCGTTTAATCCTGAAAACATCCAGTATATGGCAACATAACACTCTCTACTATTTTAACTAGGAAAAACATCTGCTGATACTAGCAGACGGTTTCCTTAGGGGTGGCAAAGGGTTAATGTTAGGGTAGGGTTAGTGCTAAGGTAAGTGTTAATGCTGGTTTAGAGTTATGGATAGTGTAGGGTTAAGGTTAGGGGCATGGGCGACCGCATGGGCGACCGCACTTGCCCCCCCCCCCCTGGATTTTTCATCTTGTTCTGCTATTTTTTGTGTGAGATTGAAAATGCACTGCAATACTGTGTATGGAGAGAGACAGGAATAGGAAGCTACATCTTATCCCTGCTTCTCTCTGCTGACTGAAACCGCAGGGGAGCAGCACATGCAGCCAGCAGAGACAGCCTACAGATCAGGTAAGTGAGGGATGGGGGGAAGGTGGGGGGCAGCCTACAGATCAGGTAAGTGAGGGAAGGGGGGCAGCCTATAGATCAGGGAAGTGAGGAATGGGGGCATCCTATAGATCAGCCTATAGATCAGGGAAGTGAGGCATGGGGGATCAGGGAAGTAGCCTATAGATCAGGGAAGGAGGATCAGTGGGGGCAGCCTATAGATCAGGGAAGTGAGGCATGGGGGGCAGCCTATAGATCAGGGAAGTGAGGCATGGGGGCAGCCTATAGATCAGGGAAGTGAGGCATGGGGGCAGCCTATAGATCAGGGAAGTGAGGATGGGGGGCAGCCTACAGATCAGGGAAGTGGATGGGGGGGCAGCATGGAAGGAGGCATGGGGGGCAGCCTATCGATCAGGGAAGGATGCATGGGGGCAGCCCATCGAGGGAAGTGGATGCATGGGGGCAGCCTACATAACAGGAAAGTGATGCATGGGGTGGCAGCCTACATATCAGGGAAGTGAGGCATGGGGGGGCAGCCAACATATCAGGGAAGGAGGCATGGGGCAGCCTATAGATCAGGTAAGTGAGGCATGGGGGGCAGCCTATAGATCAGGGAAGTGAGGCTTGGGGGCAGCCTATAGATCAGGAAGTGAGGCATGGGGGGCAGCCCTAGATCACGGAAGGAGACATGGGGCAGCATATAGATCACGGAAGTGAGGGATGGGGCAGCCTGTAGATCACGGAAGTGAGGCATGGGGGGCAGCCCATTGATCAGGGAAGTGATGCATGGGGGGGGCAGCCTACATAACAGGGAAGTGATGCATGGGGTGGCAGCCTACATATCAGGGAAGTGAGGCATGGGGGGGCAGCCAACATATCATGGAAGTGAGGCATGGGGGTGCAGCCTATAGATCAGGGAAGTGAGGCATGGGGGGGAGGCAGCCTATAGATCAGGTAAGTGAGGGATGGGGGAGACAGCCTACACGAAGGGTCAGCAAGGAGCAGGAAGGTAAAGTAAGAGAAGGAGCAGAAAGGAGAAGGAACAGAAATGAGCAGGAATGGACATCAAGGAGCACGAAGGGGCAGCAAGGAGCATGAAGCGTCTGCAAGGAGCAGGCAGGGTCAGCAAGGAGCTGGAAGGTAAAGCAAGGAGCAGGAAGGGACAGAAGGAGCAGAAAGGTAAAGTAGGAGAAGGAACATAAATGAGCAGGAAGGGACATCAAGGAGCAGAAAGGATCAGCAATGAGCTGGAAGGGGCAAAAGGAGCACAAACGTAAAGTAGGAGAAGGAGCAGATATTAGCAGGAAGGGTCTGCAAGGAGCAGGAAGAGTCTGCAAGGGGCAGGAAGGGTCTGCAAGGAGAAGGAAGGGTCTGCAAGGAGAAGGAAGGGTCTGCAAAGAGCAGAAAGTGACAGAAGGAGCACAAAGGTAAATGAGCAGAAAGAATCAGAAGGAGCACAAAGGTAAAGTAGGAGAAGGAGCAGAAAGGGATCAGAAAGAGAAAGGAGCAGAAGGGCGCAAAATAAGCAAAACGTTAAAGGAGCAGAAGGAGCCAAGGAGGAGAGAAGACAGTGTCAGAAGAAAAAGAAGACTGTGTCAAATGAAGGAGAAGAAAAGGAGATTGGAGCAGGAAGGACAAGTGAAGTGAACCCTCCACTTTATTCTGGACACCACATCATCAGGCTTTGGTACCTGGGCGTGGCAGGGAAACTTTGGACCTTCTCATCTCCACAGGTAAAAAAAAAAGATCAGTGTTAATGTGTTCACTTTTATTTACTGAGTGTCAGGAAGCACAGAGTGCTGTTGGGTAGGGGTGTCGCTGATTGGCTTAGAGTGCCAGCTGACCGCTCTAGCCAATCAGTAGCTCCCCAAAAAGTAAAAAAAAATGTATGAACCGGGAACTAGCGATTGGCTTAGAGCGTCAACTGACCACTCTTGCCAATCAGAGGCACCCATGCCTGACGTCAATCTGCACTTACTGACACTTTGTTTCAGAAGCCGAATACCACTGAGCGACCTGGAGATCTGGAGCTGGAGGAAGCCTTTGGGGTTAAACCATTTGAGAGCGGTTTAACCCCTTAAAGGAAAGAGAGCACCCAGGGGCTTCCTGGCATCATATGATTTTCATTTAAGTTGTTATGGTGACCAGAATGTTCCTTTAATTTGCTTAAAGGAACACTATAGTGTCAGGAATACAAACATGTATTCCTGACACCATAGTTGTGAAAACGCTATTTACCCTGGCTTTATGTGACAATGACTATGCCCCTTTCCTTTCATGACACTGTCAAAGGGACCAAGCATGGATGTCATTACAATTATGCCCCACCATGGAAAGATTCCTGCTGACGCCCATGGTTAGGGGTAAGGTTAGAAAAGGTATACAGTTAGAATTAGTGTAAGCATAAGGTTAGGGGCTGGGTTGATATAGCATGTGAGTGCCGGTATTTAGCTATCATTACTGATACACACATTTATTTTGAGGTATTTTAATTAAATTGTACTAGATGTGTATAAAATTATTATAAGCAAAAATGTGAATTTTCCCCAAGTTGTAGCATTTCATTCAAACATAAAGGAGCACTATAGTGCCAGGAAAACAAACTCATTTTCCTGGCACAATAGGGTTATTAGGTCACCCCCTCCCTCAGGGCTCCACTCCCGCTGGGCTAAAGGGTTTAAAACTCCTTCAACCACCTACCTTAATCCAGCGCCGGACTCCCTCGGCACTGGTGACCTTTCCTCCCCCTGTCGACCTCAGCTCCGAATGCGCATGAGCGGCCAGAGCCGCGCGCACATTCAAACCGCCCAAAGGAAAGCATTACTCAATGCTTTCCTATGGACGTCCAGCGTGTCCTCAATGCGAGTTTCACATTGAGGATCGCAGAAGCGCCTCTAGTGGCTGTCAGGGAGACAGCCACTAGAGGCTTGATTAACCCTCAATGTAAACATAGCAGTTTGTCTGAAACTGCTATGTTTACAGCTGCAGGGTTAAAGCTAGGGGGACCTGGCACCCAGACCACTTCATTAAGCTGAAGTGGTCTGGGTGCCTATACAGGTCCTTTAATGTTGCGTTCAAAAAATAAAATAAAATAAATATATATTAGGGAGCCTAATAACCCTATAGTGCCAGGAAAACAAGTTTATTTTCCTGGCACTATAGTGCTCCTTTAAGGGGTTAAAGATACACTAAGTACCATAACTACTACAGTTTATTGCAGTGGTTATTGAGCAAAAACTCTACTTCCTTTACCCTCAAGTGGCTAAAAAAATAAAACAGAGAATTGTCTGACTTCCAAATGCCATTCTATCAGCTTGGGATACCACACTTTTCACCCCTTCTCATTATCCATTCAAAAACATTTGTGCAGGGGCGGAGCCAGCACCGGAGAAAGCAAGACGCACATTGCCACAGCTCCGTCTACAAAAGACTGATATCGGGGAAAAAAAGCCCACACCGTCGAGTACCAAACAGCTCCAGGAGTGCCCTATGACATGGGGAAGAAAACAAAGAAATCCCGAGCGGACCCGAGCACTGGTTCCCAGGATATCGGGACTTACTTGCGCACGGCCATGCGGCCCGACTTTTCCAAAAATATTTGTGCAGTAAAGGTCAAATCACGATGCCCAACAGAATTGCTACAAAATCTTCCAAAAGACGAGCTAACAAGAAAACACAATTAGAAAACAAATACCAAATATTGATACTAGATATGTTTGGCAACTCAGCATGTGAATGAGTAAATATACTGTAAAATGCATAAACACTAGAATTAGATAGGTGTGTAAAGGGTTGTTTGCATGAATGATTAAGTAACTTTACTACATGAAATATGTAAAAAAAAATATATTTTTCTATTGCTGTGAACTGGCATGTTTTGTACGGATTCTCTATAGAGTAACCAGTGTTTTAAAAGCTCTCTTGCACTGGTTTTATGTCAGAAAAATTAGAAACTCTCTAAAAAGAATAAAAGGATTAGTGTGGCCTCAAAGCAATTCGATTTTAATATTTGGGTTGCTTGACGGTCTAACACAGGATGGCACTCTAGGAACATGGATTCAGATATTGATTCATTTCAAGTATTACTGGCTCCCTCTACTGTTCATTTTCAGTAATTATTTGCAGTTCTTCTAAGTGCACAAAGAAACAAAGCTTGCTTACAAGCCTAGGATACACATATTTTACCAATAAGTATTAACCAGCAATAAGTGCTTATTACTGATCCAAGTCTTAAAGAGACACACACACCTAATCAAATGAATGTATCTAAATACTGAGGCAGATACTGGTAAGTAGTAGTTAAGACCATACTTTAAATTTCACATTCCATCATTTGTGTATATGGAAGTCCCACCATTTCCAACATACAAATAATATCTACTGCAACTCTGCAGAATACGCTTGCCCTTTTAAAAAGAACACACATAAATAATGACATTTCCATAGAAAAAACCACGGATATTCATGCTACGAAAAGGACAGAGGAAGGAAAGGTGGACAAATTATCCGAGGAGTGGAAGATAAACCACCTTTATCCTAATAAATCATTTTGGTCTTCCTTCTAGATTTGAATTTATTGCTTGTAGAATTGATCTTGAAAATTCATCACTTCGGCAGCCTGTAATTTCAGCGTAGTTTCCCACTTCAGTCATTTCCTGACTTAGCCTACCACCTCATTGAAACTGTCACTCAAAATATAAAAACTGCTGGCAATCTATAAGTTAATTAGCTGGGCCCCAACAATAGCAAAAACTGTTTATTGACCGGAGCTAGTATTATCTCTTTCTTTAGAAATGGCCTACGCACCATCATATGGCACTTTACAAACTGCATACACTTGCAGATATTTTGTGTTTATCTTTCTTTAAATCCCTTCATGACAAGGACTATAAAAAATGTTTGCTAAAATTTCCTCTTATTCAATTAGTACACCAACACCATATGACCAGAATAGGCAGTCACCACACGTCTTGGGAGGCTTTCCACAAGATTTTAATATTGTGTATTCCCTCACAATTAATATTTTAATAAATACCATTTAATCATCAAGAGAACCAGGTTTAAAAAAATGGGGGGTGGTCATACGTGCAAACGGCAAACGGCGCTTTGAGAAATTTTATTTTTTGGTTTTAAGTAAATTATAAACCATGTACTGTGCATTATGAAACATGTTTAATAATTACACACTATTTTAAATTGTTCGAAATTCTATCATTGTGACCGAACAGTGTTTTCACTGGAGCTTGGATGAAGTACGTGTGCCAGGTTAGGACTGACCCGAGGTACAGAGAGAAAAGAATGTGAGTTATTGCTTGTTTTTGTGTGATGTTTTTGGGCTGTCTAAGTGTGGCGTGGTCACGTATTTAACGTATTAAATGTACACTCTGGAAAAATGATGCCAATGCTAACTAACATCATGTGTTGACCTCAAAGTACTACGGTCTGAGAAAATTCACATAATGGTGATAGTCATGTGTTGACAATACCTGCCCACTAACAGTATGTACATCACAATACCTGCCCACGTACAGTATGTACATCACAATATCGGTCTTCTTACAGTATGTACATCACAATACCTGCCCACTTACAGTATGTACATCACAATAACAGTCTACTTACAGTATGTACATCAATACCAGTTGATACAGCTGTGCATGGTTATATATTTCTGCATGGTCAGCCAGTTACATCTGATCATTAGGGCTTGGGGCAAAGAGGCCTTAGGCTCCACGATACAAAATGATTTCTGTGCAATCATAATCGACATCCACCGTGCGATTACAGAGATGGGAGAACAAACAGTGCAATTGGAAACAAAAAAACAATGACCTGTGTAGAGCCAACCATGAGGTAGTAGATAAGATCCAGCAGATGAATAAACATGGAAATATGGAACAAGAGTCACAGCCAGACATCTGCTCGATGCACTTGGGTGGGATCTAGACTGATGGGAATCTGGAATAGGGAGCTGTTTTGGACTTACATTTGTAACCTGGCCAAGGTAATTACCCTTTACAGAGGGAAAATTCTTGTATGCTTACATTTACATTGTTCATTATTATAGAGTTTGTGATTTCATACAAGCTTTATTTCCTCTAAGTTTACGTGTATAACTTCTCTGCTGCAATCTGAAATTAGGTCCTTTCTAATAATGATACCATCCAAGTAGGTATATTTAATACAGGGCCAAAAGGAATAAAGGATTGTATGCTTAGGTTAGGCCTAGGAAGGACACCTTTAACAGGAATAATCCATACAATATCACAAGATCATTCATTTAAGGTCTAAACTTACTTCTGTAAGCTGTACTGCTTTGTGAGCTAATACAGGCCCTTCAATGAATCTCAGTCGCATAGCACTTAAGGCCCATATGTAGAGGAATATTTTACACCGGTTCTCTGTACCACCCTCCCAGGGAAGGTCATGTATGCTGTGCTCTCATGGGGACTCTCCTCATGCCAGGAGAGTCTTTGTCCACACAGATTGTCACCTTGCCAAAACCGGGTAAAACTCCCGACAGATGATCTAATTTTAGGCCCATATCCCTTATTAATAACGACACAAAAATTTATTCTAAGATACTAGCGAACCGATTAACTAATCTAATACCTTTATTGATCAATAATGACCAGGTGGGATTCGTGAAAGGTAGACAAGCACCTAATGGAACGAGATGGTTCATTAACTTAATTCAGCATATCAATTCAACAAGAACTCCTTCTCTGCTCCTTTCATTGGATGCAGAGAAGGCATTCGACAGGGAACATTGGGGGATATCTATGGAAGACACTGAGCAGATTTGATATTCCACAATCTTTTATTACTGCGATAAAGGCACTATACAGTGCACCCACAGCTCATGTATCGGCCTTGGGTTTCCAATCCAGAACGTTTTCTCTAACTAATGGGACGTGTCAAGGCTGCCACTTATCTCCTATTCTCTTTGTCCTGGCGATGGAACCCCTGGCCGAACTGATTAGGACGACCCCAGAAATCGCAGGTATTAATATCAAAGGATCCACTCATAAAATAGGATTATTTGCAGATGACGTCATTCTAGCACTCAAAAACCCAAAAGACTCTCTGAAATCTCTCAATACTATTTTACTCGAGTTTGGAGAAGTGTCTTATTATAAATTAAATGTATCCAAGACCCAGGCCCTACCTTTCCACTTGCATAAATCTGATATGGATGAATTAAGACTATCATATCCGTTCGATTGGAGGAGGGATTACCTGGAATATTTAGGAATTAACTTATGCAAACATTTACCCAATATGCATATTCATAATTTGAAGAGAGCATGGCCGGACCTAGACAAGGAGATGGAGAGATGGGTGGTATGGAGTTATCGTGGCTAGGAAGAATTGCCTCTATAATAATGTCCGTCCTCCAAAAATCTTGTACTATTTTAGAACTATCCCCTTATCTGTTCCAATGTCCTTCTTTAGCAAAGTACATTCAATAATGCTAAAATTTATTCGGAACAAAAAACCCAGCAGAATTAAGCTTACATCCCTGCAGCACCAAAAACTTCATGGGGCATTGGTGTCCCTAATTTCAGAAAGTACTACTTTGCAAATAACGCTGCAGCGGTTGTAAGCTTTAATAGTCAAAAAAATAGGCAGAGATGGATGGAGATGGAGGAATCTAGCATTCTCCCCTTTCAACTCGGGGAATTACCCTGGCTAAGCCCTGTAAGGAGACCTGGAGTAACTAAAATGTTTATGACCACTAAGACCACACTTAAAGCCTGGGATATAGTATTTAAAAACAACTGTCACTTGACAAAACTATATAGAGCCATGCCAATTGAATCTTTAAAATACTACATCCCGACCTTAAACTCATCATTATTTAAAGAACACCGATTGTATCATATAGACGACTTTTTCCATGGAAACTCTATTCTGTCGTATGAAGGATTACAATTTAAGCATAGACTGGCGACCGAATGTAAGGATGAATGTGAGTTGTGAGTGAGAAATTAAAAGAAACCAACAAAAATTCTAATGCACTAGAAATATCACAACTAGAAAAGCTATTTTTGCATGACCCGAATAGGAAGGGCATTATATCTATCTGTTATATGTTACATAACGATAAACCATCAATTAAACGGAAGCATATCTTATCCTGGGAGACGGAGCTGGGTTCCCAATATAAGGATTGGTTCAGTTTTTTTTCAGCTCTAAAGGGCCTATCTTTCTGCTCCAACCATCACGAAAACCACTTTAAAATTCTGTATCGATGGTGTCTGGCCCCTTTCGAAATGGCATAATATGAATAATAAGTACAGCGATAGGTGTTGGAGAGACTGCGGAGGACTGGGCAACATGGCCCACATATGGTAGTTTTGCCCAAGAGTGACTAGATATTGGAAAATGATACATGACTTAATTATTAAGTTGAACAGTAACATAGGTAGCTACACATCTGAACTAGCTCTATTTAAAAAAATCCCTGAATCCATCAGTAAAATTGATAGAATTATAGTAGGCCACATTCTGATAGCTGCAACCACATGCCTACCTAGATATTGGAAATCTAAACACACACCCTCAGTTAAAGAAGTACTAACACTAACACTAGAAAACAAATCATACGAATTATCACATAGAAATAACACACATCTATTTGCACAATTGAAATACCACTGGGAAACCGATGTAAAAAAAACAGATAACCTTTAATAACTTGTTATGGAATGTTTTTCAGCGTAAGTGCCTTGTACATTAACATACTTACCGTTATAATGGATGGGTAGCCCCTTTTAAGTTTTCCCTTCCTTTCCCCTCCCCTAATATATCATTTTTTTATTACTTGTAAAATCTGCAAAATCTTTCAATAAAAATTATTTGAAAAGAATTGAAGGATACACAGGTGACAATACTGTGCAAGAAATGCACCCAAGTTTAGCTCGGCATTAGGGCCATCGACATATCAGGCATACGCGTCAAGTAAATTGAAAGGTCTATTTATTAAATTCCATAAAGCCTGGGTCATCATCCTAATTAAACAACTTACTGACCCCGATGGACGATAGCTAGTACTGGTAGGCACATTCAGACTTATGGATTATCTAATATCTACAACCCAAACAAGCAACAAGTAGACTACCTACAGAAAATATTGAATGCATATGGAAAGTGGCACTAGGCTCTCTAATCATATGTGGTGACTTTAACTGTGTGGAAGACCTGGCATTAGATACTCAATTTACTAAAAGCTAAGACAATCAGCAAGGGATTCTCACAACTGCGGCGGTAATGTTATCTGTACGACACGTGGAGATCTTTATACCATACCCTCACAGAACACACATACTATTCACCAGTGCACCATAGAGAATTGACCAGCGTATAGTAGGATTCTCTGCTCTGGCATCGCTGCAATGAGTTGATATGGCACCAATAACATTGCAAAAGTTATGACAACCTGTCAAACCATATACTCAGTAAGAGGAAGAGGGACCTGGAAACTCAATGAGGCCCTCCTAAATGTAGATATGACTGCAAAACACATTGAAGACAGAATACAAAATGGTTGGAAGACAGAATACAAATTGATTGGAAATAGGAATGCCTAATCGTGTCCACCTGGCCACACCAGAGCTAAGAGTCTGAGAATCCACCAGTGCCTTCAGCTGGCAGAGACATGGCTGGGAGCCTCTATAGCACCACTGGACCAAAAGGGAATATGCTGTCCCTCTCCCAGGATAAAAAAACAGGGGTGGGGGTGAATAAACAAATAAACAAATAAAATATAAAAAAATAAATATAATATAAATAAAAAGCTGTTCCCCCCTCAGCCCCTGCAAAACTCAGACCGGATGCTATCCTACAAAGTCTCTCTCTCACACCACACACACAATGTATCCCTTATTATTATTTTATTATTTACATAGCGCCACCAGATTCTGTAGCGCTGTACAATGGACATAGAAATCCACAATGGATCACGAACGCACGCACACACACACACACACACACACACACACACAATAATGCATTGTTATTAGTAAGTCACCTCAACATTTCTCAAAACAGCTCCACTCACACCCCTAGATTAAAGTGTCCCTATTTGTTCATTTGAAATATTGGAAGGTATGCAGTTTAGTAAATATTCCTAACTGTAACAGAGTATTTAATTCCAAGCAGAATAAGCAGTTGCAATCATTTTCCATGCCCCGAATGATATTCATATACAGTATGTCTGTTTATAGCCAGATATTTTCTCTATTTATAGCTAAAAAAAAAACTTTTAGCAATTTGATACCTCTATTATTCAAGGATTTCAATACTTAAAATATCCGGTTTATTTTCATGCCTTAATTTTGGTCACAATGCTATAAATTTCAGACTCCCCAGTTCGACTGCACACAGCGGAAATATTTAAAAGTACACCAAATCCTTAATAGCTTTATCGTATGGGGTCATTCATACCAGACCCATTACAAATGAGAGCTGGGAAGAACATTTTATGTTAGGAAAGTATGAAGTTTGTCCGCGTAATGAGCCAAGAACGAGGGACGCAGTACAAGAATGTGCAAAGCTTGTATAAACTTACGTAAAATTATTTGAAAATAGTATTTTATGAAGCGTCAGAGACAGTATTTATGGAGTCTGAAAGAAAACATAGAAAGCTAAATGTGTCCTCGATTAACCTGCTTGCAAAAACAATGAACTTCATTATTTTTAAAATCATAAAGCCATTTATTTTGACAGAAATTTAGCAAAATGGTTTTCAGTTCATCACAGTTCATCAAGTAGTGAAAAACATCCCATAAAATTTACAAACTGGCTATTTTGTTTGAAATGTCTCAGATTTGTTTTTGTTGTTTTTTAACTTAATTGACCGTCACTGTTTAGTACATAAGCCCCATAGTGTATTCCTCACTGTAAATATAAGATTTCTGGCTCTGGGTTTCAGGTGTGGTAACTCAGTCAGTCAGCTGCCCTGTCCCATAAAATCCTCATCATTGATTTGCAATAAAATGAAATCTTACTACTGCACACACAGGATCCGCCCAGGTGCCAAATGGTCTATGTGTGGGATGATAGAACCAGAGAGGGACTGTCTAGCAAAAGATGGTTAGCATAAAAATTATTCAGGGGGCTGGAAATAGCCAGAATAAGAGAAGTAGGAGAGAGATAAAAAGACTTATGTCATCATATATAGACACATTAGTGCATATGCGATATAAGGGAAGCTAAAAATGAATTCTGAATTTACTTTATAGAACTGAAATGGTTTTATTTCAAAGGTTTCTTTGTTTCTGAATGTTTTCGAAGTTCTCTCAATTCAGCCTTAAAGTGGATGTGTCAATTTTCAGTATTTCATAAAGATACAATCTGATTAAGACTGCGTTGGAATTTCACTGAAGTTCCAACACAATCCAAAGTTATCAAAGTAGAGACTACTTTGTCTTACATTAAAGCCCGAAGTTGACTAAAGAATGAACTCCCGTGTCAACCTTTGTCCAATCCCAGCAGCCTTCACAAATGGCTTTGGGATGTAGGGTTTTTCTATGAAGGATCCCATGGTCATCACATCAACAATGCCGTACAACTATTAAGGGAATATTTGCACTGCTGAAAGGATATGGATGCAGCCTCAGAGGGTTTCCTGAATCCCTGAACAGTAAAAGTTACAACATTGCAGGGTCCACAGGTTGGTGGCTTAAATATATCTGGGTAATATTACTTTGGTGTTGTGAAGTCCTCCATTATTTACTATCAGCAATGCCATGGCTACTCTCAGTATATACATAGCCCAATTCATACTTCTGTTTTGAGAGGCAGGTTGTGTGTATTGATTTACTGAGCCACTAGAGATGCTTCCTCCTTAGACCATTAATTTTTGAAGGTCTTCACATTTGGCTTTATAACACCAAATATGAATAATGCTTCTCTATGAGAAGCATTGGATTGGCGGATAGAGGTGATGGCCTCACATGTGCCTGAGGTTCTCAAGGATTCTGCATGAGAAACATCTGTTTGGATCAGTGATCATCGTGATTGGTGATGGATCAGACTGAAGACAGTAAACTTTTTCGATGCCAGATTACAATTAAATTCCTGTTTTTTTTCTTTATACTTGGGTCCCAGTAATTCACACTAGAAAAGGAACACTTTAACATTAAAAATACAGATATTTATTTTTAACTTCAGAATGTTCCTTTAATACTTGAAGAGCAAGACCCATTAACACTTCAACAGTATGCTTTCTCTTTCTCTCCCTCAACACACTATAGCTAGTTTGTTGTTTTTTTTTTTAAACATCAGAAGTGTATTAAAACAGGATTTTCAGTAGTGAAACCCAATATATGATGTATTCTCAGTAATTGTTTTTCCTGACTTATAAATGGATCTTTGTCTCTAAATGCTCATGGCTGAGCCATTTACATGTATGTTACACTTTGTAACCACATTATTGCTATGACACCTTTTACTAGAATGCAGTCTTACCATTTAGGGGTTTAATAAAACAATCAGGTTTCACCTTCACATGTGGGGAACTTTACAGTTATATCAGCTAATTAACAGTGCTTTGCCAATTGCACAGATCTCTTTCAGGGACAGCGATTTGCAGAAATTTTCATAAATCTCCATTTCCTTTTAATATGGCTATACAGACCCCCAAGGCTAATCTATAGACCACTTCCAAGCCATTCTCATTTTTACTTCATATGTATAGCAGTTTATGGAACCCCACACATCACAAAGATGCTCTGGCCTAAGTCTGCAGATATCAAAACTCTGGAAACCCCAATTGCTGTATGACTGCAGATGTTTATGAAGTTTAAAGTAGGGGATGATGAAGTTAAAGGGTTATTCCAACCACCACGAACACTTCAGTGATTTAAAGTGGTCATGGTAGTAGGAGTCTGTATGTGCACTGGATGTGAAACAATGCACATACAGAGAAAATTGCATAAAATTTCGATAGAAATTTACACTTTTAAAAATTAGCCTGGTTACACCCCCCTGACGCTCGATCAGGCAACTGATCCTATTAATTCCTGGTTTGGTTAGCCCAGTGGAGATAAAAATCAAGAAGCGGGTAATTGCCTAGCCTTGTAAAGACTTCTCATTGAGCTGCATTAAATGACCACTGTAGGCACCCAGACCACTTCAGCTCAATGAAGTGGTCTGGGTGCCAGGTCCATCTAGGATTAAACCTGCCTGCTGTAAACATAGCAGTTTCAGAGAAACTGCTATGTTTACATATGGGTTAATCCAGCCTCTAGTGGCTGTCTCATTGACAGCCGCTAGGGGCGCTTCTCACTGAAAACAAAGTGAGAAGACGCCAGCGTCCATAGGAAAGCATTGAGAATGCTTTCCTATGGACGGGCTGAATGCGCGCGCGGTTCTTGCCGCGCATGCGCATTTAGCCGATGACGACCGAAGGAGGAGGAGAGTAAGTGTTTAACCCCCTTTCCCCACTTACAGCCGCAGGCGGGAGTGGGACCCTGAGCACTATAGTGCCAGGAAAACAAGTTTGTTTTCCTGGCACTATAGTGGTCCTTTAAAAAGTCTGTAATTGGACAGCCAGAGAAAGTCTGGGCACAGTTAGAAATGGAGTGCTTGCAAAGGCTGCAGACAAGAGATATGCATCTTCTGCAAGCTGTTTTAGATAGAACAAGAATAAATGCATAATTAAATGCATGCATGTTTTCATTGAGGATATATCTGCTAAACAGTGATTTTTATATATTTAGCTATTTGTATTTGGAAGTGGAGTGTCTCTTTAACCTTCTCTTCCCAAAATATTTGTCAGACTACTGGCTACATATACAACCTGTTAATTCTTAAATTAGCTTGCTGTTGTTGTGATATTTGAATGAATCTACTCAACAATTACATGGAACCCAAATTATGATATAAGAATCTAGATATCTCACACGGTCACAGACATGGCAAGAAACTCTGACATTGCAAAGTTAATGTATCTATCAAATGTTGTGCTTTATAAATAATAATAATAGTGTGTATATATATATATAGCCCTACCTCCTCCCAATCCCATCCACAATTTCTTTTAATCACCGCCCTCTTTCCTCCTCCTTTCTTTTGCTTCCTCCCCCTCCCTTCACTAGGAAGGTGGGAAAGGGCTGGAGCATGGTCCCCAGCCGGTAAAATGGTCTTTGAGAAGCCTTTGATTAGACCTTGCTACAGGACCATTTACATCTGACGAGGTACTCTGAGGAAGGCCAGGAAGCGTTACCCGGAGCTGGATTAAGGTGAGTAAACTTATTTTAAAAACACTCTGAGCGTTTTTCTCAGGGGGACTGATAGAATAATGCCAGTAGGACATTATTCTATCATAAATGAAAAAGGGTTGGAGAAACCCTTTAAACAAAGTGCATCCTAAAAGCATTCACTGCTCTGTGACAATCTGTAAATGATGAGCATTCAATCGGACTGCAGAAACCAATTCTGTATTATAGACAGTTTAACCAGCTAAGTATGGTGGACCAAATGAGAAGTAGGGAACTGGCAGTGTCAATATAGCTGGGTGACAGCCAGAATGTAAGATCAAGTTCTCTGGAGTCACTCCATGATCAGCATACCCCTAGATATTATTTCAAGCAGGCGACTCCATGTCTACGAGTTGTATGTAAACACATGTAACCCTTTCCTTACTGACCATAGCTCTGATGTCCAGGAGTGTAATGTTACCGCTGTCCTTATGCAAATATATTTGTAAGCTCCTCAATGTAAGCTGTAACATGCAAATGTAATGATTTTTCATGAACTGTGCAGCGTCCCCCATCAGATTACATTGTACCAACAATTACTGTTTATAGAATTCAGTCACTATCACTACATTTTATTTTAATGTGGTGGGTTTGGTGCATGTATTCTGCCTCTTTTGTCTGGAAGTATAAAATATTTACCATTTCAGAGAACCAGCTATGTTTACATTTTGCTAAGAACATACCTTTTAACAGCCACTAGTGGCTCTTCTTCCTTAAAATACTCTAATTTCATGCAGAATGTGGAGATGCTAAACATCAGTGCTGCACCAGTACGCACCTCTAGTAGTTGTCTGAGTGACTGCCACTGTAAGTGTCCCTAGGGAGCAATATAAACAATGCCTTTTCTCTGAGGGAAGGAAATAAAAAAACAATAAGCCTGTAGTTGTTTTGATGATTATATTGTCCTGAATTACTCTTAATGCATAACCCCCAATTTGCTTTCAGGCAGCTTGTTCCCAGTAGTAAAGTTCAGAGTAGGAGTGTCCGTGTAGCTTCAACATTAACGGGACACTATAGTCACCAAAGCAACTTTAGCTTAATGAAGCAGTTTTTGTGTATATAGATCATACATTTGAAGTCTCACTGCTCAATTATATGCCATTTAGGATTAAAATCACTTTTGTTTCTGTTTGTGCAGCCTTAGCCACACCTCCCCTGGCTGTGACTGACACATTCTGCATGAACACAAAATTGTTTCATTTTTAATTACATGTTTACTTACTTTACAAGTGTATATCTCCTGCTCTGTAAATTGAACTTTAATTACATACAGGGCGCTCCTGAAGGATCTAGCAAGCTATTAACAGAGCAGGAGATAAGACATTCTAAATTAAACAGTCATTTCAATACAGAAAGTGTAACATTAGATGGCTCTTTGCAGGAAGTGTTTAGAAAGACTTTGTAATAAGTCACATGCAGGGAGGTGTGATTAGGGCTGTATAAACAAAGTGATTTAACTCCTAAATGGCAGAGAACTGCACAAGGAGACTGCATGGGTATGATCAATACATCATATGTGCCCCATTAAAGGACCACTATAGGCGCCCAGACCACTTCAGCTTAATGAGGTGGTCCGGGTGCCACGTCCAGCTAGGATTAACCCTTTTTTCTATAAACATAGCAGTTTCAGAGAAACTGCTATGTTTATGTTAGGGTTAATCCAGCTTCCAGTGGCTGTCTCATTGACAGCCGCTAGAGGGCTTCCGCGCTTCTCACTGTGAAAATCACAGTGAGAAGACGCCAGCGTCCATAGGAAAGCATTGTGAATGCTTTCCTATGTACTGGCTGAATGCGCGCGCAGCTCTTGCCTCGCATGCGCATTCAGCCGAGGAGGAGGAGGAGAGCTCCCCTGCCCGGCGCTGGAGAAAGAGGTGAGTTTAACCCCTTCCTCTCCAGCCAGCCCGGCGGGAGGGGGACCCTGAGGGTGGGGGCACCCTCAGGGCACTATAGTGCCAGGAAAATGAGTGTTTTCCTGGCACTACAGTGGTCCTTTAATCTAAAGTATTTTTGTTGACTACTGTGTCCCTTTGATTATTTTAATGTGAAGTTCCCCTGACGAGTAAGCCAGTAAAATCTGAAAATCTTTTTCTGGTCCCCAAACCATCATGCCCAGTGTAGGGGAAGGGATTTTTTTTTATATTAAAAAAAAATGTAATACATGATAATACCGCTGTGGTTTACTGTTAACTAAGACTTATACCACTGCCCCAAATACTTCATGCCAATGAAGTAAAAACATTAAAAACAAAATGTTCCTATAAAGTCCAAGCAAGTTATTACATTTTAGATCCACGCAGTACAGACGTGTACTTTTGCCCAAATATGCACTGAAGCATGTAATTTGGAAATTTAAATTATCCTGTTAGCAAATTCCCAACAGAAAGAAAACCCACAAAACGTCCTGCTACCTAGCCAGTATGCAATAAATCAGGTGACCTAGAAACTTCTTAATGGAGTAAACATATGTAGATTTGCAGTGCTGATAAAGCCACAGATAATTAAATACTTAATCTGGTTATTGATATACACATGGTATACACTGAATCTATACTGCCAGCCATTAGGGGGGGTTGTGGTCTAATAGCCGGAGAACCAGCTAAGAAACAATTGAAGGGACACTAAGCACCAAACCATCAATGTTAAACTATTTTATAAACAAAAATAACTCAATTGTTGCATAAAGTGTTGTATAAGGGTTGTATCAAGTATATATGTAGAGAGAGATGTGTTTATATATGTAGATCTACTTCCTGCAGCTACTGCAAGCCCAATCAGAGGCTTCTCATTGAGAAACATTTTCTACAGCTCATTATTGATCAGATTTTTACTAAAGTGAGAAATCAAAGTGAATTTCAGATTTACGGTCAAAATAGCCAAACTAGAAAAAACTTTAAGTCACCTATGCTTTCTGTTTGACTGCTCTAGCCTTAAACGGACATGCACCACTATGAGACAACTGTCTCATTCAAAAGCTTTGAATGAGATTGTTGCCTCACTCTGCAGTCTGAAATAAACAGGTAAATGTGATTTGTTGCTACTTCTTTCTTATGCTTTCCACGCCCAGTGCAGTGGAGACACTGATCTAACCAATCAGTGTCTAATCCCTAGGAATGCTGAAAAAGTTAACTGGGCATTCCTGACACATTTACAGTGTGCAGTTGAAAGATCTATTCACCTTGCAACATCTTTACAGGGGTAGAAGATGGGGAGTCTGATCAGCCTGATTCATGCAGAGCAGGCTCCAGTGTTTCTCTGTCATGTTGCTGAACAATGACACACTGTTTCTCTTATTAGTGGACTGGTTTGAAATTGAGATGGGTGGTTAAATGGAGAGGGTGACGGAATGGGGTGCGCTGAAGAAACTCCCCTATTTGAGAGACATGCCAAATAATGCAATCTGGCCATGTTCATAGTAAGTGCATAAATATTATATACTTATGCCTTATTTTGGTTTGTATATTTGTTTTAAAGTGTTTGTTTGCAGGTTTAAAAAAAATAAATAAAAAATCATTGTCAAGTGATGTATTTCCCTTTAAATTTGAAATTCACTTTGAATTCACACTTTAGTAAATAACCCTGAATTATTAGTTCCACTGAGCTCAACTAGCATGAACGCTGTGAGGCCATGGAGGTGTAACAGGGTAAGAAAAGTGCTAGTTTCTAGTCTGATGTCTAACCATCCACCCATCGATCCAACCCCACATTCGCCTATCGATCTATCTTTCTATCCATCTGTCAGTCCATCCATCTAGCATTCCAAAGCACACACAGGAGCAAGTCAATCATTCAATGATAGAGTTGGGGACTGCAAAAACAGCCTGGAAGGGTTACATCCATCCTGCAGGCTCCGCAGGCAATGATCCTTGGTAACAGTGTATGACAGATGCAGGGCAGTTCCATAAAATTAATATTCCATAATTACATAGTTTCCCTCATGGCTCTGGTCTGCAGCATAATTCCTGTTCAATAACTACATTGGCGGGATCCGAAAAACACACTTATTTCACCTAAGGATATATTGAATGAGTTCTGTGCTACAGGATAATTATAATGACTCGTGACACAGCCAGCGTCATGAATTGTTTTTCATTACTTTAGATCTCGGTCTGTAGCATAACTTAGCAAGATGTTATTTTAAGATGATTGAAGTCATTTGAAAAAATTGAGGGGTACTTAGTCATACTCTGGTTTCTTTTCCTTATGTTTTTTCACTACTTTTTAAACCGCCACAAGCAGACAGTGTTTAATTTATAGACCACAACTGTCTCAAGCTACGGGTCTAAGCGCAGACAATGAGCATAAATGAGAGTATGAATATGACAGCCAGCTAGAAAAATTTGAACCAATTAGTTCCCCTGGGACAGAAGTAAGCCAGGCTGAGACTTCCAAACATCAGGTGGTCCCGCAAAACTTTTCCTTACATGGAAATGGCAATCCTGTAAGTTCTTCTCTCACTGTCTTATTGTTTAAGCACAGAAGACTATTGAAAGTATCTTTTGCTCAGTTTACCATTAAAATCGGTTATAAAAGCTGCACTAATGCCCACATTTAAAAAGGAATAATATGCACCATTGAGCACGCTCCTTCCTTAGTCTGCATGCTCTATGTAACCTGGTCAGAAACCTGTAATCCCCAGAGTGTGTGTATGTATATACGGATATAGAAATACAAACTATAACTTACAACAACCTCACACGGTGCCTTAGTGTTGTATATTAAGTGTGTAAAAGAAAGCCCTCACATACGCCAAAATCAGAGAATTTAACTAAACTCTGTAGGCACTCATAGAATAAAACTTAGTTGACTTTTATTAAGATTCCGCAGATGGGCAAACCTTCATCGGAATATAAAAGTGCATCTATTTTAGTGGTAAACTGTTTACAGAATGTTGGAGTGAGTGTGTCTGCGTCTATAAATAAATAAAAGAAAAAGTGCCAGTCATGTTACCTTACAGTATAATCACAACAACCATTAGCACCTAACAAAACATGACAAAACGGAGTGTGGCCGGAAGATGCTTGTAAGATGCCAAGGAGCCCAGCTGATTATACTTAAGTCTATCACAGACAATCACTGAAACAGCATTTGTTTTGCAGCAGGTCAGCTGTTATGCTATCCACAAGGAGGTGTATTCTGCTCAAAGCTTCTCCACAAAGCTGCACAGACTAGGTTAAAGGAGACCCATTTTAATAGTTTGTGCATTTAAAATGCCAGCTTTATTAACAGCTCCCCTACAGCGAGGCTAAAAGATTAAAACTTGAAAAAATTAATTGTTCTAGCAAAGATCAAACGGTCATTGCCATGGTTTTATTGCAGGAAAAGTAGTTCTAGTGGCCACTAAAGTGCTTCCGAGAAATATAATTTCTTAGAATGTAAAATACAGATGTTAATAGCTGTTTGCATTCAAGTGTCCTGCGCTTATCACTATTCTGACACAATCACATACATATCGTATACTTCTGTGTATGTGTATTAACAGCATTAAGAAAACACTATTAACATAAACCTTAAATAAATCACAGATGGGGAATAAATGTTTTTACATACCGGTAACTAAGGAGCATTTTATTTATTTTATTGTGTGTTTTTTTTAAATAAAAGGAAACAAATAAAAATACTTAATTAAAAACATATAGTACAAGATCATATCACATCAGTGTGTGAAATGTTTTCATATATAACATTACCTACATTAAATTACTTCCAGATAACGATTTTTCCACGAAAACCCCCTCCCCAGAGACATACCCTGAGCTGGTTACTGGCATAGATATGATCACAAGTCTTTCTTCACCTTATAATAAGATTAATATAAGTTATTAAATAAAGGCATTTCAGCCTTTCCTCCAGAAATTATGAACATTGATTAAATGAGCTCCCACGAGTGGTTTGTAAAATAGCTAATTATTTCCATACCTGGATTCACAACACATGAAGCATCTACTGAAACTAGTTGATGTGTCCGTGTTAACATTTGTTTCATACTAATATACGCTCTTTGTTCGTCTAAGAAGGGTGTTTTAAAGTAAAACAGTTGAATTTAGTGGGTGCATTAAAAAACTGGTAGTAACACTTCTAAAGCTACCATCTGGTAATTCCACAGGTTTAGGATGCAATCACTTCCAACACATTCACAAAACCTGTGGTAACGCGCAAGCGGCAAGCATCTCAAAAAAGCACTCTACATTGGTGTCAGCCATTCGAATTATGTATGGTCTTGTGAGGTAAATGGTGCTTCTGAAGAGAGACGACTTAAAAATGGTCACAGTCACAAAGCAAGAGTAAGGCAGAATCTGCAATGAAGTGAGGTGATAACTGTTTCCCTGAAAATAAGACATCCCTTTAAAATAAGCCCTAGCTTATGTTGGGGGGATGGTCGTAATATAAGCTCTACCCCGAAAATAAAGCTTAGTCGCAAGTTCGTTAACCTATGCTCTGGGAATTTTCCCCAAAGATTTGCAGGATTCCATTTGCGAGCAAGTGTAATGGTATTAATATAATGATTTATGTCATAAAATAAAGAAAAGTGAGGTTATTGTTTTAGAGGTACCACTAGGGGCAGTGTGTAGGATTCCTTAAGCCATATGCTTCTGGCAGTGACATCACAGGCCGGCCTATTTAGGAATATACTGAATAAAAACCAAATGTAGGAGAAATTCGGTCTCTTTGCCTTTTCTAGAATGTAGACTACCATCAGCTGACTGTTTAACCGCAGCCCTAGAGGCTGGGGCCTGTGTAGGTTTATTCATGTTTTGTATTGTACCATGTGATTTCATTGTAACATTTAGCAACTGTTCTAGCCTTTTGTAAGTAATATGTTGTAGTATTGCATTGTATGATTATTGTAGTCCATTGACATTCTGCTAGCATCTGTTGTTATTATTGTTATTATAATCATATTAAATATACATTTAATATTACAATGTTTTGTGTTGTTTTTTTTAAAATCCACATATTCGACCATAATACCACAAACTATAAAAAATATTAATGTTGTTACCTATTGCTTTATTATTATATATTGATTAAAAAAATAATATTCATCTTTAAGTCACAGCCACAACAGTAAGCTAATTTATGTTCGGGATGTTTCCCTGAACATAGATTTGCAGGATTCCATGCCCTAGTAAACTGGTCTATGTTCAAAGGAATTCCCCCGTAGACCTGCTTTCTAGCACGTTTGCTACCGTTTTCTCCCGAAATAAGCCATCCCCAAAAATAACAGTGAGTTTTTCAGGGGGGAGGGGAATTAATAGAAGACCAGGTCTTATTTTCAGGGAAAGATGGTATATGCTACAAATATCTACATACATGATACATTCAATATTTTAATTTAAATAGTAAAAAAATTACAGTTTTTATTTAATGCATAAAACAGAAAAAGTGCCAATAATTTTTTCACCTTTATCTAGGTCTAATAAGAGCTACCAGTGATCAAGAGGCTTGTAACCACTGGTGGTTCTATTGTGGGCATGCTACCATTATGGGTATACATGCATCAAGATGGATCTTAGCCAGCAGTTTGAGCATTTCCCACCTTTAAATTTTTCCCAGTCACCTCACAACACCATGGGAATAGGTTAGCAGTGAACAGTTCTATCTTAGTTATTAACCCTCTACCAGTTATTAACCCACCGCATATTTTTCAAGCAGAATGTTGCTCTATATAACCTTCTAAAAGCATAAAACTATGCAAATAAAACATGTCTAACAGCTATCATATTTCAAATATCATTCACTTACATTTTTGCTTTCCATGTCGATATATATTTTTTTTTACATAGTATGACCATTTGGTGGAAATGAATCTCCATATTTGTTTCCTGAGATAGGTGATCTTAAGTAGGCTTGTAAAATGTAGAAATGTATTTTTATCTGTGTGCTGTTCCTTAATTTGTATTATATATTTTTGTATGTATTACATCTGACTGTGCTACAAGCTTAGTTCTAAAGAGTTATCTCTTTAGAATATAGCAGCCTTCGGCATATGTCTGCATAAAAAGAAATCCAACCAAGACACATTAATTTACAACAACCTATTACAACCAATGTTCAGGGTTTGTTCAGTTGTATCCCAATTTGGATATCATTAAAACGTCTGTTGCTAGTCTCTGATGACTGCTTATAAATTAAGTAATTGAATCATTACAGCATGGCTCATTTCATTCTTACCTTGATAACCTCTGGTGACTGCTGAATTAACAATGCTGGTTCAGAATCCTTGAGCTGACTCAGGTGCTGGATGTTAGGTGAGGACACAGGAGATGAGGGAACCAAAGTTTCCTGAAGGATTTGCATAACTTCCTTCTGTTTGGAAAGAGTTCCTCTCCCTGACCGCCAGTCCACAAGTTCTTGAGCAAAGTCTTCAATACTCCCCAGTATTCGAAGCAAAAGATTGCCATCGTCATCGTCCTTTAAATTTGCTTTGCTTATTTCGTTAGTAGCTGTAGGTGAATTGGCCATGTGTCCCTCCTTAAAATCAGGGAGGCCAAATTTCTTTGATGTAACTGATGAAGACAATGGAGGATTCTTCAAAGTGTTCTCTATTTTTTGAGAAAATCGCTCCAAATCTAAGAGCAGCTTGTCAATTTCTTCATGGTCATTGTTCCTGACCACTTTGGTTGGCGCTGTTGCATGCATATTGTACTGAGTCGTAGCTTCACTAGCATCTCTTGTACTGGAGGTGAAGGACGACGAACTATTAGCAGATTTTAAAGATGCATCAACACTGAACGGATGGTCAGTGGAATTATAATGGGATGGCCTTCCAGCTGTCCATTGGTTATGCTCAGGCAATCGTGAACTTGTGTTTTTGTGTTCATGATTAATTGATTTTTCCAAATCTGAATCCTCCTCAATGAAAAGTTTTTCCATGGAATTCCTAGACATTTTCTCACCAGTCTTATTTGAAGGTAAGTTTGAAAGGGCCACAGATTGATGAGTAGTTGCAGAATGTTTTCTTGTAGAACTACATTGTGTTTGTTTGTTGCCTCTTTGCCATGTTTTGGCTGGTAGAGGAGGTGCAACAGATGGCACAGTATCACTATTATTTACATTTTGTGGTGTTACATCCCGGTGATCAGTAGTGGCAGGAGTAATGGTTTTCAATGAAGGTGGAGTATGAACAACATCTTCATATTTAGGTGGCTGTTCAAGTCCATATATTGGAGAAAAGGGCTGTTGTTGCAAACTATGTAGGCTGCTTACAAGTTCCGCCAAATCACTAGGCTCAGTCCTGCCAAGAGGTCCGTGTTCCACTTCAAAGGGCAGCTTTTTTAGGTAGGATGACAACCTCGCCATTACATTCATGTAAATAATCTCTGGATTTGGAAAATGATCTGCCCCCTTGCCCTCACCCACACTATTCCCTCCTACTGATCTGTTCCTAATGCACTGTTTAATTATATTAGTGCACTTCTTCAGGTCCTCTGAGCACTTAAGCAAAATATCCAGACACATTTTGATGTCTTCACCAGAACCTGTGCCGTCTAGTTTGTGCTTCTTCAGGATCTGACTAATGAGATTCTCCTCTGACAACCCTTGGAGATACAAAGAGGCCATGTTATTGATGTTCTGCTCTAAAGACACACTATTGGAGATTATTGCCTTTTCATCTGAGCCTTGAGCTGGTAGCAAGCAAAAGGGGGGACAATTTTCATTGTTACCAAAATGACCATAGATAAAGTCATAGTCAGTCGATTTCCTGCTAAAAGAATCTGGGCGGACTTTACGACCTTTCCTGAGGTTGACATGTTGGTTTGATGCATTCTTTAGCTTTTCAAAAGAGAATTCCTTTATTTTTCCACTAGCAAGATTTATGGCTTCACCGGTGATATCTTTAAGGCTGCTGGTACTTTGGACAGCAGTGGCCTTTTTGGCCTTTTGGTTGAGATGAGTGTCATCCTCGCTAACAACCAAACTCTCCCCGACTGCTATTTTATGATTAACATCTCCACTGCTGAGAGTGGATCCCTCTGGAGCTTTGAGGAGCTCTGAGCACACACTGTGATGTGCAACCATGCAGTGGACTCCATGTCTGTAAATCTGACATTGACCAGGACAATAATGAACTACATTTTGTATCCTTGTGTCCAGTACCACGCTATTGTAACAGGTGACCTTTGTAACAAGCACCTTGTAAGCTGCTGCCATCAGGATTATAAATAAATTAAAATAGTACAAATTTAAACTGTACCCATTCTGTACCAATTGTCCAATTGTTGCATCAGCATAAATAAATAGCGAGAGATAAGATGTAAATTTGGTTTTCTTTTTTTAATCCTGGAAAATAAAATAATAAATACTTTTAAAAACTTTGGGGACTGCAAAACAGTGGTGTATACATTCGAAGGTTGTGGTCATCACTCCATACAAAGTCCACAAAGAAGGGAAAAGCAAAAATATCCAAAAGCAGAAAGAGCACATACACCCTAAATGCTGGGAATAAATTGGTGAACAAGGATTACAATTCTCAGAATGAGTCAGTGGACGGCATCAGTTGAATGTATTGATTCAGACAGAGAAATGATGGGAGAATGTTATTTATTCTGCCTCGTCTTCAGTATGTGCAACATGTCCCCATTCATGTTCAATGCTGCACACCCATGCAGGAGCTTCATTAACTACAAAACAAGATCTTCCCACACAGCTACATGGATTCAGAAACGTGTTTGACCAGTAGATTTTAGTCAAAAGCTTAGCTTTCACTGGTGTGATTATTTTAAAACAAACGAGAAACAATTAACTGGTATATTCATGTGCCATCAGCTTCAGAACGTGAAGGAAGAGGTAAAACACCTGGGAAAAAAAAAAAAAAAGGTATTAAAGCAAGATATAAAGTCCGTAAATCCCAAAGGGAAAAGCAATAAAAAATATTTAGCAACTGTCTGTAAGCCACCTATCCCATTCAAAAACATTTCAAAATATACCCAAAAGCTCCTATACGCTGGTAGAATTTAAAATATTGGGGGTGGAGGAGAGACGCTTTGATTTAGTAAAAGAGCACAATGGTTTTGGGACACAGCACAGATAATTTCTGTCTAATCTGATGAGCACAGGGCTAATATACAGGGTTTCTTCAATACCTGTCAAACTGTAGTGAACTGACAGATTGCAAATTTTAGGCAGAAAATACTGAAATTGTATATTCCTCCAAAACAGCTATACTCACATTTTAGCCTCAGTTTTGCAATTCTGTTTTTGGTTTACTACAATTGACGTGTAGCGAGTAACCCTGAAAGTGTCATATTTCTAAAAGTGACATAACTTAAAATGTTGCTATTAACTTTAAACATAGCCTAAAAATACTGCAAAGTGTTTCATTTCCAGATTCATTTATTTGACACTTAAAGTATAGCGAATATGTTGCAATCAAGTACGAAAACAGTAGTGAGAGGGCATTGCCATCTGTACACAGTACCAATGCGTACATATAACTACTGCAAAACAAGGTATAACATAACAGGTCTCAAAATTTAGTTTAATATGTTTAATGTTTGGAAACTTAGTCACGTTTAATTTTTTTATTCCATTCTGGTAAGAAAACCTATAAAACATATCATGAGACCTGCTGCATGCCGGGAAAATATGTTAATTAATCAACAAACAGGTGCAATATGAAATACGACAAGGAACATACACTCTCAGTCTCACTCTTTCTCAACATAATAAACTTAGCATAAATACCTTCCTTTATAGCAATAAGCTGCTCGAGTACAAATTGAGAAGGAGTAAAAGTGAGTGCACTAAGGTAGCTAGATTTGCTTCTGGACAATGATTTGCCAAGCATTTATAGTTAAGTTTACTTTTATTAACATAACAGACTTAGAAGCTGTATAGCTTGTCTACTGTGCGACTGTCTGACCTATTACATAAAGGGAACTTGAAACAACAACATATGAACGGATGCGGATATATGCAGATACAAAGTTGAGAAGGCGACTGTGAGCTCTTAGGCTACTTCAGGAATCTAGCATGCCACTGCCTAGTTTAAAGTTGTATATACAGTCAAATTACACTCAAATATTATTAAAGGGACACTATAGTCACCAGAGCAACTACAGCTTAATGATTCAATGCATCTCTATGAGGAGGTGCCGATTGGCCAAACCAGAGTCTCGTCCCACCCCTGTACCGCCTGCTTTCCAGATTTCAGCCAATTCAATGCTTTCCCCCATGGGAAAGCATTGGATTGGCCGAAATAATTTCATTCTGATGTTAGCAAGTGCTGGATCGGGGGCGGGCCAGTGCCGGCATTTCAGCATGGTGCTGGAAATAAGGTAAGGTTTCCTAACTTTTAAGGGTGTTAAGGGGAAGGGGGGGGGGGGGTAACTAAATGGTGGTTTTAACACTATAAGATCAGACATACATGTTTGTGTTCCTGACCCTATAGTGTTCCTTTAATCTTTTTAACCTATTTTGCAATCCTTTAAACATCTTTGTGAAAGCACAGCTAGCTAGTATTTATTTTAACAGATATAGATGTCAGGTCACAAAACACTACTTATTTTGAATTTAGAGTGCCAGCTCTACTACTGCTTAAGTCAAGTCAGTTGCTTAACAAGTCTTATATCAAATATTTGCGACAATAATCATAATGCAATAATAATAATAATAATAATAATAATAATCATTTATGAACATAGATGTTTTAGATGTTTCAATTATAAAAAATGCAATTTTTTTTTTATTTGGAGCATTAGCTCTTCTGATACTTTTGCCTTGAATGAAGTGCCAGTAGTGCTCTTCCAAGGTAAGTAATTAAATCTGACATTTTACCTGGGGTCTATAGGGTGTCCATCGTGGGCACCCATGTTGGCGGAAGCTCTTGCAAGGAGCACATACTGTGATGGTTGGCATTATAGACACATATAACACAAGGAATATAACAGTACTAGAAGAATCATTGGTATAAAGCGACCTGTCCGTAACATTAAGAAATTATTTTGTAGTAGATATTCTGCTCTTAAGTCATATGTGGCAGTGTAGTGATGGCTAAACTTGGCATCCCAGATATTTGTGAACTACATTCCATATGCTTTGACAGCTTAAACATCTGAGGAGCCAACGTCAACAATCACTGTAACAGAGTCTAAAACAGAGTAATTATTCAGTCGAACATGCTCATTATAGGAACACTACTGACCTGAACATAGCACCAAATGGAAAACTGGACATTTTAAACAGAGAATGGACAGTGTACATGGGCCATATGGTTAGTCTCTTGAACATTTGAAGAGAACATTTGCCAGCATTAACATGGCCTCCACTTCCCATATGGCTACTCATTTTGTATGTCTTCTATAAACCTTTCATCATTTATTTTATATCCATCTCCTAATCTGTAAAGAAAAGGAGAACAGCTAAATGTGGTGCTATGCCAGTGCATAACTTATATCTTACGGCTCCTATCATTTAGATTTTCAGCACAGAAAAAAACTAAATAAAATAAGCACAACATATGAATGGCATTGCATTCCATATTACAGTTCTATTTAGAAGTACACTATTCCTAGTTGTTTCTCACTGTTAATTAACTTTAATGGGAAACAATAGTGCTAGGAAAACAAACTTGTTTTCCTGGCACTATAGCTCCCCCTTCCATCGCTACCCCTCCATCCTCCATGGTGCAGAAGATGTTAAAAGCCCCTTCTTTCACTTACCTGGGTCCAGCGCCAATGTGACTCAGCGCTGGCTCATGTTAGCCGACGGGGGAGACCTAATGTGCACGTGTTAGAATTTCCCTATATGAGAATATTATACAATGCTTTCCTATGGGGATTTGGGTGACGCTGGATGTCCCCATGCATAGCGTTAGAACATCCAGCGTCAGTTAGGCGACCAAAAGTCACCTAACAGCCCGGAAGTAGACAGTCACTAGGGGTGGCGTTAACCCCGTAAAGTAATTATTGCAGTTTATTAAAAACTGCAATAATTAGCTTTGCAGGGTTAAGGGACCTGGGACAATGCACCCCGACCACTTCAATGAGCTTATGTGGTCTGGATGCCTATAGTGTCATTTAAACATATAGATGGTAAATCTCTTATTCATAACATATAGATTATATCATTTTGGAAGTTGAATTTCTGCACCTAACCCTTAAACAATTTGAACAGCAATTTTTCATAGAAGACAGGGAGAGGTGAGGGGAGGGGGGGTGGGGGGGGTAATCAACTGCCACAAAATTTAATGTGTCATATACATAGTGTGGACATGTGCCCAGATAGTAGCTCTTGTACACTGATTTAGCCAAATTGTTTAAGCATGCATGTGACTGATATAATTCCTATGTAGTTGATGGCATGCAGCCTCACAGTCTACTGACAGCTGGAACAACCAAAGCGGCTAATGTCCTGCAGAATTACTTTTCGAGAAGATAAAAATAACATTACTTGTCATAACTTTTAGCATAAACACAAGTATTAAAATAAATCTAGATCTGGTGGTTTTCTGACCACTCTCTGCAAATTATTTAAAATAAACATTGAGGAAATGCGCTGATGTGCAGACTTGTGGGAAGAGAGGTTTGTGCCTTCATACATGAAGAATGTTAAAGATGATTCTTCACTCCATAAGACCGGCCAAAATTATTTCACACACAATAAATAAATCAGAAAACTATATCTGATCTGTGCAAGATACTTCCAACTAAATACATTTCTTTGATTCATGTGTATATGTGTGTGTGTATATACAGGGGTATATATATATATATACCATATCTTCAGAAGGATATTGATACCTTAGAGAGGGTTCAGTACTAAACTGGTTCATGGATTGCTGGATAAAACTTACCAGGAAAGGTTAAAGGATCTTAACATGTATAGCTTGGAGGAAAGACGAGACAGGGGGGATATGATAGAAACATTTAAATACATAAAGGGAATCAACACAGTAAAGGAGGAGACTATATTTAAAAGAAGAAAAACTACCACAACAAGAGGACATAGTCTTAAATTAGAGGGACAAAGGTTTAAAAATAATATCAGGAAGTATTACTTTACTGAGAGGGTAGTGGATGCATGGAATAGCCTTCCAGCTGAAGTGGTAGATGTTAACACAGTGAAGGAGTTTAAGCATGCGTGGGATAGGCATAAAGCTATCTTAACTATAAGATAAGGTATTTAGAAAATTGGGCAGACTAGATGGGCCG